CTTGAAGATAGACTATTTTAGCAACGGGTTTAGAAGTTGCAGTATCCTGGAGGTGACTGGGAAAAAGCCAAGAATCACTGCATGAAATAACAGTGCTTATTACATTTTGACAGCGAACGGTGCTCTAAAGTAGTATTTTTCACTGGGGACTGTAGATCCAAAATGATTCCCCAGGCGTAATTACTGATTCAGTCTTGGCGGCTCAAACCATTTGCATGTTTAACATGCCAGGGATTCTTATGTACACAGCGGGGGCATATTATTGCCCTGAAAAGCAATAGATGGCAGATGTTTAAAAGCATTGGGGCATTTTCTTAAACGAAAAAAAAAAATCTTAGGCATAAGCCCAGGACTTAAAACAGTGTGGCTATTCTATCTGAAGTGTGTCTGTCCCCTCTCCCCAGTGCGACACACCACCAGCAGGGAGTTTAAGAAATGAACATCCATTTTGAACACCGATTTTCTCAAAGTGTTATTTCCTCTAAGGTAGTGGTGATTTTCAGCCTTGGCCAAACGTTGGAATAACACTGGGGAGATGTAAAAGGAATACGGTGCCTGGGTCATGCTCCCTGCTCTTGGAAATTGATTTAATTGGTCTGGGGTGTGACCTCTTCCCAGGTGATACTAATGTTCAACCTAGTTTGAGAACCGGTTCCTATCCTTCCCAAGTAAGTTACTAGCTACTCCTTTGATTTCCCTTTGCAGTGAATGAAGAAACAGCCCATCGCATTAAATGAATTGTTGTCAGAAGCCATCAGCTCCGATGCCAAAGGGATGCATGGAGAGGGGTTGAGGGGAGGGAAGAACCAAATGGTCGGCAGTTCTTCTTGCTTCCATGACCCCACAGCACGAGTCTAAACAGGACCTGTAACAATGACAGGAGGCCAGAGGGACTGGGTGTGATGTGTCACAAAGGAGGTGTCGATAAAGAAAAGTTCAGGAATGATTTCGTTTCTTTAACGTAAGGGTAAAAACAGACTAAACACGGTAAGCTTCAAAATACGTTTCCATTTTTTAATTTAAAAAATAAATAACAGCAAATCTGAACAAAATTTTTCTACTTCAATGCACATCTTCCTAACGGTCCATGTTTGAAACCCAACTAGTTTACAAAATCCTGGCAACAGAGCCTTTGACAAAGTCTGGATGAACAACTTACAAAATCTGACTAATAGATGAGTTTAGGCAGCATATGTGGGAGACCAGCATTGGTCAGTCTGAAATCATCAACTTAAAGGAAGATTTTTTCTTTTCGTAGGTTAGAACTGTGTGGTTCCACACTCAACCCACCCAAAACGGAACTTACCTTTTCCAACTAATTCTAAAATCCCACTTGGTCAATGGCATGTGGGCCTAAAAGCCGTTGTATGGAAACTTCGTTGCCTTCTGATTCTCTCTCTCATTCACTTAGAATCAAAGAAAGCGAGGGCCGAAAGGATTCTAAAAATCACATAGCTTCGGATATGCATGTTTTACATGGGGAAAATGAGGCCCAGGGACTGACTATAAATCGACTTGCCAAACGGTACATGGTCTTTACTGTCCTGTTCTGTGTTGATGGTGGGGTTTTTCCCCTTTTTTCATTCTACCCGAGCAGTGAGAGGAAGGAAGGTACAGCTATGAATGGCCTTCTAAATACATTTTGCAAAAGGACAGCATGGACATGAGGGGAACTTCTGGGGTTCTGGAAGTAGTCTAGGTCTGGATCTGAGAGGTGGTGATGCAGTACATGCCTAGGTCAAGTTTCATCCATCTGTACCCCTAAGATTTGTGCACTTGCCCATATGTATGCTAAGACATGCCTCAATTTTAAAGGAAGAAAGCACCCCATGATCTGGGGGCCAGTAGAGGGGAAGGACTCCCACAGCTTGGGAAAAGTTAACAAAGGTAGATTGTTATGTCAAATCCCGCTTTATCTCTTGTTTGTCTTAGGGATCTGCAGGGTGACGGCATTTTTCATGGGTCTCCCTGACGGGAGAGAAGGACTACAATTCTGGAATCCAGATGGGAGGTGGAAAAGGGGAGGCCCATGGCCCAGCAGCCATACTGAGGCTTTCACTTTCTCCTAATCCTACTGTCTTGACAACCCCACAGCACAACACAGTCTCTGCATACCAGGCTGTTCCCATTGGATACACTGAATTGCCACATCCTGAGAGTCTCGTATGGTGTCTGGCATTCAATAAGAGCTTAATAAATGTTGAATAAAACGATTCTTGAAAAAATAAAAAAAAATCTCAAAGGAAGACAAGTCACCAGAAGAGAGAGAGAGAGAAAATAAGGGATTAAAAAAAAAAAAATCCCGTAAGGTTGTGACATCCACAAATGTTGTGACAGTTTGGGGACTACTTTCAATGTCCTTCAATATTCCAGAGTTCTTATCAAGGGAAATAAAGACCAGTTCTTTCCTCTTTTATTCCCGGCCCCTCATCTCTCCTATATGCAAGGTAATCATAAGGCATTTCCTTGCAGTCTTCCTCTTTGACTTCAGGACAGACATGATTTATGATCTTTTGTCAAACATGACTCTGACCCAATGCCTTCCCCCATGTTCCCTATAATCTGGTACCCACACCATTACCTAGAATCCTTTCTATTCAGGCAGGAAAGACTTAGTATTTTCATTAAGATAGAAGGGGAATCAGATGGAAAAATGTTCTATTAAAAAAGGGAAGGTACTTGGGCACCAGTGTATCAGACTTCCCCAGTCCCTAATCAAAGACCACACTGCAGAACTCACTTGCACTGCTCTGAAGGGACATGCTTGAGGTTTGGTATTTTTTGTGACCAGCTTACACCTTTGTATTTTGTGACCAGCCTGAAAAATCGGGTGAGTGAGGCCTACAGATCCCTGCTAGCTAGTCTGCGAGGCCACTTCTCAGAAGCTGCTCTGGGCTCCACAGAAGCCCCGTATAACCTTCCCGTTCCTTCTCTTCGTTGAGTTCTTTCCACTAAAATCCTTTTTGGTTCTTACTAACACTTCTTTAGTCATAAATAATTATGTAAGAGACTCCAAAAGATGCCATTTTTTTTTAAAAGGACTGTATGTGCACAGCTAATTTGCACTCACTTTCCAGATTACCTCAGGGGGAAAAAAAATCAATAATGCTCTTAGAGAATTCCAGATCTTACTCAGGCCGAGCAGAGGAAAGGACGGATCATTTCGTCCCTACTACTCCACACAGCCGATCTCACTGGAACCTCATCTGTGTGGGAGGTACTGTTCCCTGTTTCAGAAGGGGAAGAAATGAAGGCTCAGATGATTGCAAAGAATTTAGGGGGTTTGCAAAGTTACCAGACGACACAGCTGGGATGGTCGGAGACCAGATGGCTTACTTCCGAAGCCCAGCTCTTCTCTAGTCTATCCCCTTGAACGTTCCCCTGAGTGGAGGTGAAGAACCAACTTTTCCTCACCACTTTTAAATATGCACACTAACTGCTTGAGGAATGCTGGCCACATCTTTCCCTGACTCTGTGAAGCATTAGTATGTCTCGTCTAAGAAGGGTGGTATTGAAACGGGTACACAAAGAAGCAGGCAAGCAAATCGGGATTCTCAGAGGTGAAATCTCTTTCCTCTCTCTCTTTACCTTGGGGCTGGGTAGGTGGGGAAGGGGACTGGGCCCAGTTACAGAAGGAACCCTGGTGAGCTTCCCCACATGCTGACCTAGGGGATCCACATAAAGCTTTCTACTTTGCCATAAATGTCAAAGTGGTATAGAAATATCCAGGACATTTCCACTGTTGTTCCAACTAGGGGTAGGTATTCATCATGGAGTATGTCAGGGTTGTCTTCTCGATCGAAGTGTTATCTGGGGATAGAGCCTCAATTAGCAAGCTGGGCTGTTAGTAAAAATCTGTAGTCAGATTTTCTGTGCTTAGCTTCACTTTCCTTGTCTACAAAACGAGGGGGTTGTTTGTATGACCTTTAAGGTCCTTCTAGCTCAAAACGTCTCTAACCTTGTGGGGTTTGTGTAGGTGTATGTAATATTTGATCATCTAAATCACCCCATTTCTTCTTCCGAAAGGACTACTGACTTAGTACCATAAACATGTAATCAAATTAATTCCACGATCACGAGGAATAAATAATCAAAGGAAGATATTGCACTGTATTCTCCAGGGTAAAATCAGGTGGCAGAGAGGGGCCGCTGAGCCATCCAAATGGGATCTGGAAGAGAAGCGGCTGAACCCGGGCTTTGAAGTCCCTTCTGTCCAGTGATATGCGCTCAGAGGAGGTAACAGGGCAAGAAACTGTGCAAAAGAAAGAGCTTCAAGGGAGTCTGTAGCAGGAAGGAGTGACTCGGTGTGGTGACGGCCGGTGAGTTGGTAGCGTGAGGGCCTCCCGGGAGGGTTCCCACACCACACGTAGTAGCTGACGTGGGGGCAGACAGGAGCTCGGACCTCACAGTCGAGTCCATGTTTTTTCAACAATGATGGCCAGTCACACGTGAAAGTAGCCCATCTTCATTACAAAGATGTTCTTTTCCTTAAAGGAGACACAAGCAGACTTCAGGAAGATAGGATTATTTCGGCTACCAAAGTCCCTGATGCACGTGTCTTCCAATGTTATTCGGGACACAGTGTGTCCACGTGAGAAAACCAAGTCTCAAGCATAGCTTTTCACAAGCAAAGCAAGAAATCCTTCCAAAGTGGAGGTTCCTGGGGTTGCTCCAAGACCGCCATAGAAGAACGTAGCCAGGCTTCTGCAGGCTGTGGTGGCCTCTGCGCTGGAGGCGGAATTTAATCACGGTGAGGAGAGATCTCTCCTTTGAGAAACAGAGGACCCGACCAATTCTGGAATTCATGTGGGCGGGAGGAGATGTGGCCTTCAGCCTCCTTCAGAGAAGCCTTTCAAAGAACAACCAGTTCTGAGCTGATGCAGCTGACCCCAGATCAGGAAGGGGTGGGGTGGTCAGCCAGAGGCCCTGGGGAATGAGGACAGGGCATCCTCTCAGCTGTTCAAGGTGTTCAGAGTTCCAGAGACAGGGTGGCAAGATCCTTACTGGGATCCAGGCTCAGAAGAAAGGAAGCCAGATTTCCGAGCTTTGGGAGGTGGTGGGGGTGGGGCTTTGGCTTCTCTGCGGACCGGAAGTGGAGGGGCAATCTGAGGGAGTGGACACAACGGAAGTCAAATGAGTCTTATCTTTCCTCCTGATTCGCTTTCTCCTCCACATTTCTGACACAGTGCTTTCGCTTCTAACTGATCTATCTATGCAGCCTTGGCAAGGAGAAAAGGGAAACAACCCTCATTTAACTTCCCTTTTTCTCCTTGGGTTAATCAGATATACACCAAAATGTTATATCCCCGACACTTGGGTTCTTGGCGTATCTATAGATATGCCATTGAATGAATGCAGGAAACCCATCAGAGGCCATTCCAGAATGACTGTCACTCACTCAGAAGGAGTAAACTCTTCACATGTGAACCCGAACCCACTGATTTCACTCACCTGTACCAAGGGTGAGGTACAGAGAAAGGCTCTACCTTCGATCTGATGAAAAGGTCTGCCTGTATTGTGTTACTTCCCATTAGAAACTCCCCTATCTTTTTATGGTTGCAGGCATGAGTCAAGAAGCGATTAGAGCAACAAATATGCGGGAAACCTGCCTAGCAAAAAGCTTGGAAAACCAGCTTTGCGCTCCCGTGAGTGGGGCGCTCTGACCCCAGTCATTGTTCCCTACCTCCGCGGAGTTCCTCTGGCTGCTGTCGTAGGGCTTGCTTTTGGGGGGAGGGGGAGGCGGGACAGTAGTAGTCATCAGCCCATCTGTCTGCAAAGATGGGGAGCCTAGAAATGAGACAAAGTAGATGAAGGTGGAGAGAAGAATTCATCAAGGAATATTACAGAACCTCTGCTTGCCATTTTAACACCTAAACCAACCTGGCCAATCAAATTGCTAAGGTGATATTCTATAGTTTCCATGGACAGAATGGAAATGTCTTCTCAGCCCTCATGACAAATGCTGCACTGTTTGCTCACCAGAAGCTTTCACAAGAAGTTCTGAAGTAAAAATCCATCCCCCCCCTTTTTTTTTTGCTTAGGGTTTTTACTATTAAGCTGGAGATGAAGACATTTTCTACAACTTAGGTATGACTCTATTCTCTGATCTATCCCAAGTGCTTAGAAAAAATGTCTGTCACAAAGTAAGCGGTCAATAAATACTGGTTAAATTTAACTGAGCTGTCTTAGTTTGATCATTTAAAGGGTGCAATCTCCATTTCCTCCAGGACACCTTCATTCTCTCTAACTCTTGGTTGACTCCCATGTCCAACGTGGCACGATGATTTACCCCTCCATTCTTTGTACCAAGGGTACCTTGGAATTCTTCTCAGGCCTTGTGTATTGCTGATTCCCCAGGCCTGACTGTAAGCAGTATATGGAACGGGTGTATTTCTTATCCTTTTTTGGGACCCTTTCCTATACAAGGACAGGGCTACCTACTCAGTAGTTTGTAAGTTACTTGCTTCCTGTCTGGTCCCCGTCTGGCTCTACCTCATTTATACCTTCACAAATGGAAAAGGAGTCGTGAGACCCTATGCGTCACTCTACAGAGAAGGTTAAGGAATCCTAGTGACCCAAAGACTCCTTGTCGAACTCTAATTTTGCTATACCCTCTACCATGGAGTGAGCCAACTTTATAATAATCTCATATACTGTGTGGCTATTCTGGCTAAATATGGTCCAGATCCATACACATACTCCTTTCCCTACTGAAGCAAAGAGAAGGGATATACCGGTATCTCTCTACATCTCTGTATGTGTGTGTGTATGTGTGTGTATAAAACTTACTTAGGGTCCTGGTGGCCTTAGGAGTGAGTGGAGGTGGGCTCAAGGGCGTCGACTGAGGAGGTGAAGAACCATGAAATGGCGTCAGCCGATTGTCCGACAACTGGAGACTCTTTGGTCTTTGCGCTTTTCGGGCTGGGCTCTAGTGGGGGGGCGGGGCACAGCAAAACATTCTTGCAGTGAGAAAGGCTGAGCTCATCAATGCTCCGAACAACCTCGCCTGCTGAGCACCAGCTTGTCAGAGGGAAGATTCCAGAAGCCGCTCTTGAGCTTCCCGCACGGTCATGCGGCGAGCACGGCGAAGACACTGACGGGGATTCACTGGAGCCAACATTCTCTCCTGGCCGGCCATGAGCCTGATTCTGAGCACGGTTAGACCGTGTTATTTGGGTTGGAAAGGAGCCACCCTGATTCTTAGGGAAGGCTGGTCTTGCCACCCTCAACAACTTGCTGTGGCTCATGGAAGAAGAAAAAGCACTTTTTTTTTTTTTAAGTTAAAAGAAGAGAAATGACAATGTTTGGACTGACTCATGGAACATGGTGGTGAGAACCACAACTCCAAGCGTCAGCCCACGTATTTACATTGTGGGTACAAGATCTAGCACCACTGCTGATTTAGACACTCAAATTCTCCCTCTGTGCTTTTGTTTTGTTTTGTTTTTTAAGCAGTCTAAGATCAGACACTGTCACAGGTTGCCGGGTGTGACTCACAGCTCTGCAGTGAGGGGTGCTGTGCCCGGCTGAGGCTGCGGGGAAAGCACTAGCAAGTCTCTGGTGCTCCTCAGCTTGTCCCTGCCTACCCCCCCGCAACCCCGAACCCCTGTTGTTGTTGTTTTTACCATCAGATCAGGTTCTGGCGCTTTCTCTGCAATGACCTGGGACTTGCTGAGGCTCCAGTCTTTTCTCTTGAACTTGCTGATCCGGTTCTCACTGTCCTCTTTGAGGGGCAGATCTTCAACTCTGGCACCTGATGAAGCCCTGCGCTCCAAAAGTGGCTCCAGGATTGACCTATCAGCCAAGGGCAAGGATGGAATTAGAAAACACTGACCACTTGGCAGTCAAAATGTACTCCCACAAGACCAGGGATTAGGACTCCTCAACCTCATCCTGGCCTGTGATTCCCTCTCAGGTTCTAAATCTGAATTTCCAACTGCCAATTAGACATCTCAAGGTATCCATGAAATGAGACCATCAAAGTATGAAAGGAAAATATCTTTGAACATTCATCTTAACCCAGGAAGAGAAAGTCTTATTAAATTTACAGGCAAAGATAGAATTCATACCGTAGAAGATGAATAAGCAGCTTTAGACAGTGGAGAACAGCACATATCCCAGAGACAGACAACCTGTGTTCAAATCCTACCTCTACTTACCTCTTGGGTGATCTTGGGCAGAAAAATCTTTTCATACCTCAGTTTCTTTATCTATGAAATGGGGACAATAATAGTACCTACCTCACAAGGCTATCACAAATGCTTAGAACAAGGGTCTAGCATATATGCATGCTCCTGAAATGCTTTTATTACTATGACAGATTTTCAAGCACCATAGTGAAAACTGTTTCACTTAAGAATCATGATTAGGGGATGCCTGCGTGGCTCAGTCGGTTAAGCGTCTGCCTTCGGCTCAGGTCATGATCCCACCGTCCTGGGATCAAGCCACACATCGGGCTCTCTGCTCAGGGGGAAGCCTGCTTCTCCCTCTCCCACTCCCCCTGCTGTGTTCCCTCTCTCGCTCTCTCTCACTCTGTCAAAATAAATAAAATCTTTTAAAAAAATGTCTTTAAAGAGACACCACCCTAAAATATACTTTAAAAAAAAAAAAGGATCATGATTAGGTGCTAGAGAGAGGAAAAGTTTGATGAGAAACAGGATAGTCTCACAAGATTTCCCCATAAATTACTTTTTAAATACAAAGGAAAAAATAGTAACTCGACAGAAAAGAAAATGGACAAAACTTTAACCACATACATGGTCAGTTAACATCACCGATGGGGGACAAATGGACATAATGCCCTCCTGGATATGATACCTAAAGGGACACAACAAGACACAAAAGTCTGTAACTTGACTCCTAAGCACAAGCACACATAAGACAAACCCAAATGAAGGGAAATTCTATAAAATAACTGGCCCTTAATCTTCAAAAATGTCAATATGATGAAAGACAAACTAAGGAAAGGCCAAACGACTTCAGATTAAAGAAGAATAAAGAGGTGTGGCCAAACAGAGCATGGGATCCCGACCGGGTCCTGTATCAGAAATTGCTCTGTATAAAATACACAGTGGGACAACTGACAAAACTGCAAGCCAGGTTACAGTTTGCAGTATTGCATCAATGCCAAATCTCCTGAATGGACAGGCTGTAGGTAGTATGCAGTTATATAAGACAAGGCGTTTGCTCTTACAGCATGAAGGAAGTACATAACCTACTCTCAAATGGGGGAGTGGGGCTGCTGGGGGAGAGACAGAGAGGAAATGACTGCAGCCAAATGTAAAACCAAGGAGGGTTAAAAAAGATCTTATACCTTTATGATGGGTATTGCTTAGAGCTTCTGGATGGGTATTCAATAAGCCCTGGTTTGATTAAAAATTGACAGATTTTTGCTCCATAAAAATAAAAAACTTAGAGGAATGAATAGGCAGACGACAGGATCTTTAGGGCAGTGAAATTATTCTGTATGATACTACAGTGGTGAATACTTGTCACTATACATCTGTCGAAACCCACAGAATGTACACCAAGAGGGAACTCTATTGTCAACTATGGACTCTGGGTGACTGTGATGTGCTAACGTAAGTTCATCAGTGGTAATGAATGTACCGCTCTGCTTTACATTCTTAATCTTGCTGTGAATTTAAAACTGCTCTAAAAAATAAAGTCCATAAAACACACACACACAGACAAAAGCTGTGGTATGAAATAAGACAACATAAAAACAGAGATGAGCTCTTAGTATTTAAAAAAAACAATAGAAGCTTCTGGATGCCTGGGTGGCTCAGCCGGTTAAGCATCTGCCTTCAGCTTAGGACATGATCTCAGGGTCCTGGGATCGAGACCCACACTGGGCTCCCTGCTCAGCAGGGAGTCTGCTTCTCCCTCTACCCCTCCCCCCGCTTGTGCTCTCTCTCTAAAAAATAAAATCTTTAAAAAAATAAAAAGTAAAAAAAAATTGAAGCTTCTATTTGGCAGAAAGCATCATTAGTAAACTAAAACTATCTGCTGAACCTATTTTAGATGGCAAGTATCTTTAATATAGAAGACATTTTTACAAACCAAAAGGAAAAATATGAGTAGTTCAGTTTTTTAAAATCGTCAAAGGACATAAATAGGTATTTTATGAAAACGGAAATCCAAAGAATTTTAAAAAGTTAGTGTCACAAGTTATCAAATACTCAAACAAGATATCTGGAGGGGGCAAAGACTTTTTTACATTTTATTATGGAAAATTTCAAACACGTAACAAAGTGAAGAGATCACGAAAAGCTCCCACGTGTCTATCACTCAGTGTCAATAATGATAACCCACGGCCATTCTGCTTTCTTATGTACACCTAAGTCACATTCCTTGCCCCTCTCTGGATCGGTTGGAAGCGATTCTTAGATGTCATATCATCTCATCCATAAATACCTCAGTGTATACCTCAGTGAGGCAAGGACTCATTTCAGAACATAATTACACTCCCAACATCCGTCCTACAAAAGGAATAATTCCTTCATTTCATTGAACATCCAATGCTTACATTTCTTGATTGTCTCATAAATTTCTTGGAAGTGGCTTGTTTGAACCAAGATCCAAACAGGATTCACTCGCTGTGTTTGGTTGAAATGCTTAAATCATTTTAAGCTTTTAATACTGCATGGTTTCCGTTTCTGCAAAGTGTATTTACCTTGCTCTGGGAAGGTAAAGGGCGAAAGTTCCAGGGAAGTCTGAGTGAGGCTGAGCCCACGCAGTCACACTGGGAAATGCCTGTAGATGGTGGTTTCTTTTTTTTTTTTTTTTATTTCAAATTATTCCCTCCTTTTCTATTATTTTTTAAAAGACTGTCTGTATGGGGTTTTAATTTTTTGGTATTTTTCTTTCTTTCTTTTTTTTTTTTGAGAGAGAGAGCTCGTGAAGGGTGGGGAGGGGAGAGGGAGAGGGAGTGAGAGAATCTTCTTTTTTAAAGATTTTATTTACTTACTTGAGAGAGACAGAGACAGAGAGAGCAAGTGGGGGGAGGGGTCGAGGGAGAGGGAGCAGACTCCTCACTGAGCAGGGAGCCCGACGTGGGACTAGATCCCAGGACCCTGAGATCATGACCTAAGCCAAAGGCAGATGCTTAACCGACTGAGCCACCCAGGTGCCCAAGGGTGAGAGAGAATCTTAAGCAGGCTCCATGCTCAGCACAGAGCCCAATGCAGGGCTCGATCTCATGACCTGGGAGTCAGGACCTGAGCCGAAATCAAGAAGAGTTGGACGCTTAACTCACTGAGCCACCCAGGTGCCCCTTTGGTATTTTTCAATTATTAATATACTTAAGGGGAAGCCACTCATTATTATTTATCTTAACTCTGTACCGGTTAAAGAAATATAGAACCAAATTCCAAAAAAGACTAATTATTCTTAATTTTTTTTAAGATTTTATTTTTTTAAGTAATCTCTACACCCAACATGGGGCTCGAACTTACAACCCTGAGATCAAGAGTTGCACGTTTCTCCGCCTGAGCCGGCCAGGTGCCCCAAGACTCTAATTATTCTTAAAACCAACTAAGCCAAATCAGACAAACAAACAAGATCACCTTAAACAGTAATTGGTCAGGGAGAAAGAAAACCACCACCCCAGATTATATGGAATCAATTATAACTTTACCTCAGAGACTGAGAATGAAGGCTGTGGGTCACTAGGTCGACAGTCAAAGACACAGGTTTCACTAGGGCCTAATTAGGAACCAAACTAAAACATAAAGTAACTACAGTGTGGTCCCCCGGGGTCTGTGTTATTTTTTTCTTATGATTACTTCAGTGATTTTCCTGAAATATCAAAGATTAGTTTTTTTTCTAAACAATTTTGTTCTGGGTCCCAAACTTTGCTGGTGCTCTTAGTTGGCCTTCTGGCTTCCCTTAACTCTATGAGCTGTGTTTCAGAAAGTAATTCTCTTTCTGTGCCTTGGCCTACCATTTGCCAGACAGGATGGATACATTCTACTTTCTTCCAATAGAGAACTGGCCCTTTACAGATGGCACCCCCAATAATCATCATGAAAGCATTAATAAATATTGTGGTATGACATTAGGAATGGGAGACTCAGGGTCATTAGCTGATAATCAGTCTGAGCTGCTTTAAAGAAACATCCTAAATAATGTTAGAAAATAGTATCAATGACTTATTACTCATTGGGGAAATTTGGGCAAGGTCAATAACCCACCTTACTTGGGTTGAGGCATGAAGAGGGCCCCACTCACCTGTTCTCTGTTTATTGCCCTGAGTGTCAGCACTCATGGTGTCTCTGATGTTCAATAGCTGTTTCAGATCTTTTCTTTTTTTGAGTGAGACCATTTATTTAAGAAAAGAGTCTCACTGAACAGAACTTTTATACTTTCTCAGAGTAGGTAGTATCTCTTAATGGCATTAAAAAAAACCATAGAAGAGAAAAATAAATGAACCAAGGACTATCTAATATTTATTACACTAAGGATTAAAAATAGTGCAAATACCCAGTACTCATATTGCATATGGCACTGCATATCGGTATTCGTTTGACATCAGAATTGTGATGAATCTCATCCTCTGACTAGGGAATGTGTACTTCTAGAAATGCATCCTACACTTGATCTTAGCCAAAAGGCCAAGAAGGGATATGAGACTGCATCCTAAATAACTGGAAAGCAGTCTGTACACATATGTTTGGTACAATTCTTAATAATAAAACTGCATTTTATATTGACAGAAGCTACATGTTTTCATATGAAATTTATAATGAACTTTGATGATTACCTGTTTAGAAATAATGACAGAGCTTAAATATTTGATAGTAAGAGAAGGATTAATTATGGTGCGTTCATAGGATGCAATGGTAAATAGCCAACAGAAATGATAAAAAGGGTATGTGAATGGCTCAGTCGGTTAAGCCTCCAACTCTTGATTTTGGCTCAGGTCATGATCTCAGGGGCGTGAGATAGACACCTGCATGGGGCTCTATGCTCAGCAGGGAGTCTGCTTGAGGATTTCTCTCTTCCTCTGTGTCCCCCACCCCCACTCACACGTGCTCTCTCAAAAGAAAAAAAATACCCATCATGTATATTAAATTAAGCAGCAGGTCACAAAATAGTACATGCGATGCTTTTCCAATTGTATAAAATGTATATATGCTTTTTTTGTTATATAACTAAACCTTAACAGTGATTACTTCTGAGTGATGATGTGATAAGCATTTTTCTTAGTACTTCGAAAAATTTCTATGTGTACATATATTAAATATATAATTCGTAAAATACTGTTTTAAAATAGTATTTTAAACAGAAAGAACACAACTACAAATTCATTTTTTAAAAATATCTTAAATTTGAACATATGGAAAGGCAGTCCATGTTTTTGGCAAGAAAGGTTTGACATCAAAAAGCCATCAGTCCTCCCAAAGTTACTCCAGAAGTTTCACATGATCCCAATAAAAATAGCCATAGGATTCCAGACAAGTGAATCTAAAAGTGAGCAATGAGTAAAAGTTGCCAGATAAATTCTGAAAAGGATAACTAAAAAATAAAACCCTTTCAAATCTACAGTAGTTTTAAAGACATAGTACTAGTACATGAACACACAGGGAGATCAAAGAAACGGGGGGGAAAAAGTCTGCAAATAGACTAAGGAACATATAAAAATTTGATTTTGTAATAAGGTTGACATTTCAAATCAGTAGAGAAAAGATGGTTTGCTCACTAAAGGTTACAGGGAAAACTGAGTAGTTGCATGGCCAAAAAAAAAAAAGTTGACTTCATACCTCACACTTTATACTCATATAAATTTCAAAGAATCACAGATTTAGTGGTGAATAGTGAAACTCTAAAATTAATTTTTTGCAGCCTTAGAGTGGGGAAGGCCTTTAATTATAATATAAAATCCAGAAGCCCTGAAATCCAGCATTAATTTATTTGACTGCATAAAAAAAGCACAACTAAATAAAAAATGAGAAGCAAAGTCAAAAGATAAAGGAGAAACTGGAGGATGCATTTCAACGAATATTACAGACAGAGAAAACACAACAGAAACATGTACCCAGGGGGAGACGAACCATGAGAGACTATGGACTCTGAGAAACAAACTGAGGGTTCTAGAGTGGAGGGGGGTGGGGGGATGGGTTAGCCTGGTGATGGGTATTAAAGAGGGCACGTTCTGCATGGAGCACTGGGTGTTATACACAAACAATGAATCATGGAACACTACATCAAAATCTAATGACGTACTGTATGGTGACTAACATAATAAAATTAAAAAAAAGAAACATGTACCCAAAATACTTGACCATAGTTTGCAGAACATAAAATACAAATAGCTACTAAAAAATGAAAAGCAGCTCAGATTCACACAAAACAAGAGAAATAAAACCAAACCAAAATGAGACCCTATACCATGAAAATATTCTCCACCTATCAGACTGGCGAAATTAAAAAGGCCAATAATACACAATTTGGGGTGTGGGGGTGATGAGGCACCCTTGTATGCTGCTGGTAGGACTCTAAATTGGTATAATGTCTGTGGAAGTCAGTTTAGGAATAATTTTGAAAATTGCAACTATAAATGTTTGACAAAGTAGTGTCACTTCTGGAATTTTTCTCATATGGATATATTTGTATATTTACAGAATAAATTTAGTTTTTAAGCTTATGCACGGCCACAGTGCTATGACAGCCAAAGACTGAAAACAACTAAACATCCACCAATAGGCACCAGTGGAATGTGTCAGGGTGCAGACATATCCCAAGATGTCTGTACCTCAAGGAAAAGACGAGGCTCTCTACATTCTGAAATGGAATGACTGTCAAGACACAGTAAGTAAAAAAAGCAAGGTAAAGAAAGTATTACGTTTCCATTCATATAAAAAGAAAGCGAGAGGAAGAATATGTATTTAGGTATTGCTTGCGTGTGTATGAAGAGCTGTTGGAAAGGCACCAAGAACCTAAAGGCTAACGTCACTTGCCTCCCCAGAGGGGTACTGGTAGGGTAGGAATCAAGGACCGATGGGTGATTTTTCATGAGAGATCCCTTTTGTACCTTGGAATTTTGTATCATGTAATTACACTACCTGTTTACAAAATAAATATAAACTTTAAAATTACTTTTGAAAATTGATTCATATAAAAAAAATCAGACCATAAGTTAATATGAAAAAAATAAATCAGAATGTGATAGGGTGGGTGATAGGATGTGACAGGATGATGGGTGATTATGATCTCATGAGGAAGACAATGAGAATGATCCAGAGGCTAACAGCCATATGCTCTGAATTATTTCCCTTCTAACAGTGATGCATCTACACTAACCAAGGCTCCCTTTGGTGACAAAAGGCAAAAGTTAGGCAAATTGCACCCCCCACCCCACTGCCAATTAAAAATTGAACCTTACCCATCAGATCCTGGTCTGGAAGGAGCATTATCGGATGAGTTAGAAGAGGTGGAAATCACTGAGGAAGTCACTGAGGTGATGGACAATCTCCGCAGCGTAGATGACATGATGTAGGGTAGTACAATAGACCCTGTGCGGCTTTGCTTCCTCTCAGTCAAGGTGGGTGGCTGAAGAACACATGGCATCTCATGGTGAGCTGGCCTGGAACTCAGCCCATATGGACTGGTGCACCCCCATCCGTTTGTGGCTGTCATTTGTATTGGCCGGCACCCACTGCTGCCTCACTTGTTAAATATCGCAGCTACTCCTATTCTTAAGTATAAACACAACTAGGTTAAATCTACCTTGTTAAGACTAGAGAAAAATTCCCCATAATTTGCTGCCAGCCACATAAGAGAGAAAAAGGAAGCTGTTTATTACCCCCAACAGAAGAGCAAAACCCTTGGTCTGCTTCTCCAGTTTAGCTTCTTTCAGCCACTAGAAAAATAGAATACTGGCCTAATAGAAAGTTTTAGATCCAAACTGTAGACCTGATGCTTAGGAAGTAAGTGGTGTATCTTAAAAAGTAAAGGAACATTGATATTGATCTACTTTCATTAGAAATGTCTCCAGTAGGACTGATTGCCCCAACTGGCCACCGTATCAAATTCACATGCAACCACTGGCCTGGATCTAATAAAAACTACTCAGTAGGTGAAAGTCACAGTCCTTCCCATCTAGGAACTTGTGTAAAAGACAAATATGTTCCTAGGAAAAAGCTCTTAACTGGCAGTAGGTTAGGAGGTTAGACATGACTGAACACTTGATTAAAAGCAATGATCACAAAGAAACTCTGGAGCAAAGGGTAGTAAAGACGGAGGTGTGGGAATGGGAGGCAGGAGGGCACGGAAGGAATTTCAGAGCTTTGACCCAAGGAAAGAGAATTTGAAAATCAGGAGTTCAAGAGTGAGACAGTTGGAAAGCAAGGTGAACTCATATTAAAAAGAGGAGACATGGGGCACCTGGGTGGCTCAGTCAGTTAAGCATCCGACTCTTGGTCTCGGCTCACAGGTCGTGAGACCGAGCCCTGTGTCAGGCTCTGCACTCAGCGGAGATTCTGCCTCTCTTGCTCTCTCCCTCTGCCCCTCCCCCTGCTCGTGCATGCGCAGGCTCTCTCTCTCAAATAAATAAATCAATCTTAAAAAAAAATGGAAAAATGAAGCTGCATCCAAACATTTAATCGACTGTTGGAGAGAAAAGGTTATTTGTTGTTTATTCTTTTATTAAGTAACCTTTATGCCCAACGTGGGGCTCGAACTCATGACCCCAAGATCAAGACCTGCATGCTCTACCAACTGAGCCAGCCAGGCGCCCCAGAGACAAAAGGTTATTGAGCGCATGCACCAACCCACCCAACTTCTTGGGAAGAAGAAAACTGTCACTGGGAGAACTGAGTTAGAACTGTTGGAAAAAACGATGAAATCAGCTATATGCATTGTGAAATGCACTTCCCCATTCTTTATCTCCTTCAAAGTCGTCAACAGTGGAAACCTTCCACCAAAATGAAAAATAAACACTAGGAAAAACACTAAGAATTGGGCTAGACGGGACAGGAATGATCCGCATCTGGGAGCAGGAACGCCCCAACTTCTAGGAGAGGAGCGCGCACACTGTGGGCCCAGACCAGTGGCCTCAGCCCCATGTGGGAGCACATGAGGAAGGCAAACCCTCGGGCCACTGTAGACTTCTTATCAGAAATTCTGGAGCTGTGGTCCAGTGGTCTGTGTTTTTCACAAGCCGTCCAGGTGGTTCGGACAGTCACTCAAGTCTGAGAACCCCTATGTAGCACGTCACTGTTAGAAGGTCACCAAAAGCTCACCATGTGCTCTCCTCCCTGCCCCTGGTATTTCCATGCCACACCTCTGCTATTTTGACTCATCTGGTAGCTGAAAAACTCCGCAAGATCAAAAACGGTCAAAGAGACCAAAAAGGTCAACAAGCTCCTCAGACAAAGCCTACCAGTGTTATGACACCATAGAGCTTTTCCACTTTCTCTTTGAGTTCCCGGAAACAAGAAGACAACCGGTCATGCAACGGCTTTAGTTGCTCTGTCAGCTTCTCCCCGTGGATGCGGATCCCCTCTGTCAGCAGGGGCATCTGAACAAAAGGGCATGAAAGGAAGGGAATATGGTTTAGGAAGAGGGATACTTCAGATCTGAAGGCTAGGCAAGGATGGGGGTGGAGACGGGCAGGTAAGCTGGCAGACACAGCACGGACCATGTCAGAACGCTACTTCTCTGTGTGCGGCTTGGGCACTGGCCGCCCTTGGGTCAAGGACACAGAGAGACACACAAGGAGACAAGTAGGCCCTCAACTGGGGGAGGGCTGACAGCCCAGACAAACCCACCTGAGCCCAGGGGCATGTCTGTGGCTAAGCCACTGCTAGTTTTAAAACCTTAAGCTGAATCGGATGGCTGCATTTTCTACCACTGTTCACTGAAGTAATGAGAGAGAGAGAGACTCAGGCCAACATGGCTCAGCTGGAAACACAGCTCAGCAAACCAATGTGGGGACTTTAATCTCTTCTCTAGGAAGATCCCTCTCTGCACTGTACAGTCTAACAGAATGCTATTCCTAGGGTCACTTTGCCAAACAAAGAGGTAGGCTGTGATTCCAAAGGGTAAAAAACAAAACAAAACCCTCTAAAAGCGGGCTTGTGGATTTAAGCCCTAGAGAATATCGTGGGTTGTGCTCTGAGGCACCCCATGGAGTGCTGCGGAAGGCTGTCTGGCCACACCCCTCCCACGACACATACCTGCAATGCTATCAGTCGTTTTAGCAGCTCAATCTTCTCCTGGTCTTCGGGATGCTCCTGCAAGTACTTTTCTGTAAAAAAAGCCTAAAAGGGGAGCACATGCGAGTATTAATTAGAACACGTACCTATCTGTGTATTTGACCCGCGAGGGAGGAGAGCCTGAAAGGGTGAAAAATGTGTTCTGTTCTATCTGATAAATCAGGAACAACTAAGTTAATACTCATTCCTTTCCTGGGGCAGCCCTGATGCCATAGTGGACAATTCTAAAGGTATGTGCTATTTTGTGGTTTTTCTGGAATTGTGCAATGCCTAATCAAAGTACCTTCTCAACAACGACCAGACACACACAAGTGCACAGACCAAATATCATCAGTAGAGCAGAATGGCATTCAGTGAAATAACTTTTCCAAAGGACTAAGGCCAATGGACAATCCCTAAAGGTTACTCATTAAAGTGTGCAGTTATTATAAAGGAAAAAGCAAAAAATTAGTAGGCTGGATGTGGACAATAGTTTTCCGGCTCTATCATCTGATATAGGCTCTATCACATTTTTTCCTGTATTAGGTAAAGATTAATATCCACATTTTCTCATTACACATCTATCTAAAAGTCTTTTTTGAGGACAACACGAGATATAGATGTGAAAATGTTTTATAAATAGATTTCTTAAAGATTTATTTATTTGAGAGAGAGAGAGAGGGTGCATGAGTGGCGGGAGGGGCAGAAGCAGAGGGAGAAGCAGGACCGGGGCTCCATCCCAGGGCCCTGGGATCATGACCTGAGCTGAAGGCAGATGCCTAACGGCTGAGCCACCTAAGCACCCGATTCAATGTATTTGAAGTCCTTATAAAAAGGGGAAGTTTAGACACAGGGAGAACACACTGTGAAGAGGCACAAGGAGAACATGGTCATCTCTAAGCCAAGGAATATTCGCCAACCCCTCAGAAACCAGGAGAGAGGCGGGACCAGATTCTTTCTCACAGCCCTCAGAGGGAATGAACCCTGCTGATACCTGGGTTTCAGAAAACTGGGCTCTCAAACTGTGAGGCAATCTATTTCTATTGTTTTAAGCTACCCTGTGTGTGCCTTTGTTCTGGCAGCCCCAGCAAACAAACGCAACAAGGGATACAAAGACGTGTGGGCCTGCAGGCCCAGTAGCACAAACAGGAAGCTGGGCAGCACATCCGGAGAGCGCTCCTTCTAGCCAGATTCATGTTTAGAAAGAAATGAGTGAAAAAGTCGTATTGCTTAAAACTTCATCCACCCTCACCTTCCGAATACAAGCAGTTTAAATCTTCAAAAGTTAAAAAACAGTTTTTGATATAAGATAAAATGCACTGAAATTCCCAAAACATTGGTTGAGTCAAGAAATATTGGAGCAGGGTGCTCTGAAATTCACTTTTTTAGGAGAGTCCTGCCTCGCGACAGAAAGGGGCTGATGAATTACAGCAAACAGCTCTTGGGTTCCTATCAGGCAGGCAATGATGAATGGCCTGCTTTAAGACAGGTCGTCTGTATAGGTAAGTGATGATGGATTCCCCAGCGGACTGCAATGGGGGTCACTGGTGATCAAGGAGTTTAACTTTTTCTTACGTTTAGAAATGCACACACTCATACATATTAATTAAAAGTACAAACTAGTATTTTAAGCTAAAGCTCCTGAAATTTATTAGTTTATATACCCTACATTCCCTTTTAAAAAATTTCAATGAGAAGACAATGACATTGGAAAGACCTTCATATGAAATTACATACTATTCACAGATATTGGCATGTATGAATCTGAGTTCAGGGGCATTCTGTAAAAAAAAAAAAAAAAACCACTTGGAAAAACATGAAAGTTAGTATTAGCTTATATGAAAAAACACACACCAAAATCATTACAGTATAAAAAAGTATTATATTCTGGATCCTAGTTTTGCCTTGAATTTTGTGATGATGCCAGAGATTATTACTGACACCTGGCATGGGCACGCTAGAAGTGACTTCCAGTGTGGACTCTTTCCCGGCTGCTAAGGGTCATAAGCCTGAAGAAGGCGCAAAGGAGGATGGGAAAGATGGTCACAGCATCAGTCACAGAGCACTGGCCGCCCCACTCAGGAAGGACATTCCAATCACATTTGGCTCCAAGCGACGGGAGGGAGGAAGAAAACCGACCCTCAGCAAGCCGCAACTGTATGGCAAGTGTTCTGTGATGTTCCCGACACCCAAGATGCCTTCCTAAGCTATGAGCCACTCCTGTGTGTTAGGTATTTTCCTCACTTTTTTCATATACTAAGCTTGGGGCTCAGAGAGGTGAATTATCTCACCCAAGGGCACAAAGTGGCCAATGGGAAGCCAGTATTAGGTCACAGGCGTGGCTGATTCTAACGCCCCTGGTCTTCTCAGGACTTGGTGTACAAATGGAAATAAGAGAATCGGCCCATCGACTGTCTACTCGCCCTTCCCATCTTCCTCCTTTACTTCCCGCTCATTCTCCAGGCTACCCCACAGGGCAGTAGCCAAATGTTTATTCGGATTCAGGAAGAGGACTCCAAAATTACCTAGCCACTGAAAACAGCTGAACAATTAAAAATCCTGTCTTGATTAATTATGTTATGAATTATCTACTGAATACATTACTTCCATTTTATTTTTATTTTTTAAAAGATTTTATTTATTTGAGAGAGAGAGAGAGGGAGAGAACAGAGGGAGAGGGAAAAGCTGACTCTCCGCTGAGCAGGGAGCCCGATACGGGACTCAATCCCGGGACCCCAGGATCATGGCCTGAGCCGAAGGCAGACGCTTCACGGACTGAGCCACCCAGGTGCCCCCATTACCTCTATTTTAAATGGTGCTACAACCAAACCCTATGCAATGGATTCACATCTGGTGAGCACTCTTTTCTTGTTTCTCCAGAATAAAAGATATGACACTTAGTTGAACTAATGTAACTGTGCAGCCAGGGCCAGCGTTTGTCCAAACAACCTACGGCACACCAAGCCGGGGTGGGTGTTTCTAGAAGCTCATTTTAACTAGAGCACAGCTCTGCCTCTCCCACAGATGCTTCTTCACTTCCAGAGCATCCTGAGTTCTGCGTCTCCCACCGGGGAGAGTGGGAGTGGGAGAGGGAACAGCAGGTAGATCAACCAGACGTGGTATATTAGATTGATCTTTCAGTGACTCCTTACCAGGCCGTGGCCTAACCCTGGTGGGGTTGCTGAGGGTCTCTAGGAGATGTGAGGCCAAGGACATGCTTTTCATTAATTTCACTTGTAAAAGAAGTGAAGAAGGCAGAGTGAAAAATCTCTCAGGGGAGCTGTAAGCAACGAATTCACCAGGGGCACAGTGCCACAGAGAGAGGCATGGGGACACACGGGATTCACCTTTTCGTAGTTGGAGTAGCCCCCCATGACAGCCGGGTCCACGATGCCACTGAGCAACATGGAGAGAGGGTGCACAGAGAGGGCTCGGTCCCAGGCATGCTGCTGGACACAGTTGCTGATCTTCTCATTGGTGAGTTCCATGGTTTCTATGGCATTCTCCAGGGGACTGATTTCCTCCTGCGACAGAGGACCAGGGAGAGGAAGGGCATTTTGTGAGCTCACAGCAAAGACAGAACAAAATATCCGAAGTGTTCCCTTTTAAAAGGTTTAACATTCTCACCAAGCTATAAAAGAGTCAAGGTTATATTTATTTGGATACCACACTTATTTGGAAATGCTTTTGCTAAGTTGCAAAATAAGCGACTTAAAATCTCCTTAGGAAGTCCAAGGGTGACCTAAAAATTAGAGCTATTGCGGTGACTATTTCTTGGTGCAAAGTATCTACAGAAATTTTGGGGAAAAAAAAATTGGACCTGTAATAATGATTGATTTTTAGGCAGAGCTCCCTCAGAGATTTTTGAGAAGCTCAACGACAACAGAGTAATGGGTTATCTGATCCCAGATACTTCTGCAGCACCCAGAATGTTCCTTGGCAAGAGGCTTGATGCTTCTTCCATGAGAAAAGGGAAATGATTTTGGACGCCATGCATTCAGACCATACATAAGTCACCTTAGTAGGGGTTGGGTGGTTAAGTCAGAAATAAGAGGATGTATTAGAATATTCAAGCTAAATTTTGGATGAAAACGAAGTAAGATTTAATACACATTCAGAAGAGCAACTCCTGTGGAAATGTCTTCAAAGCCAGGTTTCAAGAAAGATCGCCTTCTTCGTTTTACCCATTGCCAGCCAGCATTACCGCCTACTGCAGCTTCGATGCCAAAAGTCTCTGTCCAAGAATCATATTCATACTTGAAAAATAATAATTTACTACCAGTGGTACGGAACACATCAGATTTCAGTTCAGATCTGTTCAAGATGTATTTCTTGAAGATGTATTACATGCCAAGTACTGTGCTATGTTCCACAGTTACAAAAGTGACTAAGACAGAATTCATGGCTGGGAGGAGCCTATGGTTTATAAAACGTAGTGGGGTCTCAAGCCATGTAAGCACGGGAGTAATTTGCTAGAAATAAGCCCAGGTTGTGGCGGGGCACAGGGAAAGGGCATCTAACCCCACTTAGGAGTTTCAAAGATGACTTCCAGGAGAAGCCTGGATGGGAGGTAGTTAGGTTGAGAAGTAGCATTTCGGGCAAAGAAAATGGCCTACTGTCATGGAGGGTTGAAATAACATGGAATGAGCAGTTTAGTTCCAGATGATTCCGTAGGAAACGAGGTGGCAGAGCTGAGTCACAGGGACTCTGCATGTGTGTGCTAAGGAACAGAGGCTTTATGCTCTAGGCACTGGGGAGCCACGGCAAGGTTTTAAGCATGAGAAGGATACGGTCCTCACACTCGGAGGCTGTGAGGAAAACAGGCCTGTGAAGGCCAAGGCAGGAGGCCAACGAGGGGGTTTTTTCCGTGGCATCCACCAGAGATGAACGAGGGACTAAAACGAGGTACAGTAGTAGGAGAGCTAGAAATAAAGAAAACAGATTTAATAAATATTAAAAAGGTAAAAGGGGCAGCTTTGGGGAGGGATAGAGAAGGAAGAGTCTGGGATGACTGGTGATGTGATTAGCCATGAATGAAAGAAGAGGAAATGTTCTGGGAGAGAATGTGATTGACAGCGAACGTTCTGGGAGAGAATGTGATTGACAGCGAACTCAAAGGAGACATTCCGAAAAAAGTCTGGTGCACTGGCAGGATCATGAGGAGACGAGACTCATTTACTCATAAAAGAGTCATTCACTGTGAGTAACCTTTAGGGTTGGTGTTGTAACATCAGTTGTACAAAGGAGTTCTATTAGACAAGCATGCCTTTTATTTCTCTTTCAGAAAACAAAGTTGGCCAGAGGAGGCTGGCGAAGCTAGTGAGAACTGGAGGAGGGCTTAACAAAGGCTCTTATTATCTCTGGAGACACAAAGAATTTTCTTTGTTCCAATTTCAAATGACTCACCGTTGAAATTTGTTTGACTTCAAACCACTTGAGAATCCCAGGAAAGGTGTATGCAGTTGTATACGTGGTCCTTTCGATCCACATGGTCTGGTGGAAGGAAGGAAAATTGGAAATGTCAGTTCCCAGGCAAAATGGCAACGCTCCCTGGTTGAGGTCAGGGACAGTCTATTCCCAAATGCTTCCTTGGTGAACGGGCCACATTTTCAGGGTTCTGGATGTTTAAAACTGCAAGGGATCATCTGCTTGGGCCCTCTCACATTCTAGAGGGGACATGTGAGGTCCAGAGAGGTGGGACTTGCTCAGGTCATATCAGCATCAACACTGGAGTGCAACAGCAGAGCCCAGTCTTGGGGGCGGGGGCGGCGGCGTCCAGTCTAGAGTTCTCCACTGAGATGGGCTTGCTGTCTAGGTAGTAAGCGCCCAGCACCTCTGTCCTCTGTCCCCACGGCTGCCATCGTTTCTGTGATCTGCTTTGGTTAAGTGGAAAGCCTACTTTACCTTGTTTTAGAGGCAAAGGGGGTGGACTCACAGCAAATTCATTGTCTGGATCCTTCTCTCCTTTCCGGAATGGCCTGGAATATCTGAACTGCTGCACTTCATTGGCTCTATAGTAGCTGGAGAAAGACATGGCCACAATGCTGTAGCTTCTCTCTTAGAACAAGCAGTCCTTGATCAGACTTCAATAAAACCTGGGCCACATCTTGCACAGACCGAGTCTTATCCACTAAGCGACCTCAAAACAGTCTCCACAATGAAGGCTGGAGGAGGTGCACGATTTGATTTTATTGCACATCTTTATCTTATTTATGAATCCATTCCACAGCTCACCATTTAAAAAGGTATATGTATTTATATCCATGTTTGTTATTTCATTTGTGTATTTTTATCACAATCCTATCAATCCTACTAGCATTTTAGCTTCTCAGAAAAAAGAATGAGGCTTTCGATCACTGGGGACCCCACCAGGCAAGGTGAGGTCTGCCATTCCTCAGTGAGTGCTTGTGAGTGGAAATAAGATCCAGGAGATCTGAAACCTAACAGTGAAATTCCTGATTTCCCCCTGTCTAAAAAAAACCCCAAGGCCCCCAAATCCCTTTTGAATTACCAAGCTCTTTATACTGAAAATACAATAAAGAGTTGCTGTGGTCTGAATGCCAAAATTCATGTGTGGAAATCCTGTCCCCCATTGTGATGGGACTAAGAAGTAGTCTGTGGCAGGTACATAGGTCATGAGGGTGGAGCCCCCATGAATGGGATGAGTGCCCTTATAAAAGAGACCCCAGAGCACTCAATCATCCTTTCTGCCACGTGAGGACACAGAGAGAAGTCAGTGTCTGTGAATCAGGAGGCAGGTCCTCACCAGACACCAAATCTATTGGTGCCTGACCTTGGACTTTCCCAGCCTCCAGAACTGTGAGAAATAAATGTGTTGTTTATAAGCCACCGAGTCTGTGGGATCCTGTTATAGCAGCCCCAGAGGGGTAAGACAACAGGTCTTCCAAATGAGTTTAAGACTTTGGTTTTAAATATTTTATCTATCTACCTATCTATCCATTCATTCATTCATTTAGAGAGTGTGTGTGCGTGCATGTGAGAGCATGAGTGGCGGGAGGGGCAGAGGGAGAGAGACATCAGGCAGATTCCACTCGTGGGGCTTGAACTCATGACCCTGAGATCATGACCTGAGCCAAAATCAAGAGTCGGATGCTTCACTGACTGAGCCACCCAAGCGCCCCAAAGCTTGGGTTTTGATGTACTTCTAGATAAAATGTGTTAGAAAATGTTTTTTAAAAGAAGCAAAAAACCCCCACTTACTTTAAGATCTGCTCTGGAACTGGTTTGTCCTTGTAGCTGGGCGGCAGGCTCATCACCGGCTTTACGGTGAAACATTGCATGTCTGAGGAGCTCGTTAAGGAAGGACAAGGGGCTGGGCTGTGAAGCTGTTCCAGGCAGAACGCACCACCTATTCCTCCTGCTTTGCAGATGGAAATGGTACCTGTCTGACGTACTCCTTTTTCCTGACTGCCAGGACTGCATTCAAAACAGGGTTCCCTGAGGTGTCACCCAAACGCCTTATTAAGTAATAATCTTAGGACATTTTGGTCAGACACCTGGCAAGCAACCCTGCCATAGGAAAATAGGCATCAATGAACTATCAGGTGAAGAGGGATTTTAATCAGTTTTAAATCATTTCTTTTGGAACACGCATGCCTCTGAAACAGCCGGACTCCAGAGCCTGCTCAGTAGGAACGTCTGGTATCTGTGGTTATCACTTGTTGATGGACGGCCATAGCTGGGCACTGAACGAGGTTCTCAATATGTTCTCGCCAATAATAAACACAACAACCAACAGGCAGATGTTATGAATCTCCTTCTACAGATGAGGAATCTAAGGCTCTCAGAAAACCCAGAGCGCATAACTGGTACATAATGAAGTCAGGCTTTTAATCCAGCTCAGGGGGAGACCTGTCTCTCTGACTTGATAATTTAAATAATGACTTTTTTTGTCCTTGCCAGTACAGATATACTGTTTCAAAATCGACAGCATTTAAAGTCGAGGTGAAGGCCCTGGGTCAGAACAGTGACTCCCAGCATCTCTGGGTGGTGTGCAGCCCTGGGGAACCAGAACCACACGACGCTTACTCAGGACGCACAATGAGAATTCACAGCTGCCGAATTACAGTCTCTCCATGGTGAGTCTCTTGTATAACAAAATCTGAGGACCACTGGGCTGTGCCTTACCCTGGTCTAGTTGACCGAGCATTTTCAAAGAAATGACCTCCTTTTTATTTTGATCCTTCCAGAAGTGTTATTGGGTATTTAGGGAAAACAGACTCACACCTCATGGATGAGAAACCAAGGCCTGGAGGAAGGAAGCCGTTTGGAAAAGGTCAAGGGGCTAGGCAAAAAGGACTGAGGGCCCAGCCAAAGGAAATCCTACATCCAGTTCTTGAAGACCTCTTGTCATTCCCACACCACGAAGGCACCTTCGTTGTCTCCTGAACCCACATAACCCAAACAAGGATTTATCCTGGAAGACCATTCTTTTCCAAGCATCTGCTATGTATTAACAGGCTGCCGTTCTCTTAAAGGTGTGCCTGTCTATTGGTCTGTTATTATTATTGTCAATCTTTCTTATCATCTACTTACAACCTACTTACCAACCTGTATGTATAATAATGGCCAATATATATTGAATTTTTACTACGTACAAGGCACTGTTCCTAACATTTGACAGGTTATTTAGTCAATCTTTACAAGAACTCCATGAGAAAGGATGAACATCATCCCCATTTTATAGATGGGAAAACCAAGGCACAGAGAAATTAAGGAACTTCTCAAAGGACACAGTGAGTGACAGAGCTGAGACTCGAACCCAGGCACCTTGGCTCCAGAGCCCGTTCTCTTATCTACCCTGTCACACCAGCTCTGGCTTATCTACCTCTCTTTGAATAGTGTTCAATTTTAGAACATCTTTATTTTAGCACAAAACACATGAACAAGTTTTAAAAATAATTTTGTTACGGAGCTCTTAGTGTTTTGTTCTTGTTTTCTTTTTAAGTCATTGTATGTTACAAAATAAGAGCTATACATCTTTATCCAGAATCCAGAATTCTCTACAGCCAGTCTATGTCCTCCTCAAGCTCCCCATATGGCTATAAAACATATCCTTTCATATTCAAGATTTCCTTATCTCCTCTCTCCTTTACTTCATAACCATGTGCTAAGGACGTTAGGGTCCCAAAGCTTTTTACACAGAATGGGAAACTGAGTCAGAACTGTTAACATGAGTGGTCGGAGGGCAGGACATATCCACGTGCAGAGACAGGACTGAACCCTTAGCTTCTGTGGCTGGGCCGGGCCATGTCTCCCCGAGGTGAGGATACACTGCTTTGGGGACGACTTGATGTCCTCTCCCGGGGGCGTGGTGCTGGTCATCTTCTCGGCATTGGGGAACTGGGTCAGCAACCTCAGGCTGAAGTCTTCTCGCCTCTCATACTCCTTCCCCCGGTAGATGAAGATTTTGTTCTGCAGGTCAGAGACAGCAAGGGGAGTGATTACATATGAAGAGTGAAGGGGCAACTGGAGATCCTGGTGCTGAGGAAGCCACAGCCCTCCCTGGCTGAAGTGCATTCCACCAGCAAGTTCTCACTGAGCACCTACTACGTGCCCCGCAGCAACCATCATATCTGGCAAGAGCTCATGGTTTATTGGGGGAGATAAGTCATTGGCATAAAGCTGCCTCAGCAGTGCTTCTCAGAGTGCGGCCCCATGACCACCACCGGTCTGCAAATGGTCCGCACTGACCCACAGGGAGATGAGCTTGTGCCCTAAGCTAGATCCACGATGTCACCAGGCACACTGTTGAAATTTACCTGATTTGCATAGCAAGACATTCTCAACAAAGGAAGGAAGTACATGAATTTGCTTCACATGCAAGCCCTTGTTTTATCATGATCCAGTTGTGGACCAGCACTTGGAGTGGCACTGACTTACAGAACAGGAAAGTATGAAGAGAGCCCACGCAACAAATCTCCATTAACAGAGAACAGGAATAACATACAGCAGTCCGTCTGCAATCCTGAAAATCACTGTGGACGGCGATGTCAAAGGCTCACAGACTATAACTCCACTAAGTCCTATTCTCTCCTTTCTAATCTACATTCTTTTTCTGTTTAATAAAATTAATAAAATTGGATTTTTTTAGAAAGAAATTTCCCAGGCTCCAGACATAGGAGTAATTTGACTCATAACTGCTGTTGCCCACGCAAGTTCAAATGGAGCCATGTTTCAAAGGTTCTTGCTCATCTGATGATTGCTCAGATGAGTACTTAGCATGGGCAGCCCATACCTGATCCATTTTTTAACTAAACCTTGGGCCCCTATTGTCCTGGAAAATGTTTTTAAAAATCACCTGCCCATTCATCTAGCAAATAGGTATTGGACAAACAGGAGATATGCTAAGACACTAGGGATATAATGATGACCCTACTCTCACAAAACTTACCTTCTGGTGGGCAGAAACAGAAAACAAGTAAGTATGATAGTTTATATAAGTAACAGGATGGCAATATACCTTCTAGGAGAAACACTGACGGCAGGAACAAATGCCAGGTCTTTTGGAATAGATGATGAAGTTTTCCAAGCTGGGAAAGATTTACGTGACTAATTCATGCTTTATGTAATTCCATCATGCAGGCAAAGCTGTGGTAGCTAAGGAAGCAGAGTGTACGGCAGCACTAATCATAGGATGTGGACAACAATGTGAACGGAAGCAGACAAGCACAAGGTCAGCACACACTAGCACGGAGTGAAAGAGGGGCTTCGAGGAGAACGTGGCATTGCCTGGGCCCAGATGCACAGACACGGTAAGGAGAGAAAAGAGAAGGGGAGGACAACCAGCAGGAGGAGTGAAAGGAAGGACAGGGCCACGGGGCAGAAAGTATGGAACTGAAGTAGAAGAAAATAAGCTTGGATGAGCCAGAGCATTGAAAGGCAGGCACCAGTTCCTAAGGCCTGGGGAATTCACTGGAGATTCTAGGAGGGAGCGACATGATGGAGGCAGTGCATAGACAACCTCAGTGGACAGTGGGGTGTGCATCTAACTGCAGGACCCCCAGGCAGGACTGAGTGGGAGAAGGAGAAGCTACGGGATCTGGTGTCTGACCCTGGTATCTGGTGAAGGGCAAAGATGGGGAGAATCACCGAGGATTCTGAGCTTGCTGGGCCCGGAGCAGGAGGCTCAGTGGAGCCCCTGACAGAAGCAGGGAAGAAGGAGGCCTGGCTGGGGCTGGGGCAGGGGCAGGGGGAGAGGACAACACGATTTTAGATATTCTGAGTTTGGGGAAATGGTCCATACCACAGAAGGGCATGGAGGTTACATCATGCAGAGGCTTTTATATTTTTCAGCACTCTCTGACAACACCTGACATCCACAAACCACTTTACAGTTTATAAAGCCCTCCTGTATGCTATTTACTTAATTCTGAAGCAGCCCTGTCACGTGGGCAGTACTTCTCTAACTTACACATCAGAAAACTTGGAGGTTACATGATTTGGTCGAAATCATATAGTCACCCAGCAGATGATGGAGACCCCCTTTTTCAACTTGAAGGTCTAACCTTTGCCTTGAACCAGTGCTGTCTCCAGCTCATGCCCCCAGATGCATGTGACACAGCAGTCTCTCTCTCTCTCACACACACACACACACACACACACGCACGCACGGCAGGCATCCGTGCCTTATCGGGACTGGAGGACTGAGACTGACCGCCAATCTCGGTCTAGAACCTACTGCAGGGCGCCTTCCCAGACCCTCTCCTTCTGGTGCTCCGTTCTCTCTCCCTGCGCTATCTCCTCCACACTCGAATAACCCACCAACTTTATCCCCAGTCTGGAACTTTCCTTTGAGTTCTGGGTCCATGTATCAGATTGTTGACTTACATCTGTTGGATGTTCCACGTTACCTCACACTGAGTATGGCCCCGACCAGACTTTCACAAAGAACATATAAAGATCTGAAAGGCCATCTGCGATCCGGGACCCCAAGCCACCTGCCCCCCTCTTCTCCACTTGCCCTCCTGTTCACACTCCTCCAGCCTCACGGCTTTTGAACCCGCTGTTCTCACTGCCTGGCCCCCCATCTCATCTTTTGATGGCCACCTGGCTTATTCCCTCACTTCTTTCAGGTCCTTGCTCAAATGTCATTTTCTTACTGACATCCTTCCCATTCACCCTATTTAAAATTACAACTCCAACCCCATCACCTGCCTCTTTCTTCCCCCGCCCCAACATTTTCTCCATGATACGTACGGAGTGTCTACACGGGGTGAGGCATTGTTCTAGGCCACTGGACATACTAAGTGTGTTTACTTTTTGTGTGTCTCCAAGCTAGAATATAAGTTCCATAATTTCAAGGATTTGGGTTGTTTTGGACTGTGCCTCCATGCCTATAATACAGCAAGGCACAGAGTAAGAGTTCAATAAATATTCAGTGAATGGACTGAAGCTCTCTACCATGACTCTATTTTCCAGTATTGCTGTCTTAGTGGATGGCTCCACAGCCCTTCCCATTATGCAGCCAGAAATCAAGGAAATCATTCTTGCCACCTCCCTCCTTCCTCACCCACATGTCCCAACAACAATCATCAAATACTGCTACTTTACTATTCAAAATCTTTCCATTTTTCTCTAAAGCCACCTCCCTAGGACAACCGGCCATCCCTTCCCTCAACATCTACAACAGTCTCTAAGTGGCTTATCTGTACACATCCAACCATTGTCCATACCAGCCAGATGATGACCTTGCCAACACACAGAGTCCGCCATGGTTCCCTCCTGCTCTTGGGGTGCTGACAACACAGTCAGGGCAGCCCCACGGCCCTGCCCTGCGTGTTCTCCCCATGCTTCAGGCCTCAACTCCCCGCTCACCCCATACCCTCCCTTCCTGGGTACTGCCATGTGCTTGCTTGCCACTTTCTCTGCCTGCAATGCTTTTCTCCTACCACCTTTATCTCCAAAACTCCAAGCTCGCCTCTAAATTGCAGCCAAAGCAGAAATTCCCTGGGAAGTCTTTCCTGACTCTTAAAAAAAAAATTCAGGCATAAATTACATATAGTAAAATCTACCCTCTTTAGTGTAAAATTCTGTTGAGTTTTGACAAACATAACCATGGTCACAATCAAAATACAGAACAGTTTCATCACCATCCAAAATTTCTCCATGCCTCCGAAGCCCAACCCTCCCCTTCAATGACGAGACAACAACTCATCTGCTTTCTACCCCTTATCGTAAGTGTCGGCTTGGCCAGATGCCGTGTAAATAAAATCACAGAGTATGCAGACTTTGTGGTCTCAGTTCTTTTACTTAGTACAATGCATCCGAGACTCAGCCACACGCTTGTGTGTATCAGGAGTTTATTCCTATTTATTACTGAGTACTGTTCCATTGTATGGCGATCCCACAGTTTGTTTACCCCTTCGCCAATTGAGGGACATGTGAGTTGTATCCAGTTGCTGGCGATTATAAATAATAAACAATCATGTGATACCCATCTTGGTCAGTTTCAATTTCCATTCTTTTGCGTGATTATTAATGTTACACCTGTGAGGCTGTGAATTCCATGACAGTAAGGCCCATATCTGATTCGATTCTGCCCCGTGTGTTCCTGGCATACAGCATGCACTCAGTAAACAGTTACTGAATGAATGGGTTACCTCCTCATTGGGCACTATGAGGAACGTAAAGTACTTCCTTTCTCACTTTTTCTTAAATCTGGGAAGGAAAATGAGTCGTATGTTTAAACACAGCTCTAAAGAGGCTTCCTTTTTTTTGTGGGGGGGGGGAAGAATAAGATTTTGTTTGTTTTTTAGATTTTAAAATCAGTATCACGTTATAGAAAATTTTGAGAAGGAAGAAAAACATGGTCCTTCTCACGATTACAACACATGTTTTTATTTTTGTGAAACTTTTGCAGTCTTGTCCTCGGGATATTTGCTTTCCAACCGGCTCTGGCTGGAAATAAAACAAACAGCTAAATACATCAATCCACACTTTTCCCCAGCCTGACCTGTAGCAGCTGAGCAGCGGAGGCGATGGTTCTGTTTTTCCCTTTTTCATTCCACCTGGGAAAAGTCATTTTACAAAGGAGCTGCCAGAATACCCGAGCTGGGGGTATGCGGTGAAGTGGTCGGCCACGCAGGAAGTGGTCCCCCCACAACCGCCGACCTCCCATAGCGTGAACACGGGCCTCCAGCTGTTCACACACTAGGCCCATCTGGAAAAGAGATGAAGACCTCCCCTCCTTCAGACTGCACGGCTTAATGGCTCCGAGGACCACCCTGAGGTTTCTTACCCGGAGGAAAGAAGGAAAGCCCTGTCCGTAGTATCCAACGGCAAAGTATTCAGGCTGAGGCCTCATTGCTTTAATGATGTTCTCATAAAACGAGGCTCTTTTTTTCTGGAAAACAAAATAAGACATTCCACAGGGAGGTTACAAGGGCACCATCGAGGGGTGGGGAAGATCAGACTATTTGCTTTGTTGTTTCCCATGGGCCAACAGGCAAATGGAAAGCCTTTGGAAAATACCCTGTAGGCCCAAGAAGTTATCCCTTTCTTGGAGCGAATGGTTTGGACCTGGGTCCGTGAAGGAGGCTTGGAGGGTCTGGCAATCTCTGGAGTTGCCTGCGGGAAGATGCACGCGTGTGCGTTCCTCTGTGGAGGGAGGCAGTGTTTAGCTCTCACCAGTTTCCTGAAGAGGGTTCAAAGACCCTTAAAAGGTTAAAAGTCCTTTCTGAGATTCACAGAGGGTGGTTGCACATGAGAAAAGACGATAAAGAACTTTCTGGTTCACGCAGGTGGTTTGGATTAACGTCCTTGGTTCAGTTACAAGCGCCCAGAAGGTGGTGGTGATGTTCTGTTTTTCAGTGTCTGATCCCAGCCCTAGCTTTAATCCTTCCCATGGGAACAGGCTTCCCAGCCAGGGCTAAGAGTAAGCCTTAAAGAAAGCAAAATAGGTAGCCAGACCTGGGGTCTTCAGGGCATGTCCCTAGGCCCTTCTCACAATGGTCCCATGACTGTATTACTTTATTTAGGTGAAGGTTTCTAGCACATTTTCTTAGTAGGGTAATGTGTTATATCACTAACCGCTAAACTAAATTCATTCAGTTTATGAAATTAAGAAGTGATTTTGTGTGTGTGATAGCAGGGGCTGGTACAACACACCGGCAAGTTCTTTTCTCAAAGTGATCTTGACAACTACCCCCTCAAAGAAGCTACATTTGACCCTTGAACAACATGTGTTTAAAATGGATGAATCCACTTACATGCAGATAGTTTTGATAAATACAGTATAGTACTGGGAGTATTTTCTCTTCCTTTCAATTTTCTTAACATTTTCCTCCAGCTTACTTTATTATAAGAACACAGTATATAAACACATATACAAAATATGTGTTGATCAACTGTTTATGTTATCAGTGAGGCTTCTAGTCAACAATAGCCAACAATAGCCTATAAATAGTTAAGTTTTGGGGGAGTCAAAAACTGTATGCGGATTTTCACCGGTGGAAGGGGGGTTGGCGCCCCTAAGCTCCCCACCCTGCACTGTTCAAGGGTCAACTGTATTATTACGTGACAACGGGTGACCTGACCTTTTGTGATTCCACTACTAAAAATTATCAAATGTAATGTGTGTTGGCCTACCACTGGGCATTCAGAGGGTGATTTTTGTTTTGCTATATTGTTTTTAAATAGTTGACCTGTGCCAATGGCCAGGCATAACACACAAGTTCATAGAACTGTGAAAGTACAGCACCCCAGTGACATTTTGGGAGGAGAGAGGCAAAATTTGAGACTCAAGATCCAGAAGAAGCATTTAACAACTTACTAAAATGTGCACAAGGAAAAAAAAAACCAAAACAAGGCTCAAAGATTAGCAGTTCATTCATTCAGCAGGACCCTGAGGATGTGGACCACAGAACAAGTAATTTTGATGAACAGAAGATGTCAGAAAATATTTGAAGTATGGACAGTGTTCACAGAAGGCATCACAGAAGGCAGAGTAACTGAGAGGGTAAAGAGGAAATGGGTCAGGAATACAGAGGGTCCCTACGCTAGGGAAACAGAATGCACAGAGAAGGGAGAAGGGTCTGTAGGCAAGGATCCTGAGCCTTTTAGCAAAGATAATCTGGAGGAATAATGATAACAGCTTTTGGACCTCATCTTTTTTTCATTTTTCTTTCAAGCAAGGTTGCTTTGCCACTGTTAAGAACACCGTTTATCTTGACTTCCTCAAATGTACAAAAACATTTTCACGAGCACAAATCTTAGCACCTCTGTTGGACACTTGACATATTCTGACCCGGACTCACCAGCAGGTTGCCGAGGCCCTCGTAGTCAAATACTTTGCTCTCATATGTCTCAGCCAACTCTTTGCTCAGTTTGATGGCCTTCTCCCACATCTTCGGAAAAAGAAAAGTAGGGTTACAAGCGGAGAACAAATCAGTCACTGATCTGTCTGCGAAAGCCATGCTGACAGTTAACTAAGGAGTCAGGTGGGTTGAGTTTCTGCAGATATTCTCACCACGCCTCACCTCTTGGATCAACTAAACCTTTTTTTCTGACATGATAAAGCTACTATATCTTGCTGCTTTGCCAGGGGGCATGTTCTGTAATTCTGTTTGCGAGAACATGAAGAACACCATGTGTCCCAAACAAAGCAATACTGTATTGAAAGGGCAAAGCACTAAGACCATTGAGAGCTGAGAGGAACCAGTTCTAAAGCCTGGGTTTTGAGATCATTGAAGTCTTGTTGGAGGGGAAAGGAAGTTAGTGTGGGCCCTAGTTCTGGTTCTGGGGTGTGTGTGCATTTGTGTGTGTGTGCGCATGTGTGTGCGCACGTGCATGAGCTTTCAATTAGGTTGTTTGGGACGAGGGGAAAATGGAAGAAAGGCTAACCATTCTGTTGTGTGGAGTCTGGGAAACTGTTTCTCCAATTTCGAGAACTGATTCTCTATTTCTGACCAAACTATCTACTTAGTCAAAGAGAATTTTAAGAAAAATTCCTTAAAGCACTGATGACCGTGGAAGTTACAGCCTCCTGCACATATTTGGTATCTGAGGCTAGCATCCCAGATTGAACCCTCTGTTCATTTTGCTATTTCACAAAATGTCTTTTAGATAGATGCTCTTAAGAACACAGCACCTGGTAATTTCTTACTTGATTCTTATTAACCAGGTGCTATGTTCCATTGTGTCTGGCTGCTGAAAGAATGTATGAGCAGTTCATGTAGTTGTAAAACATTTAAACAAATTCAGTCTTTTAAAATCATCATTTGCCAAATTTGCCCCCTCTGAAATTTCAGGGCCAGGATCCCTGGAAAGGGCTCTGAAATGTGCCATGTGGAAACCGTTCCAGATCAGCTGGGCCTGGAGCAGGAAGCCGGTTAACAGTATCCAAGAAGTCAAGCTCTCTCCTCATTTCACCAAATACTAAGTTAGTTATGTCAGAAACAGGGAGACAGCCTGGCACAGAGCTTCTCAAAGTGTGGTCCCTGGTCTCTGGGAGTCCCCAAGATCCTCACACAGGGTCCGTAAGGTCACAATTATCTTCTTAGTAATAATAATACTCCTTGCCTTTCTCAGTCCTCATGCTCTGATATAGTGGGGTTTCCCACAGGCTACAGAATGTGTAATACCACGGGAGACTGAATTCAGAAGCAAATAGGAGGATCCCGCTATCTCCCAGATGCTAAAGAGATTTGCGAACATGTCAAACAATGCCACTCGAATCACTAATTTTTTGGAAAACATAGTAATTTTTAATAGATATGATTTATATATAATAGTAAAAAGTTTGTTCAGAGAACAAGTAAGTAAATGTTTTAAGATTCTCTGTTTTAATTTCTAAGTATACTCTTAGTATCAGTAGATATAATCCATGTGACAAAAAGCTCTTTGGGATCCTCAGTGATTTTTGAGAGGGTCAAGGGGCACAGAGACCAAAGACTTTGAGCAAGCTTTTCATCCGTAAAAAAGATGTAATATCTATCTTATAGGGCTTTAGGGACAATTAAATTAGGAAAAAAAGTCTGGAAATAAGCCAAAACAGTAACTAGCACTAAATAGATTGTAGCTATTTTATTACGATGATTATTTTATTATGATGATTTTTTAAATTTTTTTTTGTTTCAAGTTTTTATTTAAATTCCAGTTAGTTAACATACAGTGTAATATTAGTTTCAGGAGTAGAACTGAGTGATTCATGACTTACATACAACATCCGGTGCTCATCACAAGGGCCCTCCTTAATGCCCATCCCCCGCCCACCTCCCCTCCAGCAACCCTCAGTTTGTTCTCTGTAGTTAAGAGTCTGTTTTATGTTTGCCTCTTTTTTTTTCCCTATGTTCATCTGTTTTGTTTCTTAAATTCCAAATACGAGCGAATGTCTTTGTCTTTCTCTGACTTATTTTGCTTATTAGCATAATACACTCTAGCTCCATCCACGTCATTGCAAATGGCAAGCTTTCATTCTTTTGTATGGCTGAGTAATATTCCATTGTGTATATACCACGTCTTCTTTATGCATTTATCAGCTGTTGGACATTTGGGATCTTTCCATAATTTGGCTATTGTTGATAGTGCTGCTGTAAACATCGGGGTGCATGTGTCCCTTCTAATGAGCATTTTTGTATCCTTTGGGTAAATACCTAGTAGTGCAATTGTTGGGTCATGGGGTAGCTCTATTTTTAACTTTTTGAGGAACCTCCATACTGTTCTCCAGAGTGGCTGCACCAGTTTGCATTCCCACCAACAGTGAAAGAGGGTTCCCCTTTCTCCACATCCTCACCAACATCTGCTGTTTCCTGTGTTGTTGATTTTAGCCATTCTGACAGGTGTGAGGTGGTATCTCATTGTGGTTTTAATTTGTATTTCCCTGATGATGAGTGATGTTGAGTATCTCTGCATGTGTCTGTTAGCCATTTGGATGGCTTCTTTGGAAAAATGTCCATTCATGTCTTCTGCCCATTTCTTTAACTGGGTTATTTGTTTTTTGGGTGTTGAGCTTGATTAAGTTCTTTATAGATTTTGGATACCAACCCTTTATCAGATATGTCATTTGCAGATATCCTTTCCCATTCCAAAGGCTGTCTTGGCTTATTTATTTAACCAACAGGTTCCACTGCTACACCAGGAATAGTGGCTGCAAGTGGCAGTCCATAAGAACTCTCCGGACCTCTGAAGTGAGTCAAATCTAGGATCTGTTTTGTTTGGATAGCACATGGTTTTCTTCTTCCTCCCCCTACCCCTTCCACCTTCTTCCCCCATTTTAAAAGCCTTTCAGCTAGACACGCTTTGTCCAGTTGACAGGAGACTCCACAACTTCCTGCCTAGTTCACATGTTTATTTTGCCTTTTTGAGAGCCCCTGAGGCAATTAATTAGGTTGCTTCTTACCTACAGTGTTAGGCGAGTAGTGGCCTGGGCATGGGATATGCAGCTAGGGCTGGCCAACAATCTCTAGAGAATGCACTGAAAATGATGGTACTAGCTCCTGGCACTCACAAGATTTAAAAGGTGAAATTATGGTTATGGAGAGTGGGGCCCCGGGCTGCCCATTATATTCTCCATTGGGTTAAGTGTCCTCAACATAACCGATCTTTAGTGACTTCTTTAGCCTAATTTATCTATTCATTTGCTCTCCCACTAAAAGTACCAGAATTCAAAGAAACACATGGGAATAATAAAGAGTAAGTCATGAGTCATTGTTTGAAAATAAAGGATTTATCTGGTCTTTGTCCTGAGTTCCTGGGAGGGAGCTTCTAAACCCCTGGAATTTCTCCAATGATGGGAGTGTCTGTGTTGTTTCTGATGGGCCCCTCAGACCACACCAGAGTTTATGCTTTTGACATGTACCAGAGTTTATACTAATGAGGGGACTCACAGTGGGCCTCTAGATGGTCTCAGAACAGGGCTGGCCTTGCCAGAACTGCAGCCCACGGGATTAGAAGATTGGGGCCTTGAGCAACATGGTATCAGCCGGACCTCCAGGGAGGAGAGGGTTGCTGGAGACTGAGTTCACTCAGGCGGCCAAAGATTCAACCAACGAAGCCTTCAAATGAAACCGCAACAAAAACTATGCACAGAGGCTCCAGTAAATTCTTAGTGGTGAACATATCAATTTGCTGGGAGGGTGATGTGCCCTGAATCCACCCATGGGGAGAGGACACAGAAGCTCTGCATTTGGTATGCTCCTAGACCTTGCCTTATGTGTTTCTTCAGTTGCCTGGTCCTGATTTGTGTCCTTTAAGACAAAACTGTAATTGTAAGCACAGCACTTTACCAAGTTTTGTTAGTTGTTCCAGCATATTATCAAATCTGAGGGATTCCATAGGACACCCTCCCCCAATTTATCATCAGTTGGTGATACGGGTGGGTGGCCCAGAGACCCCTGAACTGTGGCTGGTGTCTGAAGTGAGGGCTGACTTACTGGGGACTATTTCCCTAACCTGAGGGAACTGTGCTAACTGTGGGGAGTTAGCATCAGAACTGCACTGCAGGGGCACCTGGGTGGCTCAGTTGGTTAAGCGGCTGCCTTCGACTCAGGTCATGATCCTGGGGTCCTGGGATCGAGCCTCACGTCTGGCTCCCTGCTCAGCGGAGAGCCTGTTTTTCCCTCTCCCTCTGCCTGCCACTCTGCCTACTTGTGCTCTCTCTCTCTCAAATAAATAAGTAAAATTAAAAAAAAAAAAAAAAAGAACTGCACTGCAACATTGCAGTCAATTTCTTCCTTTCCCTAATATGGAAACAGACAGCCCAATACTCACTTTGCCTTTGTCAAAGTATGATATGATTTCTTGGTACAGCTTCTCTTTAAGCTCTTGCTGGGTATAGACATAGTAACTGTCCCTCTGAAGCAAATGGGGTACACAGGGCTTATCAGACCACTGAAAAACAAACAAAAGGAACAAAAGAGATTAACACAACATATTGATTAATTAAATTCATTAACCAAAGGAAATCCATGTAAAAAGTATTCAGCCAATAAAAGTCATGGACATATTTGTATATATTTTTGATTCAGCCATATTATTTATATTATTTATTAAACACAAAAATTTCCCCCCCTCACAAGACATATGCCAGCTTCAAAACAAGTGTCACACCAAATGGGCAACCATGTGAGGCATTCCTGTGAACAGTCAGGAAGGGGGCAGAGAGTGCTGCCCAGCACAACTGCTGGTCACTGAAGGTATCATTCAGACAACAGGATGAAAGAAAAAAATTTGAAGTATAAAAATGGGAAGGAAGGGGTAAAACTATGACCGTGTGCAAAGACCGTATTCTTTGTAATCCATCCCTTCACAAAGCGTGCCAAATGAACGACTATCACGGATAATGAGAGAATTAAGCAGCGGCAAAAAAATTAACAAATTCAGAAATAATTTAGAGAGGGATTTCCCAGGAATAGATAACCATGCTGAAGAGAGAAGACCCCAACAAGAATAAACCCCAAATGAGAAGATATCCAGGCACAACAATGTGAATGTACTTAAGGCCACTGAACGGTCCACTTAAAAATGGTTAAAACAGTAAAAGTTATGTTCTGTGTATTTTACCATAATTAAATTAAAAAGAAAAGGCATAACGAGGAATATGTAAGACTTCTATACAAAAAGTTTAATACACCCTTGAAGGGCACGAAAGCGGACCTGAACAAATGGAAAGTCCTATTATGTTTTTGGATAAGAAAATGCTGCTCCATAAACATGGAAATTCTCCCTGTATCAATGTTTCAATTTCATGATTCCAAAGTGCATATGGAAAAATAAACAAAAAGGAACAGGGCAGAAAACTCTGAAAAAAGAACAGCAATGAAGAGTAACCACCAGGTAGTAAAAACGTACCATAAAACAGTGTGGTCCTGGTGCATGAACAGACAGAGCGTTCATTCAGACCATGCAAAAGTATATGCAATCTGGCAAGAGACTTGCCTTGTGTAGCGATTTACTACATGATAAAGATCGAATATCATCCCAAGGAGGAAAACATGGACTATACTTAATAAACGGCAGCCCTAAATTCAGTAGCTAGCTGGGGGCGGCGGGGGCGGGGGGGGGAGACGGGGAGTTGCATCCACACCTCATACTTTACACCAGCTTAGAGAGTTAAACTTTCTGAGCAGCACAGATGAAAAGACCTACCCTCACCGAGACACTGGAGTCTCTGTGATCATTCCACGGTCAACAAGCCCTCCCACCATCCCATATACAATAAGCCTGTCAGTGCGCTGAACTTGAATATGAATTGTGAATGGCTGCCCTGGGAAGTGGTGAGGCAGAGGACTCCTGTTTTTGATGACAAAGCTAAGAACGATGCACATGTGTTATTTTAGTATAAAAATTAAATTATACCAGAAAATGAATTGCTAGGGGCAAGAATGGAGACAGGGAGATGTAACCGGGGGCTACCGTTGTGCTCTAGGGGAGAGACAATGGACCAGGACACAGCAATGAAGGTAAAGAAAAGTGGATAGAAAGGAGATACAATCAGGATGCCTAAAAGATGCCTGCACTCCCGTGCTCACTGCAGCTGAGACATGGAAACAACCTAAGCATCCAACGATGGATAAAGAAGATGTGGGATAAATATGCAATGGATGTCATTCAGCCACGGGAATGAAGGAAATCCTGTCATTCTGGGCAACACGGATGGACCTTGAGGGTGTTACAAGCGAAACAAGCCAGAGAAAGACAAATACTATACGATAGCTCTTCCACGTGGGCTTTAAGAAAAGCCAAACACAGGAAAACAGAGGGCACAGTGGTGGTTACTGGGATTCGGGGGAGATGTTACTGAAGGATGCAAGTAGAGTCAGAGCATAAATAAATCTTGGACTCTAATGCATGATGATTACAGACAACAATACTGTATCACAAACTTCACATTTTCTCGGAGACTAGATCTTAATCGTTCCCACGCTGAAAAAAAAAATAAAGGTAAGTATGTGCCTTGAGAGGGGTGTTCATGGATGCTACAGGTCTGCGATTCTAGCTCGGCCTCGACGTAGGAGGGTGAATAAAAGATGACAACAGGTGCCTGAGTGCCTGGGTAGATGGAGGTGCCCTTTAGTAAAATGGGAAGAAAGAAGAGGGTAGGAATGGATGCAAGAACACCGTGGGGAATGACAGCTTCTGTTACTGCCGTGAGAAGTGCGACCTATCTATTAGCCGCTCACAGATTGTGATATGGAAAGAACAGTTCATACGTGAATGCAAAATCAGAGGACTGGTCAGAGCTAGAAAGCATTATTCTGGATCCATGACATATAGGTGTATTTATATCCATGGCCTACTACTTGGACTTTGTAAGAGAGTATAAGTAGGAAAGGCTGCTATATTCATTTATAACTCATTTCTTGGCAGTTCTACAATGTTTTTTTACATACATTAACCAACGTGTATTTTGTGTTTTCAATTAGACTGTCAATTACTGGAGGCCCATAAGGCTGTGCTCTGCTTCCAGAGGATTTTTAAATAAATGATAACTGACATTTTCCCAATCTTGGTCAGAAAATTAGCTGTGCTTGTTTAGAAGGCATACGAGCACTCTTGGATAAAAGGATCTCTCTTGAATAAGGCTCCTTCCCATCCAAAATCATGAAGCGTGCAGGATTTGGTCCCAAAGGGCTTGGACAGTTGACTTCCCTCCAATGGAAAAAGGCATCCCTGATGCACTTACCTGCAGCAGCTCAGCATGTAGGAGGAGGGTATAGGCGGCTTCTGTGTAGTTTTCAGAGTCTCGGTGCAAATCCCGCAGCTTGTACAAGTACCTGGTCAGAAGGGGAGGAAGGAGGCACTCTGCCGCACGGGTTCAGCTCATTCCACAACCAGGCCGCAGCCTGCTTCCCCGTCTTTCCCTCCCTCCTCCTTTCTCACAGATGAAGGAATCCATCACCTCCTGTCTCCCCCTCCCTCTAGCCCTCTCTTCCCACTCCATCTGCTCTAGTTTATACTCTTCCTTTAATGCAGTGGTGCTTAATTTTTTTTTAAATGTCATGGACCTCTTTGGGAAGCTAGTAAGAGCTATGGAATCTCTCCCCAAAGAAATGCATATAGTTAAAGTCCAAGTTTGTTTCATGCTCAGGGCTTCCAGCATCCCAGGCTGATGGTCCTTGACAGAAGGCACCCGTCGATCCTTGCCTCTGCCCAATGCTGCATTTCCTGACTGCTCTGGCCAGTCTTCTTTCCTTCCCTGGAATCTGAACACTATCCTCCCCATGCACTCCCTCAGACTGTACTTATTTATCTGTCTAAAGAGTTTACCTTTTTGGGGGAAGGGGGTAGATCACCTACGTTCTGGTGTCTCTCAAAGCAGCAAGCATGGTGTTGGGACTTAGTATTTGCTTACCGAAGAAATAAATAATAAAGCCATGACATAAATGGCAAAAGCAGAAATCTCCTCCAGTTTACCTTATGTATATGTCCTCTCTCTTCTTTTCTTTGTAAAAATTCTACCAAAAAAAAAGGTGGCAAAAATATCAATGTAAGTCAAAAGTTATGGAGAAGCTAGCCACAGAAATGGCCAAACCACTACTTTTGCTTTTCAACAGTGTCACTTTTCCAGAGGTTATTGTTTTCCTTTAACAAATACTCCCACAAAGAAAGGCAGTGACCATTGATAAAGATAAGTAGAAGAATTCTTTTAGGACCATGCATCTAAAAAACATGAGGGCCTCTAAGTGAACAAACAGCCAACCGATACTCAAGTCAATGGATGGTCTTTTTTTTTTCTCAAGGGGTCAGTGGAGTCGGGTTCTTCATTTATATTAAGCAAAGCATAGCAGCCTAAACGGAGGTCTGTGGTCCCGGTTATATATATCTAGGGAAAGCAAGACCACAGAGTTCTACCACCATGAGGATTCCATAGACTCCCTCCTCTAGTTTCTGATGCAACATTTCCAACAACAAAGCAACCACATATAAACAAGAGAGAGAAAAAGGTGAAGGATGGCCTTCAAGTAAGAGTTGAGCCAAGAGCTTATGTTTCAGTTTCCATCCCCATGTCTGTGGGAGTGGATATCTGAGTCCAAAGCTGAGTCAGCAGTTCCAACTGGACTCAGGACATAAACTCCATACAGGTGGCCCCAGGGTACCTTTGTGCCTACTCAGAGCTGAGCCATGCTTGCAGGGGTGGCCAACCCGGGGGCCTGGCACCTACCAGCACGTTCACAGTACAGCTCATGCGGTTCTCCTTGCTCTCGTCATGCATGATAATGGTTCTGTAGTCCAATAGGTGCTCTAACAGGCTGCTGACCAGGAATGCAAACACTTCTCCAGAGGTGGAGAGGTATTTATGTTTCCGGCAATGTTCTAGGAGCCTGGAAGGGTGGAGGTAGAGACAAATGCCCGTGTTGCATACTGTCTGTCATTCCAGCACCGTTAATGAGCACTGTCCAAGGTCCTGGCAGCAGGTGGCGCCAGACCAGGAGACACACACCTTTCTGTGTTAGGTCATCCTATCCCAGGGCTTTGCTTATGCCGTCCCTCCTGGTGATCCCTCCTGGTGACTCAAGTCCTACATTGTCTTCAGGGCTTTGGCTCAAGTCCCACTGTCACTTAGAATCCCAGCCCACAATGCCCGTCTTTGAACTTCTCTCTGTACTTGTTTTTTGTTTTTGTCTTTTGTCGATACCACAGAAATGAGAACCTTTGCCCAAAAGGTTTATGTAGGCTATCTGATCACTCTACTGAAACTGAAAGAGACCATCTTTTTATGTCTTTATTCTCCCTAAAGCCTAGCACTTCAAGGGCATCCTGTGGGCATTCTGGAAAGCCTTGAATCAGTGCCCAGTCTAGAGGACCCTAGGAATCTAGTGCACATCCACACACATGCCTCTTCAGACGAAAGTGCTATTTAGGCCACAACAACAAAATTGCAAAATTATAAATAAATAAGCTGAGGATAAACTTTTGATCTAAACCTTCTCCTGCTGGACCCAAATAGAGCAAAGCTACTCTGTGAGGGCTTCTTGGATTTGACAAGAAGAAATCTTGGAGAACAAGAGATAAAGAAAGAAATGGGCTCAAAGAATTAGCCCAGACTTTAGGATTACTCTTGAACACTGGAGATTTGTGTAGTCACATTTTTCTGAGTTAGTGATTCAGGAAGAATGAAGAAAAAAGATCTTACAGTGAAAAATCAGATTGGGATTTAAAAAAAAGGGTAGTTTATCATTTGTAAATTGTGTGTGTATATATGTGTATATGTATGTAATTTCTCCATTTAATTCCTGTACGAGATCTGAATTACAAGAGTGATAACGTCAGAAGGTTTGAAACTCAAACAAGTAGACTTAACGGAAACAGGATAAAAAGACCAACGAACGGGTCTTGTCATCCACTAAAAGCAAAATAAGATAAGAGTTCTGGTTCTTGAAAATATAGTTGAGTCATCAATTCAGTTCCATTTCTGAGCACCCAGTGTGCTGGCTCCTTAAATCTTAAAAAAACAAAAAAGAAAACAGAGTTGGGAGTCCCTGTCCCCTAGCATAGTCTAGTGCGTGCCACTCCCACAAAAGAGGTGGACAACAAAATGACAGAGGCATATGCCCAATCAACAGGTGACACAGCTGGTCAGTATCACAAAGGCTCAGAGAACCCACGAAATGAGTAGGCTCAGGTGGTGAGCACCATGGATGATGGAGGACTTGAAGATGGTAGCCGTGACCAGCACAAACCCACAGCAGCGACGCTCCATCAGCACAGGCTCGGTAACAGATGCTGTGCTAATACATCACCTTATTTAATCCTCAACCAATACCAAAGTGTACATGCCATTCGTGCGAATGAAAAAGAGAGAGCCATCGGCGAGGTCGTCAGAACACTGGTCCAAAGTCATGCTCCTGGGATATGGTGAAAACAAGATTTGAAGGTTTCTCTACCTCCAACCTCCAAGTGTTTTTAACCACCTTTTTGTTGTAATCCCACATGTGCAAAGGAGAATTCAGAGGGCAGGAGGGGTGAGCGGGGCATGTGTGGGTGGGTAGGGAGTGGCGGGGATACTGTGAGCACAGGAGGAAATAGAAATGGTGGATGTGGGGGAGGTGGGCAGGGCAGTGCAAAGATCAGCCAGCTCGAGATATAACAGGTGTTCTTCGAGGCCCTCTATAGGGCAGAAGGTATTTTTAAAGGTAAAGTGGACTTTGAAATGTTTTTTTTCCTTCCTCCTTTAAAATGGTGCTTTGAAGCCATATTTAGAGGCACTAGCACTTTTGGTGAAGTTCAGCGATTCAAACACTGGGCAAAATGCCATTGCTCTGTACATCTCCCCCTTCTCCTCCATCTGCTCTGTTCTCGAGGGGCTGGCTGGCCAGGAAAACACGGACATTTGACTCACTCAGACAAACAAATGTCAGCAGTGGATGGTGGAAACTCCATTAACCCCACCGAGGACCATTTGTGGTGGTGACCCCAGTGCTTCTGGAACTACTCGACTAGTCTGTAAGGGTAGCAGAAATCTGCTTCTCTCCTTTGCTAAATGATACATTAACCTGAGACTTTGTTTCTGAAATACTCACAGTTTTTCCAGAAGGACCTTGTATTGTTCATCTCCTCTGCCCCCTTCCACCTCTTGGTCCAGCTTTGTGATCAACTCGTTCTCAAACTGAAAGCAGAGTTAGACTTTCACAGGAGAATGCCAGGTATCCTTAGAAGAGGACATGTAAGACACCCAGCCAACCTTCCTAGATTCGATCCAACCCCTTTATTGAACTGTGAACGCTTTCCAACATATTCTAGGGGAAGATCGTACTTCATGTCATCCATTAATCATGTACCAGGGCTCTACCGAAATGCTCTAAACTAGTCTCATGTTATTTTGCTTTACATTGCAGGAAAAAAAATGCCCTTTCTTCCTCTGAAGGAGACCTCAAAATAAGAGACCACCGCATCAGTCCCCCAATCCATGGCATTATTTTTGCAGCTGTGCTGCAACAGATAGGATTAAGATGTGTGATGTCAAATTTTAATTACCCAGAGATGTAGTGCCGTTTTAGGAAACACATGTAGCAAAAAGATGGTTTCTAGAACATCCGATTCTGTCTCTAATTGTTTTACAAAATGAAAAGTAAACAGTTTTTAGACCAACTTGGATTTGTATTACTTGGGCAACTGCTTCTCTCTAGAGAAAGAAAGAGCAAGTGTTGACTATCTGTGCATCCGGAAGATTCCAGTTCTACCACTTACCATGTGGAAATTGCCGTTCCCACTAAAGTTGAACTCACACTGCATCATGTCAAAGAAAATGGGGATGGTGGCTTTCCGGAGCTCAACCTCAGGGGTCAGGGTGACCTCTAGAATTGGACCCACCATGGAGGGGATAAATTTGATTTTGTGGGGACCTGAAATGAAAGTAAGTGAGGGTATTGAAAAGTGATTTCACTGGAAGTCAAGCGTCACCACATTCCTCCACCGGGCCAGAAGAAAAGAAAAAGGTCACGTGGGTAAATCAACTCAATTCAGAAATGAGTGCCTAAATATTTTATTCTGTTGTCATAATACAAGAGCTACAAGTCAACTTTCACTTCTAGACACACACACAAAGAGGTCTCAGGGTTATTGGGACTTAAAATCAAAAGAACCCATCATGGGGTGCTCATTACATAGGAGTTGTGCGTGGGCCGGTTCAAGGTCATACACTCACCCAGGTTATACCACATGTCCCGGATTCTGAAGCCGATTTCCTTTCTCATGTCTCCGTATCTAGGAAGAAGATCATAAACAAGAAAAAGATCTGCAGTGGAAATAAGTGCATATATTGAAATGATGAGGCAAGTAAAAATGGCCATTTGCTCCTCTCGGTCACATTTATGACAGGTTTGAAGCAAGGTCACTTTAAGAAATGCAGTCAATACCAAAAAGAGCCCCCAAAGAGAACTGAGCCACATGGATAGGGGGACTCTACTAGCAGGAGGGGGCCAAATGAGAATACTGAAAAGTAACAGAAAAATAAAATTGTCAAACTTATTGAAGGGAGAAGGGGGAGGAGCATTCTGGCCAATATTAAGCAAAGAAACAAAACAAAACATAACAAGCATGAATGAAAAGGAAGATGAATGAGATATGATTTATATAGTCATGTGATTAATGTCTAACAAACATACTGACTTTATACATTTTTTATTTGAGTAACCCATCTGCAAACCAGTACGTTCTTCAAAGTACGCACACTGAGAAGCTCGAGATATATTTTCTCAGTGGGGGGGGTGCTGTCCCCAGAGGAATGAACGTTGGACCTCGGGGGCGCGGAAGGCTTACTGTTCTTACGTATGAAGTTCAAATATACATATAGCATACAAACAGATATGCAGTATATCTGTGGTATTAATATTTCAGGGGGGTGTGGTTAGAAAACCAATTTCTGAAAAGGTTCCTTATAGGAGTTGATAATGAAAAAAAAGAAAGAGAGAGAGAAACATTGATCTAGACAGTGGTTCGTGGCTGGAGACGAATCAAAATCACCTGGATATCTCTTAAAGAATACACAGGCCTAAAGAATATACACCCCACACCACAACCACAGAGGCTGGGGGCTGGGAAAACGAGAAATATGGCCAGTGTTCCCAGGGAACTCTAATAAGGACGTATGGCCCATCCTACAACCGTATTTCGACATTTTCTGCTCATTGCACCAAACGTTTTCAAATTCCTCCTCTGTAAATGCCTTCAGAAACCAGTATAAAATTTTTATTTAAAGACTTCTACAAAAACAAAACAAAAACAAACTTCTCTTACTATTCCATTTTAACAAAAACACCTAATTTTATTAATTTATACTAGGTAAGCATATGTAGTTAATGTCTGGCACATAAACAATAAATGATAATTACTCCTATTGTTTATTAATACTGCTGTTGATGCTACTGCTACTAAAAATAAGAGAAATCTTGAAAAAAACTGATTTGTATTTCTATAACATTAATAAAAATGTTTTCCCAAGGTGCACCTTTGTCCATATGCATATGTATTTTATATAGCTTGTCCTCAGTCACACTTCCCTCTGATCAAAACCAGAATCATTAAGCCTAACTAGCCAGTTTATTTATCAGACTTGGCGTCAACTAACTTCACTTTTGATTGTTTAACCAAAATCAAATCCATCCTTGAAAGAAGTTATGTCATTTAAAATAGTCTAAAGAATAAGAGTAAGAGATCCATCTTAAAAAATCAATTTTCTCTCCATACCCACCCCATAGGGAAATCTGTAAAACCGGTTTTACTTTTATCTTTGAGATTTAAATCTCAACCTCTCAGCCACCGTATCAGTGTTTTAGGGAGAAACCAGGGGTAGACAGACACCAAATAATTTGCCTAGAATCCCCAACATCCCGGCAAGGGAACAGAGCTCAAATTTCACAGCCTTTAAATGACACATTTCTCACGTTCTATTTAACTACACAGTCCTGAGTTTCCAGGCTCCCCGTGAACTCTGAAACAGACCAGGAAGAAAAGCAATGAAAAGCTTCCCTAAGTCTCTCATCGCTCTCAGTCATATGTCCACATGAAATTCTGAGCCAGGAATCTGGAGGGCATTTTTAGGGGATGTGTTAGTCTCGGACCCTCTGCTGAAGTGCCCGAGAGGTGAAACGGTGCGGCCATAGGAGTCTGCTTTGTGAAGCATGAGTGAGAGGTGCTGTGCCTGCAGTGCGGGTAAGCGCTGTTCTTGGCGATGGGAGCCCTGGCCAGCCTCAGTGCCTCTCCAAGTATGGATTCCATTTTAAAAAATTGGATGGGTGGGGCGCCTGGGAGGCTCAGTCGGTTAAGCGTCTGCCTTTGGCTCAGGTTATGATCCCAGGGTCCTGGGATCGAGCCCGCATCAGGCTCCCTGCTCAGCGGGGAGCCTGCCTCTCCCTCTCCCTCTGCCCCTCCCCCGGCATTCCATCTCATTCTCTCTCTCTCTCAAGTAAATAAATAGAATCTTTTAAAAAAATTGTAATGGTTGATGGGAAAATGAAGGGGGCCTTGAGAAAAGAGACATGAATTAGAGGAAATCTGAAGCCTATTAAATGATTCCATTAAGACCTATCTCACCAACAACATAGGGAGCCCCTGAACAGTAATGTTTCTGTGATACCAAAAATCCTGCTCTGAATAGAAATGGGAGAATCGGGGCGCCTGGGTGGCTCAGTCGGTTAAGCGTCTGCCTTCGGCTCAGGTCATGATCCCAGGGTCCTGGGATTGAGCCCCGCATTGGGCTCCCTGCCTGGCGGGGAGTCTGCTTCTCCCCCTCCCACTCCCCGTTTGTGCACTCGCTCACTCGCTCTCTCTCACACACGCTCTCTCTCTCTCTCAAATAAATAAAATCTTTTAAAAAAAAAAGTAGAAATGGAAGAATCACCTTGCCAATCTTAAGCGAGTTTAAGAGGGCACTTACTTTTTGACAATTTTGTTGCGCTTGGCTTGAGAGAAGGTTTCAAGCTGAAGGGACTCGTGGGTGAGAAATGCTACTGCCAAATGGAAGTAATTGTTCCAGAGCTGCTCAAAATTGATTGTGTGGGTGAAAAGAAATGGAAAATAACATTAATATGGGTCAGAGTAAAACAGTGCCACATGGTAGAAATTTACTCACAGGGAGTAAGGAAAGAAACAAAATAAAATCCACCAGGCCCCTTTTCCTTTCTCGTGTTTCAGTTATTCAGCCCTGAAAGTTTTAACACTTACTATTAAGCTTTTTTTTTTTTTAATCCAGACTATTCTATTTATCTTTACTCCTGAGATAGGGGAAAACTGCTGCCAAGAAGTGCACCTATTTATAGTGAGTAGTTTGGCAATATGTATCAAAAGCCCTAAAATTCTGCCAACTTCTGAAATAGTAAATACTTTAGGACTTTATCCTGGCAAAATAATCATGGGTATTTAAAAATATTTAAAGCAAGGAAGGCCTTCATAGTGTTATTTAAATAACAGAAGATGGAAACAATCTAAATGTTCTTAAGAAGAATTTGGTTAAATAAATCATGGCCCAGCCGTGCAAGGGACTGTACTCAGCCATTAAAAATACTGTGAAAACATTTAATATCATTGAAAAGATGATAGAAAAAAATTATATTAATAGGTTGCCAAAGAACTGCACAGCTTGATTCCACTTTGGCATACACACACACACACACACACACACACACACACACACACATTATTCTAACCAGCAAATCTAGGTATTCCATTTTAGCTCATATAGACACACACACACATATGTATGTATATATAAATACATATATAATCTCCTCTTCTGGTGACTCTCCACTCTTAAAGTTCCACAGATATAAACAAAGCCACATGACACAGCAAAAGCACATCACCAAGAACTGTTTGTACCATGGGAGCGGGGAACTTGTCTGCCTTCACCGGGGCCTAGAATGGTGCCCTGTGCCTATAAATACCCTCATATTTATTGGATGAATGAAGATGGAGCTAGGGGTCACCTGTTTCACTACCACTCCGGATTGTCACACAAGTGTGTATATGAACCCCTCCTTAGAAACGAAACCACTCGTAGGCAGAGAAATGTCTGCATGTCCATCTGCAAGCACATGTGTATATGTGTATTTGTGTTATGTTAACAGCAGAAGGTAGGACTATTTGTCTTTCAGTTTTTTTCTTTTTCCTTAGCCATATTTTCTACTATTACTTTAAAAAAAAAACCTGTATTAGTTATACAGAAAGAAAAAACTCTACTTGATTGTGTCTGGAGGACAGAGTGACAGGAATGTATGCTTAAGGGAAAGGAGAAAAAACAAGAAAACTGTTTGCACTTGAAAATGATAAAATTTGAAGTGACATTTTCCAAAATGCCACAGTTGTCTTGCTGTGGCTGAGAATTCAAGGAGCTTCCTAGGTGAGCTGCATGCTTACCTGAAGTTCAAAGCTTGTCTGATCCATGAAGAACTTTGTGAGAACCTCAGTAAACTGATTTATCGCACGGAGGAAAACTCTGTGGAAGGAAAATATCAGATAAGGAAGCCAAGTTTCTGCTCTTCCAAACATCTCCCATCTACATGAAGAACCAAAGCAATCTAAACCTGGATTTGGCAACATGAGACCCTTAGCTCTATCAAGGTCATCAGAGACCAACGCCAAAGTAGACTACAGAGGACGCTCAAGTGCAGTTTCTAGAACTGACTACAAGAGCCACTCAAGGCTGCATCACCATTTAGCCACTTGAGCGTAGAGCTGGGATGATCAAACAGATCCCCTGAGTCTCAGACAGGGTTCCTTGCACTCTATTGTGATGCTTCTCTTTGCAAGTCTAGTGATACTGATGACAGTTTTTCTTTAATCTGTACGTAGTTCAGAAGGGTTTTTCTAATCAGGTATGTGGAGTTAACAACTCTAAGAAAGGTTTACCTTATTTAGTTCTTTCAAAAAATTCTAAAATCTTATTTGATATCTATAAGTGTGTATACACACACACACACACACACATATATACATATATATAAAATTCTGAAACTCTGAAAAGATACATATATTCAGTTCATTTTGCTCCCATTCACCAAGTATTTATTACAGTCCAACAACTGCAAAGCACTGGCTTAGGTTTCACCTTGAAAGAGAGGGTTCCTGGTCTGAAGATGTTTACAACTTCGTGGGGGTCACTTGTGAATCTGTAAATCTAACCATGACAACAATAAAGAATATGGAAAATTCAGTGGAGGGGCTATCAAAGAGGTATGGGACATCAAAGGAAGAGAATGCCATGTCCAGGTCAGAAATGCTTCCTCTGGAGATGGCATTTGAGAAGGACGTCGAATGGTGGCACGTTGACAGCCAGCGGTTACATGGGAAGGCACCGCAGGTGAAAGAAGCAGCCCAACAGAAGGCACAGAACACGTCCAGGGACCAGGAAGAGGCCAGTTTGGTTGGAGTGCAGGCTGTACACTGAGGGAAATAGTGGAAGGTAAGGCTAGAAAAGCAGGGTGGGCCAGGCCACAGAGGCCCTGCCTGTCCTGACGATGAAAGCCACAGGGCGCCACGGAAGGGCGCTGTGGGAGAGTCAGCAGGAGGAGGTGGACAGGAGGGCAATGAGGAGATTCCACCAGAGCTGAGAGCCCGAGGCAGGGCAGCTACAACAGCCCAGGGGAAAGCAAGAACGCGAGCCCAGAATGAGCATCCCAGGAACCGGAGGCTCCTTACTCTACCGAGCATGATGTCCTGCCCAGAGATTCAACAGTACTCTCTGAAGGTCGGATAACTGGTCACCTGGTCATGAGAGCCAAGTATTCAGGGTCAAAGGCCGCAGGCCCAGCCCTGGGCCGTCTTACCTGCTCTGGGTCATATTCATGACCATCCAGTCTTTGGCATAGACATTCTTTCCAATCAGATCCTTAAACATGATGAAAGTCTCCATGAGGAAGTCCTGCAGAGAACAAAGGAGGAACATTTGGGGGAAAACTAGGGGACAGGAGGGAGCGTGGCATCAGAACAAGACGTCCCTGGTCCATCATTACAGCCTATCTTTTAAATAAGGGTTTTTAGGGACCTGACAAGGACAAAAATGATAAAACTGAGGCTGTGAAAAGGTAAAAGACTTGCTGAGGGCTGTAGAGACTGGGTGGTGGGAGAGCGGGAAAGAGAATGTGGGGTTCTGGACCCCAAATTTAGAGCCGTGGTGACTTTGGCCCTCTGCTGCCAAGTTTGTCTAAACAGATCTACTGCACTTAAAATGAATCCACCAGCAATTGTGATACGTCTTGTAACTCTGAGCCCAATTCTCCTTTATTATTGTTAGAACAGAAGAAAACCACTATAAATAAAAAGCAAAGTCATAATTCTTCCTATTCCAGAAACATTCCCAGGGGTAGCCCAGGGGAAGGGGCCTAAAGGGTCCTTAAAAAGCACCAGTAGCAGTGGGTTGCGATGACAGTAATAGCTTAATAACAAAAGAACAGAGAGCACAGTATCTGCAGAACAGCTATTCGACTCAAAAGGGGACTGTGAGCAAAAAGCAACTTGGAACGATCTGGACTAAAAGTCAAAGCTAAAAAGTTTTGAAAGCCTTTTATTTATTAGTTAGTTAAATTTAGACATTTTCCACTTGGATTCCGGAGTTGAAAATCCAGGCCAATTCCTCTGGCATTAAACCGCACAGTTCTATCTCATGGATTACATCATGTAGCAGAAGGAGTGCGGGAGTTGGGAAGCCTGGGTTCTATTTTCAAACGCTGTTCCTCCGAGACGGTGGGCAAGATGGCCGACTTCCAGCACGCGGCCCGACTGCCGGCACGCAGGCCGTCACAGAGCAGCGGAGTGCCAACAATCCTGGCTGTGAAGTCTCTGCGACCTTTGACTCTTCCTCCGGTTCAGTGGAGAGTCAAACTTTGCTATCTTCAATTCTCAAATCATAGACATACCTCATGAGTTTTAAAATTTTTTGTCATCATATATTTGAAGTATACCCAACAATTTATTAACTATTCTATTAACTCTCCCAAATCAGTAAGTATTCGTGGTTTGTGAAGCAAGCATTAAGTTTAGAGGCTGGTTATCCACTCTTGATCTCGATTCTACATCCAACTCCTGGTAAACTAATTTAACTGGAAATAGTGATGGTATAATGAAGGTAATTCACAGACTGTCCCAGGCCTTACTTTATCTCCCGCTTCCCAATGTCTTCCAAGTGATTTACTCAGAAGGCAGCAGGAGGGAGGGAAAGGACAGTCCGCTGAAATGGCCTAGCTGTACGCCGCAGGCTTGCCCCTGACGACAAAAGTTCCCTCATGCAGATAATAATCCTTTTTAAATTAGATAATACAGGGGAAAGAGCTTACCATTGTTTGGAAGACAGGAGTTAAACCTGGGTTTTTTTTGCTTACTTAATGGAACCAAATTGTCAAAAGATTGAATTTAGTTTAACTTCCCTTATTCTACCTGCTTTCTGAAGGAATAAAGAGTCACTAAACTATAATAATAAAATTTTTATTATTATATAATAAAAGAGACAATATTAAAATTACTATTATAAATAGCTGGCTTCATAGGCATTAACCACAGGCCAAGCACAAAGTTTGGTAATTACCAGGTGTTGATTCAATCGATACTCATTTACGTTAACCCTCAAAATAAGTGCTAGCTTATAGACAAGGAACCTGAGCTTTACTGAAGTTAAATAGCTGGGCCAAAGTTTCACAGAAGGAAGTAGAATGGCCAGAATGGATGTTCTAAAGCCTGTGCTCTTAAACCACTATACCTTCTGCCTATGGAGGAGAAATATTGCTACCCTCAGCTTCCCTCCTCTGTTCCTAATTCTCTTGCCCTTGGTCTCTGCGGGCACAGTGACATATTGCTACAGGTCCCTATACCATCCTGCCTGCCAGAGCATGGCTTAAGTGGAGGCTCATGGAGGCCTCCAGATTAAGCCACATGCCATTACCACCACTACTGCTACTACAGACTACTACTACTACAGAAGAGCGCTCTCTCTGCTGTTCCTTGTGTGTTTTTCCATCATGTGGACCTCACAGAAAGGAAGGCGATTGGCAGAGAAGGAGCTGAATATCCTTGGGTGTACAGGCTACATACTACCAGTATAGTATAAATAGAAGGTAGAAAGAAGACTGGAAAATGCACAGATGGTGGGAGATCGTCCACAGCAAGGACTAGTGCAACAGGACACCGGATTGCTGAGCCAGCTGTGTCGGGCCCACTGCTTTACAAGATGATACTTTCAGGCACTTGTTAACAGCCACTAACAATTCCCTAAGGGGAAGGATCCTGGGGAAGCAGCCAGAGGCCTAACTTTGTGTCTTGGGCAACCTTTGGTTGTATGCCGAATAGTAATCATGGGAACAATTTTCTGGTTGAAAACAAAAGAGAATGGAATATTGTCAACTGAAGGTGACAGATACTTGCCAGACGGCAAATATCACCTTACAGGTGTTATAAGGGGCAAGTATGACCTCTTCTTGTTTCCCTTTCCAGGGACTACTGCAAAGGATGATGCCAACCACATCTCGGAAGCAGTACTGTGCACTCTCTGCCTCCGAGAATCCTTGCCATGGCGTAACAGCTAGCTCTGAAAATGAGGTACTACTCTCTTCTGAGAGCAAAACAGATCTCCCAAATGGTTCCAAGTAAGGGTTCTCTCTAGATCCAAGAGACTCAGAGGGTGGGTGAGGGCCTCTCGGTACATGTTTTGTAGTCTTCAAATGCTATCACAGAGAGAAAATAAGAATCAATCCTTCCCTTTTTGTACTCACTGTGGACAGTCATGCAGGACTGGAGGTGGGTCGGAAGGGAATCTGGGACTCATGTTGATGCTCAGTTTTGTTTTTGTTTTTGCCCAATATAAGAAGTCTTAGCGTTACCAGGACCCAGTGAAGACAACTTACAACGAGGTCTTGTCTGGTCTTGAAAGTGCTGATATAGTGGCTGTAGTGACTGTCATCCATCTGCCTCAGGGTCGCAATCATACACGCCACAAAGCTCCCCTGGAAGGACAGGAGACACACAGATCCAAGACCCCTCAGACCACCAGCTGACAGACCAAGGTTTGTGCGCAGGCACTCTGGCTGCCTCCCACCCAGTTACCAAAAAGGGGGACCCTACCAACCTGGAAACATTGTGCGTGCTGAAGGCCTAAAATGCACACACTTTGCTGTTTCTGCTTAAAATAACCTCCTTCCAGGTTTGAGTTAAGGAATGTGGAGGGCTCTGCTCGGCCCTTTAATAGTATGACTTGCAGAATCCCGTAGGTCAATGGACACTGACCCTGAGATCTCAGCTAGATCACTAGTTGAAATACCACCACCTGGGGCCTTTGAGCTTCTTGTTGAGACAGAGTTGTAGTCCATGGAGGAATGTCTGAGATAGTACAAATTTAATTTTGGAGGAATGCAAGGAGGAAAAAGAGATCATAAAACTGAGAGCGGAAGAGCATAGAGATGGGGAAATGAGTGCTCCCAGCTAGAGCACTTCAATGTCGTTCTTCCAGTAACAGAATCCTTCAGACAGTTACTTTCAGCATGTTATGCGTGTGTGATTACAGATGGGGTTTGAAGAAAGGGACTGAATAACTTCATGTTTAACATCAATTTATATTTTTGAAGTCAGGCATTACACATTCTATGTGCTTTCCTCTCATCCAATCATATTTGAATCACACGCTTAATTTTCTGGCCAGAGGGCAACTATCTAGGGGAGAATGCCCTCCTGTATTTACATAGTTATTTAAATGAATTGGCATAGAGAAGATGAATATACAGCTAATTTGGGGATGGAAGGAATGACTTCCTAAACACAAACACATGAAAGAATACTCTGAATGAATGCCTTAGTCTCTTTGGTTTAAAAAGTTTTACTTTTTCTAATGATAAAAGCAATGGAAATTTATTGTCCGAAGACTTCTGACACACAGTGCCAAACCACAGAGTTTGCATTCCTGTCATTATCATACTACTGGCTTCTCCAGGCCTTTGCCTATTCTGGGTCTCTGCATTTTATTTAATTTCATTTTTGGTTAATTTGCATTTCCTTTGTTCCAAATTACATATTGTCTCCTTGTTGGTTGGCCATTTGTTTTTCTCATTTTGCTGTTTGCTCATATTCTTTACCCATTTTTCTACTAAAATATCCTTTTTTTAACGGTTTGTAATAGGTCTTTGTATATTAAGGCTATTAGCCACTCGGCACAGATTTTACAAAATAATTTTTGGAGTTTGATGCTTGACATTTAATTTGCTTACATATATATTTTCACATATAGGGGTTTAGTTTTTTTACCTAGTAAACTTTATCTTTTTTTTTATAGTAGCCTTTCTATTTTTAAAAATTCATGAATCTCTTTTTTCTTAAAAATAGGTATAGAAAAAGAGGTATGGGTGAATGGAATTAAGAGCACACTTATCATGATGAGCACTGAGAAGTGTATAGAATCGTTTTGGTTTTTTTTTTTAAAGATTTTATTTATTTATTTGACAGAGAGAGAGACAGCGAGAGAGGGAACACAAGCAGGGGGAGTGTTAAGAGGGAGAAGCAGGCTTCCTGCCGAGCAGGGAGCCCAATGCGGGGCTCCATTCCAGGACCCTGGGATCATGACCTGAGCCGAAGGCAGACACTTAACGACTGAGCCACTCAGGTGCCCCTAGAACTGTTGAATCACTATTCTGTACACCTGAAACTAATATAACACTGTGTTAATTATAATGGAATTTTTAGAAGTATAGATTATGTTTTCTTCTAGCTGCTTCATTTTTTTTTTTTACATTGAACTTTCATTCCATCTGAAATTTATTTTTTTGGATATAGCATGAAATAAAAGTCAAACTTTTTTCCACATTGTTCATAATTTTCCAAATCACATTTACTAAAAATCTTCACTTTCCCTACCGAAAGGTAATAGAATTTTCATATAATCTAAAGTCGCCTTTTAAATTCTCTCAGTTCTGTTCTGTGGATTTATGTCTACTCCATAAGTCCAACACTATTTTAATTATTGTAGCTAATTATAATGTAGCCAATTATAATTATAATGTAGCTAAATATAATGTATATTATAGCTAACTATAATGTAGCTAAATATAATGTAGCTAATTATAATAAATCTGACAGGCAAGCCCCCCACTATTACTTCTATGTGGCTATTCATTTATGTGTATATTGTATTTATCTTCTTAAAAGTCTTTATTTATTTATTCTTTTAACATGGGGCTCAAACTCACAACCCCGAGATCAAGAGTTGCACACTCTTCTGACTTAGCCAGCCAGGCGCCCCATCTTGTATTTATTTTTACTCTCATATTTTTGTGACTGAGTTAAATGGGATTTTTCTTTTACAATCCCTAAATAGCTACTGTAGTTATATAGAAAGGCCATTGAATATTGTTTGTTTATTCTGAAACTGGTCAGTTTAATAAATTGTTCATTACTTCTGTTAAAATTTTGTTAGGTCTCTTGGGTTTCCTAGAAATGGTAGTCATTTCACTAAAAATGACAATTATGAAAATTATTTTCTCCTTTTTCAATAGTCATACTAAGTTCATACATATAATGTGTATATGTGTACGCATTTGTGTTATTACATTGGCTACAATTTATAGAAAAATGCTAAACAGTGTTGACATTTAACATCTTGATTCTCCTTTTTATGACCATCAAGTAATAGGTTGCCTAGTGATTGCTTGTTAACATCTCCTTCCATTAATTTGGAATAGATGTCACATCCATCACATATATTTTGGCATCTATGGAAATAGTCATAAAGCTTTTTTCCTTTAGTTCAACTGATGTATTTTATTAACAGATTCTTTACTGAAAATATTTTTTCTTTTTTTCTTTTTTTTTAAAGTAGGCTCCATGCCCAGTGCCGGGCTTGAACTCACGCCTCTGAGATCCAGGCCTGAGCTGAGATCAAGAGTCAGATGCTTAACAGACTGAGCCGCCCAGGTGCCTCTAACAGGTCCTCTAATACTTAACTATTCTTGAGTATGAGAATAAGCTCAATTAAGCCACATATATCTATATTCATTCACTTATTTATTTGCATATTTCTCTTTGTGGCTATATCTTTGTCTCTTTGTCTGTCTTTCCCTTGCTTCTTTCCTTCCTAGGTTTATCTTTCTCTAGCATTCTTTCTTTGCTTTTCTTGGCATCTCTACCACTCCCTGTATATCAGCCATCACCCCTCCCATCATCTCCTTTTAACAGAAACATGACAGGGACCCTGCTCCTTCACATTCAAGTCCCCACCCTTCTCTTCACACACACTGAGCCAAGATTCTTGAGTTGGCTTAAACGAGTAAGATAATGAACGATTTCACTACTAAAAGAGCTGAAGAGGTACATTTAAATTAAGATATGTTACGTATTACCTGAAAACCAATCTATCATTTCCTAAACAACACAGTTCTCAACCTGCCTTTCTTTATATGTTCTTTAAACACATGGCAGCAATGGGTTGACAATAACAATGAAGAGGTCTAGGTCTACACCTTTAGTACGAGATCTGAATCCTTTCATGTTTTGGATCACCTGGAGTCTTAACCTAGTGGGTACCTCTCTACATTCCTATTGGATCAGCTCTGTCACCAAGATGTGACTCTTTACACGAGGGACATCTTGAGATTTCTGCCCTGGCCTTTGCCTCTGCCTGAAAGGCCCCTCCCCACACCTCCACACTACCCCCTCTACCTTCTCCAAGTCTTTTTCCAAATCTTCCCTTCTCATGAAAATCATTCTTAATCACCTCGTTTAAATTTGTAACTCTCCCACCTTGACTGCCCTCATCTTCTCATTTTTTTTCTTCATGGCATGTATCCTATTTTTTGTTATTGGTATTTGCTAGAATATAAACTTCGCTAAGGTAGTGATTTTTGTCTGTTTTGTTCCCTAATCTCCCTCCAGTGTCTAGAATTAGCTCCTGGCTTATAGTAGTTTCTTAACACCTATTGGTTGAATAAATAAATGGCTTTTATTGACTATCACCATTTGGGATGGTTCTTTGCCTTCTGTCCTCTAAATAAGATCAAATCGTAGCTTTTAGCAGCATAAGTAGAAGATGCTTCATTTTAATGATACAATATGGTCTTCCAACAGTTACCTCTGGTTGCAAAGGTACTTCTTCTTTGACGTCTAACTGAGGCCCAGGGGGTGGAGGGGGAGAGGCCAGGGCAACCAGATGTTTCTAAAAACATGCTCATCACAAGTTCTTTTAAACATTTCTTTTTCTTTGAACCAAAAGGGCTGGATGGTACCACAGCGCACCAATCTACAAGCACGCTACACAGCAGTGGAAATGCAACGCAGGGGAAGATGGAACTGATCAGAATTCCTCTCCTCGCGACTACAGTGCATAGTTGGAAAACATAACCTGGTAAGCTGCCCAGGGTGGGGGTGGCCGCCATGCACGGCCTCGGCAGCAGACTGGCTGCCTGGGACCCAAACCCCCATTCAACCTCCTGGTGGTCTTGCAACCTCAGGCAGGTTTCTAAGCCTCTTTCTGCAAGTTTCCTGATTTGAAAAATGCAGCTGAAGAGCGAACTACCTCCTGAGATCTGTGTGAGGCTTCCATGAAATGTAAAGTGCTGGGGCACCTGGGGGACTCAGTCAGTTAAGTGTCTGCCCTCGGCTCAGGTCATGATCCCAGGGTCCTGCTCGGCAGGGAGCCTGCTTCTCCCTCTCCCCAACTTGTGCTCTCTCTCAAATAAAATCTTAAAAAAAAAATAAAAAGAAAGAAATGTAAAGTGCTTAAAATAATTTCTGACAAATTAAAAAAAAAAAAAAAAAGACCCAAACCAGCTAATGACTACTAGTATTATCATCACTACAGCTAGGAGTACTAATACTGTTCCTATTATCATTCTGACAAGGGTAGATCCAGAGGAGCATGTGAGATTTAGAACGCAATTACTTGAGATAACAGAGGAAGGACTGAATGCAGCCACCACAACCCTTCATCTTCTGCTCACAAAAGCTCATGTTGTCCTTAAATGAAATATTCAACAAAGGGTGCCTGGGTGGCTCAGTTGTTAAGCGTCTGCCTTCGGCTCAGGTCATGGTCCCAGGGTCCTGGGATCGAGTCCCGCATCGGGCTCCCTGCTCGGCTGGGAGTCTGCTTCTCCCTCTCCCACTCCCCCTGCTTGTGTTCCCTCTCTCGCTGTGTCTCTCTCTGTCAAATAAATAAATAAAATCTTTAAAAAAAAAAAAGAAATAGTTAACAAATATTAAAAGAGCATGAGGTCAAATGGGTACTGAGTTTGCCTACCTGGGGATCCCACACGTCTCAGTCTCTGCTGGATCATATTACAACAGGCTTGTCTGATGTTCAGAACGGATCTGTACACTTTGTGTTTACAGGGTCCCCAATAACTCTCCCCCCTTAACCTCTCCCACCACCCTTTTGGAGCATTTTCCCTCGAGAGAAAATCAGTGTTGGAATCAAGATCTGCAGGCGGTTAGAACCAAGGTCACTCATCCTGGAGGGCTGGAAAGTTCTAGAGCCTGCTCATTGCCCCTGGCAGCTGTGACACACAGTGTGCAGGCAGACGGTGAACTGGGATGAGTGGGGCCTGTGGGAATCTGGTCCCAAGACGCTGGTCCAGAGGACTCCCAATGGGCAGGTGGGACACTGAGAAGCCGCAGTGGCTGCCTGGTCCCAACATGATACTCACAATATGGGGAGATTGTCGGCTCATCCCAATCACGGTCCGGTTGATCCTTCTCAGCAGCCGTTCCATTATCAGCTGGATGTGCATCGCCGTGGGGCCCTGTGGAGGAAACACGGGAATTGACCCCACTTCTTCTGACTCAGCTTCACTTTTCATCAACTAACCTTTGAAAGGTGAGTTTTCTCTTAAGTCTCATTCTGGCTCTTCCCTGCAAAGCAATCTCTTGTCCAAAAAGGGAAAAAGAAGTTCACAGATGAACACATACTGTTACTTGGGAATCGGTTGAAAATGATTAGGTATGCCATGTAAAAGCTGAGTGTGGGGATGCAGGGGAGAACTCCCTAGTAACCCAGACCATCTGCGCTCACTACAAGGTCATTGTGACCACCAACTCAATGTAGTTCTGGGGGGACATCCCTGGCATGAGAAGTCAGTCCTGATGCTGAGTACATGGGGTGGCCCAAGAGAACTAGGCACGTGCATGGGAATGAAAAGGTAAAAATTCAACATTCTTGCTACCTTCTGTGTAGGAGGAAAAAAAACCCAAGAAATTCAAGTCAAGGAGATTGGTATTGACTGAATGTATGTGTTCAAAAGTCATATGCTGGGGGCATCTGACTGGCTCGATCGGTAGAGCATGTGGCTCTTGATTTTGGGGTTTTGAGTCTGAGCCCCACACAGGGCACAGAGATTACTTAAAAAAAATTTTTTTTTAGCTAAAAAAAAAGTTTTGGAAACCCCACAAAAGTCATATGCTGGTGCTTTAACTTCTCGTGTGATGGTATTTAGAGATGGATTTTGGGGAGGCAATTAGGTCATGAAGGCAGGGCCCTGGTCTTATAGGGTTAGTGTCCTTATAAGGAGACACCAGAAACCTAGCCTTTTCTCTTGCCACACATATACTGAGGAAAAGCCACGTGAGGACAGAGAGCCAGCAACCGTCTTCAGGCCAGGAGGGGCGCCCCCCCCAGGAACCGGACCGCACGGGCACCCTGACTTTGGACTTCCAGCCGCCAGAACCATGGGAAATAAATATCTGTTGTTTAAGCTGCCCAGTCTAGGGTATTTTGTTTTGGCAGCCTGAGAAGAATAACACAAGAATTTAATATTTTGACTTTGTCATGTGTCACTCTGAGCAATTATTTAACTTTGTTGAGCCTCTGTTTTCATAGCTGGGATAAAAAAGGTTCCCTTACAGGAATTAGCTGAGCTGGTGTACACAACAAAGAGTGCCTCACAAGTACGTATTTTTTTTTTTTAAGATTTTGCTTATTTATTTGAAAGAGAGAGGTAGAGCACAGAGGGAGATGGAGAGGGAGAAGCAGACTCCCTGATGAGCAGGAAGCCCGATGTGGGACTTGATCCCAGGACCCCGGGATCATGACCTGAGCCAAAGGCAGATGCTTAACTGACTGAGCCACCCAGGGGCCCCACAAACACGTATTCTTTATTTTTCCTTCTCTCCTTCTTGTGACTTGATGTTATACTCATTCAGCTCCAAGTTAGCAATATTCAACCTTGTCTTTCAAAACTTTTATCCATTCTTGCTTCATGATACATATTTTGAAACTCCTAGTTAATGCTTCAAATAACTAAATCACTACTATATATAGTTTTATTAAAATATCAAGTATTGTTAGCTTCCCTTTCATGCCTCCCTTCTTTCCTTCTTTGTTTTTATTATATATTCACTTGCTTCCCATTTCTTTGAGGGAACGTGATCCATAAAACCTGCCCCTCTGTTGAGGCATTTTACCCTCTATTATGTAACAAGACCACACCCCAGACCTGGCTAGGTGTGTGAGTCCTGTGCTGGCCCCATGTGGAGGTAGGAGAAGGAATCAGGCATTCTCTGAGCCCTTCAGAGAGTCACCTCCAGCAGGAGAGCTGGGGCTTGAAGATAAATAAGCAAAACACAGGACCCTCCTAGAAGGTCAGCTCCATGAAGGCAGGCTGCTTGCTTCTCTTCTTCACTGCTGCACTCTTAGACCTATCACAGTGCCCAGAGCGAGGGAGCTGTTTAAGACCTGTCTGCGAACTGAATCATAACTCAAGATACAAAACGCTAAGAACCTTAAGCAGGATGTGAGGAGAGCACAAAGGGAAGTAGCGGACTGGGGGAACTTAGGGCAGGACTGCACCGGCAGTGACCCCATGGAGGTGCTTACTGCAGCTAGACTTTGAAGAATTTGGACATTGTGCAGACACAGCTTTGGGAAAAGAAGAATCCTGGTCTATTAAAAAAAAGGCACAGGAATCATGTCAGTAATTAGAGCCGGGAATTAACTGAGGAGATGAGGGGATAGGGGAAGACATACAGGGTTGGTTTGAACATTTAAGAATGCTTATGGTGGGGGATAAAACTGTATCATTATCAACACCAAGAAATTATCAAATTTACTACTTTAACAGACGCTCCAAGATCAATAATCTTGAATGCTTCTGCTCATTACAGGGAACCTTATCAGGAAGACAAAAAAAAAAAGTTTCTTCAACACAATTAAATCTTCCAGCGTAAGATGTAAATACATTCAAGTCATTTCCAAAGAGTCCTTCTGTGTGGTAAGCAGGCAGGCAAAGATATTATATTAAAATTTTTATATTAAATATAAATCTTCACATTTAATTAATTTTATATTTATTTATGTTATATAAATATAATGTATAAATATATTTATATTAAATATAAATTTTGTTAAATTTATATTAAACAAACAATTGTATATTTATATACATTTATATATTTTATATGTAATTTGTTTATATATTTATATTATATATTATTTATATGCAAATATATATTTAATAATGCATAATTATATAAGTATAATAAATATAATTTTATATTAAATTTATATAAATATAAATATTTTTATAATTTATGTGTTGTCATAATATAATATATAGTATATAATACATATTATTTTTATATAATATATAATAATACATATTTAAATGTAAATATAAATTTACTGTAACAAATTTATATTAAAAAAAGATATATTAAAAACAAAACATGGGGTGCCTGGGTGGCTCAGTCAGTTAAGTGACTACTTTTCCCTCTCCCTCTCCCCCTCCCCACCGGCTTGTGCTCTCTCTAATAAATAAATAAAATCTTTAAAAAACAAAACAAAACAGCATCAGATGTGGAAGAGATCTAAGAGGCCATCTAGAACAATCCCTACATGTTATGGAATGGGAAACTGAGGCACCTGCAGATTTGTCTAAGGATACAGAGCTACACATGCGAATACCAGCACTAGAAAACAAACAGCCTGATTCCCATGTTTCAGGTTAGCTTTGGATCATATACATAAACACTTCTAGAACACACTGGAGCCCTGCCGAAACCCAAGTCCCTGGCACACTGTTGCCAACCATAACTTGGAGCTTCATTTTAGTATTTTGATTACCGAGTCATAAGAGTTACTTTTTAAAAATATTCTTATCATTATGAGCTGATTGGTCACATTTATTTATTTGTTGTAAAATCATTCCTCGGGGAAATTTGTTATATTTTATGTGGTTTCTAGAAACACATTTAAGAAAAAAAAAGAAGGGGAACATGACCTATAGTTAATAAATATCCAATAAATAATACAAATTGTAAGGTGGGCTGCAGGGGCTCGGGTAGAGAAGCCAATGGCGTTCTCCGGCACCTCCACGGCTGAGGCGCGAATTAGCAGAAATGCAGACGTGCCCGTGTGAAGATGAGCAGATGAGGCCAAACTGGAGTGGACCGGGAAAGGTGAGCTAAGAATTTAGCTACGCGAAACTGACACAGTGTTCTTCAGCTCCTTTAGCAGAACTGAATCTAAAGATATTGGAAAGAGAACAGGCGTAAGCAAAGCCAAGAGTGTTTTCACTGTTCTGTGGGAACACCGGTGCCAGGTAGCCATTGTTGGGGGGGGTAAGTGTGGTTTGTGCTCAGCTGGACACATTCTGCCAACTTGTCCAGCCTCCTGAGAGGCGGCCCTGCCTAGGCTATGGTCTGTGCTATCTCTAGAACGAGGTAAATCCAGGCTGACGCAGCCCCAAGGTTTCAGGGAGGATGGGTGCCCAGGTCAGAGAGAAGATGGGAGGTAAGAAAACACATCATTTCCACTAGGCTCCAAAAGGAAGGATCGGTGTCAGGGAGAGTATAAAAATGAGAGCATCTCAGAAGCTCTGGCACATCTACAACAGTCCTATCAGTACCAGAGGTAAAAGAGGGCCGAGGTTTCTGCATAAAAAATCTAAACAGGGCTCTGATTCTTCAAAGCCCCCTCAGGGATCTCAGTGGTGGACAAGCGGGGAAAACCAGCCCACAACAGGTACCCCAAAAAGTGGACCTCTCCTGGACCTAGATTTGCAGCGCAGGCTCTGGCAAGAAGCAGCCCCTCCGATCACCTCAAAACCAGCCCAGCCTGCCCCAGTACCCAGGTTCTAAATGGCCTGGGCCAAGCCCTGAGACGAGGAAGGCCCTGAAGTCATTCTTGCCCAAGGCAGAGGGACCCGTGTGTGCTGTGGTCTGCATCGGGTGATGATTCAACTCACCACATCCTTCCTGTCCAGCACTTCCAGGATGTTGCTCAGAAGCTGCGAGCTGGCCTCATGGTCTGGCTTGCTGGAGTTGTCATCTAACTGGCCGCTGAGCTGGTCGATCAGCAGCGGCAGCAGCACCTCTCTGCACTCTGAGGGAGAAAGTGCACCCAGCTCACCAGCTGCAGCAGCCTCCCCTGAGGTGCCCCGCTTCTGCCTGCAACTCTCCCTCTGCCCGATACCACAGCTGACCTCTGAGCTCCACCCAGCAGGGGCACAGCATCCTAGGCATGGAACTGCAGCCCTGTGACTTGACTTTAAAAGCTAAGAAAAGTACACCGATCATAGGCACATAAACAAAAAGGTTTAGCGTATTCAACAATGTCTTTAGCTTTTTTAAAAAAAATGCCAACTTGACAGCTGAAGGCTAAGTCCTACGAAAGGAATAAATTAAGCAAGTCACACTTTTTAAAAAAATTGGAAAGTTTCCACCTGATGGAGAGAATTTACTCTAAAATTTGTATAAATACTAAGTGAGATTTCCTAGGACACTTCAATGTGTTTCAAGGACATTCTGATCCTGTTTTTGCAGGCAAATGGGGTTCACAACATAAGGGGTTATCCTTCCATGATGTCTTCCTTCTGAGATCCTCGCTGTTAGAAGACATTATTACGATGAGGCCAGATGTTCTGGACGCTAACAGAAATGACTGTTAACAGTGGGAATACTTCCTCTAATTGGAACGCATAGTGCGTGCTTGCTCTGGTGCTCAAACACCCCATTTTTATCATCTCATGTACCCTTTCTGCGTGCTTAGAGGCAGAGCTATCATAGCATATTAAGATGTCTAGTAATACGTTTTCTACTTGAGAGCATTCACTAGCTTTATGCACATCCCCAACTGTGCCCTTGTAACAGATGGAATTTCTAAGCAAAAATTCACAGAGTCAGAAAATATCAGAGCCAAAAGAGGCTACTGACGTGATCTAGTTCAAATCCTTCCCTCCGTGGAAATGGAGGCTAAGACTTACAAAAGGTTCCTCATGTGTCCAAAGTTACATAACCAGCCAGGGGCAAGGCCAGGAGGCCTGCCACCAACAACCCACTCACCTTTCCCTATTTCTGAAGAGTCTTATTGGTCCTCAGACCCTCCAGGCAATACATGCAACATGGGGTCACCCTCTGGGAGCCCCTGACCTAGTGGTAGCTCCAAAAGAAATTCCCAGAGCAGCCCCTCTCTAGCCAGTCTTGGGTTTATTGGAGAAAGACCAGATATTAGACCTCTTCCCCATACCAGCTTTGGGACAAGAGCACGGTGATTTAGACTCGGTGGCTGTATGCTTGCCTCTAGTTACAAAATGAAGAGCATCTCACCCATGTACGATTCTTCTCTCCTCCATGCCCTCTGGCTCCCCCACGAAGCCTTCCCCGACCAAAACCTGTGACTTCCAGCGTTTGCCAATTTCTGTGGTGTAAATATGACCACTGTGACCCATTTTCAGCTCCTCATGTGACATGACCGAGCATGGAAATTAAGAAGAGAGACACACAATCCGCCCCCGAGCCAGGACGGGGTGGGGGGCCAGCACACCCCTACGCGGCTGCCCCCTAGCTTTTCAGGTTATGCAATGAGTACAGGTCGAAGAAGACACATTTGTTGAAGAGAACCATCTTTCCTGTTTGCCTGCTACTTTCTGGGGTGGCCCATTTTGAGGACCAAGTTCTCTTAATTAATGAAAGACTGGACTGTTCTCATTAAAAAAATGCACGGTTTTATTCTCTTAGATCCTTTTGGGAATACTAAACTGACTTTGCACCTTAAAACTGGTTTCTCAGGAGGTCCGTAAGTGCCAACCAACTACGGCAATGTCATTAGCAGCGAGACTGGAATTTCGGTGCATGGTAGTTTTAGGTGGGGACATACCGGACTGCCAGAAAAGATTGCTCTCCACTATCTTGGTCATGCAGTTCAGTTTCTGGCGAACTAACTGGTTGTCAGGGATGCTTTGAATGAACTTGCAGAAGAGCACGCTGCAAGAGAGATCCCAGAGGTTAGTATTTTCCTTCTGTCACACTGAAGGTAACATTCCACGGCTCTCCTCGACTCTGAGATCTGGGCTTGGAGAGTTTTCCCTGGAAATCTCTCCCAATGCCCTGCGAGTCTGCCCCTTGGAGGTAAAGCCGAGACTGGGTTGCACACGTGCTGCAGCGCGCAGCCTCAGAGCCGCCTCTATTTAAACCACCCAAGCACAGTCATGGCCATCAGGGCTCTGTGGACCTGCCTGAACATTCCTCTTCTGCACAACCCTTTCCTGGCTAACTCCACCCCGGTGTCGCTCACCATCTGACTTTGCATTGCTGGGTGCTTAGGGATAGGGCTGGAAGCGTATTATTACGTACTTTCTTCTGGAGTTAATTTCACGTCTGCGTGTCTTGATTCCCCAGAGAAAAGTGCAAACTTCTCTCAGGGGCAGGCTTTGTGTCTTCTTTTACATTTTCCACAAAAACTGAGCACCAGAAGGGCTTCAGTTAATACGTGTTAGAGGAATAAGAGAATGTGCGGCAGCCCAGGCCCCAGCCAAGCAGGGGAGCTGCTTCCTTGTTAAAGTCAGCAAACGTGCTCTGCTATTTACCTGAGCTCCACGGGATCAAACACAAGTTTGACGTCGTTAATGATACTAGGAAGGTACTTCAGAGCTGCCCCCTGTAAGAAAAATACCGAAAGGCAAATTCAGTTGCCAAGCAGGACAAATGCAGAATGTATTACTTAATCCTGGGAAGAAAAGGCTTGCATCTACATAGGGAACTGCACATAGATGCTCTCGCAGTAGAGAGGAGAGCTAAATGTTGCTAACGGTGATTGCCTAAAAGCTTTTTCCTAAGAGGTCAGATGGCATGGCCTTTTCTTTTTCTTCATTATCAACAGGTACTGTTTGTTTGGAATTCATTTTTCTATCTAAGGAGGTAGTTAAGATCTTGACATCTCCCTCTCAAGGTGGCCATAAGAACAAAGAATAAATCATGAAGTTCAGATCTGAATCCTGAGCGATGGCATATTTTACATGAAAAAATAAATTACCAATTATGAACATGATGGTGACTTTGGGCTTCTGGGAAGAATGGGGGAACTCAGAATAAAAACCTGTTGCCTGTAACATTGGGATCAATTGGCTGAATTCACACAGGCCACACAAGCCTTTGGTGGGATGTCTAAAAGGATAGTTTGTCTGTGGCAAACTGCCATTTGAGAATACAAATGGACATAAAAGTTAAAACACAGGTTCTCCTTTTACTTTTTGTAAGTACTAAAATTCACAGGCTTTCCGCGAATGATTCACTTTGCTTCTCTCCTACCGTGTCCAGTTCTATGTTGTCACAGAACCTCAAAAAAGAGGTACCCAGGCTGATACCATGCTGACCTTGATCTTGACAGCTTCCTCCAGGGGCCTGTCCATTAGCATATTGAAAGCAAGAAATAACTGGCGGATTGAATTATTAAATTCATCTCCATCTTCGCTTTGGCCGTAAAATCTTAATAGGAGAAAGAGAAAAGCGGTCAGGTTTTCCATCTTTAACGACTGATTTTTTTTTAAGATTTTATTTATTTATTTAACAGAGAGAGACACAGCGAGAGAGGGAACACAAGCAGGGGGAGTGGGAGAGGGAGAAGCAGGCTCCCCGCCGAGCAGGGAGCCCGATGCGGGGCTTGATCCCAGGACCCTGGGATCACGACCTGAGCCGAAGGCAGACGCTTAATGACTGAGCCACTCAGGCGCCCCAGGTTTCCCATCTTTAAAAAGAAATTTTTGAAAAGATCTGTCGCCTAAGCAATGCTGCAGGCCCATGCCTCCCTGGTCACCACTTGAGACTGTGCAAAGGGAAGGTCAGAGGGTGCTCCAAGATGGTTTTGGGGAGGCGCCCAGTAGGCTGACAAGATATTACCACCTGGACAAGAGCAGGTAAGAATTTTTACGTAAAGTCCTACCACAGAGCTCTCCACTTGGTCCACTATGGTCAGCCAGTCGGGAAGGACTCCCTTGAAGCTCTATGAAGCTGTCCATCCTAGTGGTGCATGGGCATTTCCAGCAGAGGGGGGAACAGCAGGAAGCTGCTCTGCCTGAAGGAGCAGATGAGCCCTGTGTGCATGCCCACCTTCCTCAGCTCATTAGCAGAACGCCCGATATGCAGGGGACTCCCCCAGCTCACTTTCCCAACCCACACTCTTGCCACAGCCTATCCTCCAGCATCACTCCTGCCCTCCTCCCTCGTTCTCCACTTCTACTCTTTCCGTCTCATCTCAAGCCCTGATCATTTGGGCTGAGGTTTCAGACAATGGATACAGAAGCTCCTCGAACCAGCAACCTTCTGAACCCAACCCAGTCTGCGAGTCCAGGAAAGCCAATCTTTACACTGAAACGGCCAGCTGGGTGCTGACCTGCTCTACAATCGGGCCTTGCGGCACACAGGTACACCTCGCCTTCACTGATTCATGCTGGTTTTGATTAAGGCACTCTGCTTGTCTTCAGGATTTGTCCATCTGTTGAAAAGTTGATTCTACTTATTCTTATAAGTAGAAATCAAAGGTCTTTAGCCCATTTCTCAGAAACATGAAAGTCCCAAATTGTAGTCCAAGTGCATTTATTGGGTGGCAATATTACCACCAACTGGTCAAGAGTAGGGATCATTTGGAATCAGGATTTTGTACACACACACACACACACACGTGCACACATATTTAAGTTTGTCTGAATTCACCTACACCTTATAAGGGACTTGTGGAATGCCAACTCCCCTGAGAAAAGTATTCAGTCAGAGGGTTATTGGTCATTCTCAATTCATCCATTTAGCAGAACTAAAAAAGGACTTTACTTGCAACTTGGTCCACAAAGTATCTCAAAATTAACATATGCAAAGCAGAATCCCCCTGATTCTCCTGCTCCTCTTTAGTATTCCAAGTCTCGGCAAATCAGCACCCAAAACCTGGAAGTTATCAGGATTCTTCCCTTCTTCTCATCCTCCCACGGAATCTAACAGCAAGGCCACCTTGCATTCTGCATCTATTGGAGATGGAGCCACTGTGTCTCACACTTGAACTGCAACAACCCACTGTGTGCTCACCCAGGGTTTGCTCTTCACCTTTGATGATCCACTTTCCACTTAAGAGATGAGATGATCATTGGAAATGTAAGCCAGATGTTACCGCTTCTCTAACTGAAAGCCTTCAATGGCTTCCCAGTCCACTCGGGTAAAATCCAAACTCCTTCTATGGACTGCCAAGTCCTACCTCGTTTGTCATTCGCCTGCCACTCCCCACTCCCCCATTCCCATTCCCCATGCTCCAGCAGCACTGGCTTCTCCTGATTTCTCACACAGGCCCTACAGAACCTCGTGCACACCGGCACTCCTCCTCCCTGAGACCTGCACAGGTGGCCTCCTCCTGTTTGGTCTCAACTCAAATGCCAATTCCTGGAGACGCCTTCTCCCTCCCTGGTCATTATCCCCCCAAGGCCTCCCCAGCTAGCCCTTACCTATTTGAAATAATCTTAAGGTTTCTTTCTTCACTATTCGCCTCTCTGGCTTCAACCCAACCCACAAGCACCATCAGAGCTGGAGCCTTGTTTCGTCTGCTACTAGACCCCCAGGACCCAGACCAATACGGGGCATCCTCGGTGCCAGGCATTTAAAAAGAGTGGACTAGGGGCGCCTGGGGTCTCAGTCAGTGAAGTGTCCAACTTCTGATGTTGGCTCAAGTCGTGATCTCAGGGTCCTGGCGTTGAGCCCCACATTGGAATCCACACTCAGTGGGGTGTCTGCTTCTCTCCTTCTGTCCCTGCCCCCCCTCGTGCATGCTCTCTCTCGAAAATCGTTCAATCAATCTTTAAGAAAAAGGGCGTGGGTGGGGGACACCAATATAAGACTGAGGTGGAGTTCTCAATGCCCTACCATGGGCAATTTACAATTTTAATTCTCCCTAGGTGTCTCCTGAATGGAGGTCAACTCCAGCCAGGAAATGAGCTCAGAAAGGAATTTAAGCTCTGAGGAGGGCAAAGGGGCAATGGAGGGGGCGTGAGGGTCTTGGGGGGGGGGGTGACATTTCATTTGTAGCTCCTGGACAGGGCCAGTAAATTAATGTCTATCTGATCTAAGCAATCAGAGAATGCAGATTTCCAGGCTTGCTTTCTCTGATCAAGCTCTTGTGTAATGAGAAACAATTGGAGGGGTGGGGATAACCATAAGCAGGTGCTCAGGGACCAAGTTCAACACAGCAACTCCCTTAGTTAATTTCATGGGCTACTTAACCACCCGAATCTTGGCTTTTCCGTTGTTCTTCTCCTAAGTGATGTTGAAAACGATGGCTCAGATGCACTGCAACACTGTGAAGGGTGACACACTACTGAGTCATCAATGAAAAATATTTTTCAATTTCATAAATTAAGATTTCCGTTCTATGGTTTTATGAGGATTTTTATTCCTGGACATCAGGGTTTACTATACAAATGTTTAGGTTAAGGGAAATGTTCCCTCAGTGGGACACTCCAGGCCCTAAATGAATTTGTGGAAATTTAACATAACTGCAGAACGAGGAGCTAGCTATAAAAGAAGCCTGTCTGAAGAGAGGTGGACTAGAGATTCTGTATAAACCCCGCAATGGGTAAACACCACTCGCTTCTGCTAGGCAAGGAGGAATTGTCATTCACCCAGGTGAACTTTTAAGTCATTAAACGTTTTTAAAAACTGTAAAAATGTACATAATCACTGTGCGAACTCTAAAACGATGAAAGAATAAAAACCTACTTAAAACCCTCTTACCTACAGTTTTATTCCTACTAAAATTTTAGTTCCCAAACCTCTATTTTTGAAATGGGATCATATAGCACTTATGTCTTACCCTTTAGTTTTATTATTTAAGAACCTATCATGGTTATCTTTGCTCAATAACATACCCTTTCTCATTCATCTTTGTTCACACCTGCTGAGTTATATTCCAGCAGATAAATTTTTAGATGGGGTATTACCAGACAAAGGTGGTGTTTTCTTTTGCTTTTTGTGGGTTTTGTTTTGTTTTTGCCTTTTATTCATGGTGTCAAATTTCTGCCCTTAAGAAATTTATATTCCTATCAGCATTAAAATGCAGGAACAATTTTTGTCCAATTTCATCAAAGGATAAAGATTTTTAATCTTTATCAAATGTATAGAAAAAGATAGTATGTGTGTATGGCATATTGATCATATGGATTTTTTTTAAAAATATTTTATTTATTTATTTATTTATTTATTTATTTATTTATTTAAAGAGAGTGGGGGCAAGGGCAGACGGAGAGGGAGAAAGAGAATCCCAAGCAGGCTCCCCACTAAGCACAGAGCCCCATGCAGGGCTCAATGCCAGGACCCCAAGATCATGACCTGAGCCAAAATCAAGAGTTTGACACCCAACTGCCCGAGCCACCCAGGTGCCCTTGACAATTTTTTAAGGAATTTAATTTACCATTTGGATTTTTCTCTTATAAATTATCTGTTTTTGTTTTCTATTATTTAAGGATGTTTATGATTCTTTGATTGCTAAGAGCCTTCTAATTAAAGGCCTTGATCTATACTGTACGTTGCAGACCTTTTTAATGTTAATTGTTTTCCTTTAATTTTATGATTTTTTACACATACCAAGTTAAAAAGCAATACAAATGCTCAAATCTAGACTTGAAACCCTCTTACTATAGTTTTAGTCCTAATAACATTTTTTAGCATGCTATCTGTCCAGTTTCCAAACCTGCCTTAGCAATACATTTGAACAGTTTGGAAATCCAGCTGTTACTGAAAGGTAGAGATGGCAGCGGGGTTGTGGGCATTCCCAGACAAGTTACTTCCTCATTCTTCATCTCTGCTTTTTTTTTTTTTTAAGGATTTATTTATTTATTTTAGAGAGAAAGAACTGGGCGGGGGGGCGGGGGAGGCAGAAGGAGAGGGAGAGCAGGAATCCCAAGCAGGCTCCTCACTCAGCACAGAGCCCAATGTGGGCTGATCTCATGATCCTGAGATCACAGCCTGAGCCGAAACCAAGAGTCAGACACTTAAGCGACCGTGCCATCCAGGTGCCCCGTCTCTGTTGTTTTTGATGGAGCTGTTATTCTAGAAATTCAAGCTGGGAATTATCATAGCTGACTTAGTTTCATCAGGTAGCTAAGCATGATGTCAGCGAAGAAACACATACCCGAGGAAACATCTCTCCGACGACAACTGCCACCACTCTCCATCTACCACCACCAAGCGCTCAAGATCCTAGATTTGTACACCCAACATCATGAGGTCCCTTGCTGTGCTAAACGCAATCTTGCCACAGGAACCTTGCTTCCTAGAGCTGTCATCACCAACCAGGGCTTTCATCAAGCTGCACACCGTAGCCACCTGCATCCCTAAGTCCTGCTGTCATTACTGCCCTAGAAATTCTGCTGATTCGAAAGGACTTTGCATGGGCCTTCTCTAGGGGTATCAGAGTCTACCACCATCTTCAGCCTTGGGAGTTTTGAAATTTGGCAATTCCATGACCTGACCATGATCAGATCGCTGAACATAGAGCATGAAGATTAAGGAAAAGTCCGTGGAGACAGAAGAGACAGCATAAACATTTTATTACAGCTACCATTACCTCAAGTAGAGTACTCTAGATTGGATGATGAATCGAAACAAGTACTTTAGGGCTTTCAAAGCAGCAAAAAGCAATTCTGTCTTGCTGGAGTCATCTGCATTAGCCACATAGAAGTTCAGTACCTTGGAGAGTTTCCTTAAAAGGGTGAGAAAGAAAATTGTCAGTGGGGCAAAGTGGTAGGGTATGTTCTGTAAGAAGGGAACTTGGCATACCAGGGAAGCAGAAATCACAACTATAATTACTCCTTCTAGAATATGCCTTGAGCAGGAAAATTAACTCCTTTGCAATTGGGTTTCCTCACTGCTGCAGTCTAGGTTTGAGCAGGAAAATTAACTCCTTTGCAGTTGGGTTTTCCTCACTGCTGTAGTCTAAGTTTGGAGCTTCCCTAATGCTTAGAAATAAGGTGTGGTTTCTTTACTTTAGCAGGATTTTTAAAAAGGAACAAAAATGAAAGTTGAAGGGATTCAAACCATGAAGGCATTTAAATCTCTAGTAGGTTACACACACACCCTCAGACGTTCCTGTAAGGAAGGGACTGTCTGCTTAATGTAGTCACCTTAAAAGAAGTCTAATTCCCTCCAGTCTGCCTAAACTCTTTGGGATCCACAGAATGGTGAGGATGGGAAGAGAAGCTCAATCTGACTTTGGCTCAATCTGACAAAAACAACCATGGTTTCTGAGCATCCCAACAGATAACACTGGGCTGGGATGTCAGATTGCTCTCCGTGCCTTTCCAGAGTCTAGGCATTTTCTTAATCGTTTGCTAACTTACACTTCTGGGAGCACTCGTAACTTGACCTTTCTTTCTGTAAATCTCTGAGTTTCCACAGTATTAAGTAATATCCACAGCACACATGTTGAACTGCTAAAGTCTTGTAAAGAAACCCAAATTACTACTTTCTGGAGTGTTGCATTTGGCTCTGTGGAATGAAGATCCAGTAATAGGAGTTCCTCACTTGCAGCTACCACCTGCTTGGGAAGTGAGGCTACTGGATGCAAAGAAACCTGTCACGAGCCTATCCGCTGCTTCTCCCAATCCAGCGGGCTTCATGTCCATCGTGTTCATTGGTGATTATGCTACATGACACCTCTTTTCTGTCACTTACATTTTATCACACTGCTGGATCTCCCACGCACATAAAACCTAGAGCTTTCTTGTTTGGCTCAGAAAGGACATAAGGGAATCTCTAAACTGACCTGAAAAATCAGGTCGGCACCCAACCTGAGAGATCAGCAAATCAGCTAGCATGACCTGGCCTGAGCCGTTGTCACGAAGACCTCTGCCGATCTCAACTACGTTCTTGTCACTCTTTATCACATTGCTCTGCACAGGAGCGGGAATGCACAGGGGTGGGGGAGACAGGCTACATAGTACGCCACGGTGAGGTGGGCTGAAGTTAGTTGCTTTCCTGAGTCAGAGGCTCATAAACCAAAGACAGAAAGGAGACTGCACTATGGAAAAGGCAGAGACCATTCTCCCTTATATAAAAGAAAGAAAAATTACATCATCTCATGTCCTGTAAGTAATAACGTCTACAAAGCACTTGTGGTATAGGGCTGAGGACATGACCCTCAGTTCTACCAGACTTAGTCTTCCTGACACCCAACTCTCCTAAGATCCCGAGTATGATCTTCCATCCTTGACTGTGTTCCCTTCAACTCCTCATCTCTTTGTGTTCTGGATTCTTAAGGACATACAGCCTTATCTCTTCAGGAGCTTTCCAGAAGGCAGGGATTGCCTTTAATGCCTTTCCCAGGGGTGGAACACTTAGCTGTTTCTCTCTTGCCACTGGAAGCTTACAACAAGCTTCCGCACTTAGGGGCACACTTACTCCGCTTATGTCCCTTGCATTTCTTAACAACCCAACCCTAAGAGTACAAACCCAACACCCCAACAGCAGGTAGTCCCCTTGAGTCATACTTACACGTATGCCAGAGTGGCACTGAAGTGCTTATAGATGTAGGTTTCGAGGACAGGATTAAAATGCTGGAACTTGATGTCTCCTATCAGTGAGATAATAAATACCTGCCAAAGGTGAAAAATACAGATAGCAGCACTGTGCGACCCCAGGCGTTCATTATGTCAACAAGCCGGATGCTAGCATCCTGGTGCCTTCTTTTCTTTCTCGACCATTTTTGTAGCATTCCCACTTCACTATTCCAGAGCTGAAGTAAAGTCTTGGAGTTTCTCTTATTTAACGCCAATAGAGAAACTATGTGTCAGGCCCTGGGCTAAATGCTATGGAGAATCTAGTAAGAGCCGGCCCCTGGCCTCAGGGAGCTCACTGTCTCAAAGAGAGGCCAGTGCGCACGCAAGATGAGTCAGGGAGGAAGATGGGGAGAGGCAGGAGAAAGATACAGAAGGGGTCTCCTGTGGGAAAAAGAAACTCTAACCCAAGGATGCAGTTAATGAATTACTTCGTGACCTTGTTCTCCTGAGTGCAGCATGAGTGCCCCCAATAATTGAACTTCATCAGACTTTTGCCTCTCAATTTCCCCTTCTTCTGTGAATGGCATCCCTATCAGGCACATAATCTACCAACCACCACACTGCACCTACTGCTGACAGAAGAATGCAGGAGAAGGGCCCCAGGGATGCCCGCATAGACCCACTGCCAGTTGCTCTGTCCACAGAGCCCAGACCCGTTCTTCCCCATGAATCTGGCCAAGTGCAATCTTAGCTGGAGGATTTCCTCTCTTTATCTTATATCCTTAATGCCCTGACCACTTCCTGAATGTATCAATTTCTCCAAGCTAGTAAAACAGCTAACATTCCTTTGCTGCAACATCCAGGTAAATTCTGCACAGAATTTTAACCCCAACAACGAGAAAACGTTCTTGGTTTGGATGTGTCAGCTTCCTCCACTCACTCCACCACAATTTGTAGCCTTTCAAAGTTTTTTTTATTTTTTAAGATTTTATTTGTTTATCTGACATAGAGTGAGAGCGCACAAGCAGGGGGAGCGGCAGAGGGAGAGGGAGAAGCAGGCTCCCCGCTGAGCAGGAAGCCTGACATGGGGCTCAATCCCAGCACCCTGGGATCATGACCTGAGCTGAAGGTAGAAACCGACTAAGCCACCCAGGTGCCCCACCTTCCCAGATTCTAACATCATCTCTCCTTGTCTGGATCTCAGTTTTTGGAGTGGGCTGTGTGTTGTACAGAATGAAACTAATGTTCGTTTCTGATGTGGGAATTCAGTCTCCCTTGTATGAACACACAAGCACACACAACAGAGCCACAGTGACCTTTGTTAAACGTATCTCCTGGTTTATAACTAGGCAATTTTAAAGTAAGTTAAAGTGATTCTTGATTTCTAATGTGATACAATACCTCGTTTACCCTAATAAGAAAGCATATCAATAAGTAAGATCTAACAGGTAACAGAAAAATAAAGTCTTTGAACATTAAGTCAGTTGTTTCTAATTTAACCTCTAGAAACAGAGAGATGTATGCAAGTGTTTATGCAGGAGGATATTCGTCGCAGTCAGTTACAATAGCAAAATACTAAATACTACACCGTTGTGAGAATAAACTAGTTAATGTGTCTAACTGCTTACCAGTGCATCAAACACAAGGAAGTCATAGGTTTCATTGTCTGACATTTCCATCATTATGTTAAAAAGTGCATCTAGTGTATCTTGCAAAAACTGAAGATAAAAAAAAAGAGAGAGAGGTTATTTCATGCTTTCAGTTCAGCTCCATACTGTAAAAATTCAGAGAAATTAGGTTACAATAGAATGAGTTTAAAAATAGCATTTCTTAAAAATTGGCACTTGGGCTTTCCAGTGTAGATAACAAGTTTTATATTTCTTTTTTTTTTTTTAAAGATTTTTATTTATTTATATGAGAGAGAGAGAATGAGAGATAGAGAGCACGAGAGGGAAGAGGGTCAGAGGTAGAAGCAGACTCCCTGCTGAGCAGGGAGCCCGATGTGGGACTCGATCCCGGGACTCCAGGATCATGACCTGAGCCGAAGGCAGTTGCTTAACCAACTGAGCCACCCAGGCGCCCAAGTTTTATATTTCTGACCACTGATTTAATTTGAAATGTTGAACTAATGATACAGTGACTGTGTTTCTAACCACGAATACATAAACATACCTTAACAATCTCGCCTCCTTCCACTTCCATTAACTTCTTTAAGTTGTGTTTAATGTTCTGGGAGTTCGAACGCCAATTTAACAGGCCCAACAGGTCAACTAGGAAGAACGACCACAAAGCATAAAATTAGACACTGATTGAAAGAAGTAATGCACACTATTTCAGGATACAACTACAGAACTCTCTAGAAAAGATAACTGCTCTTAATAGTGGCTAATTCCTTATGTATTTTTTTTTAATTTACTGTCTCCTATCTAAACCAGAAAAAACCTTGTGATCTTTCAGTCTTCAGAGAAAAAAATTAACCACTAATATATAAGAACATAAAATTGAATTCCTGAATGGAATTCATATTTCTGAAATAATGACATCATAGCCATATAAATGAAAAGTTGGAAGCACTTTTTTTTTTAAAAGATTTTATTTATTAGAGAGCGAGAGAGCAAGTGGGCATGAGCGGGGGTTGGGGGAGGTTGGGGCAGAGAGAGAAGGAGAAGCAGACTCTGCACTCTGCCTGACTCAGGGCTCGATCCCACAACTCTGAGATCATGACCTGAGCCAAAATCAAGAATCAGATGCTTAACCAACTGAGCCATCCAGGCATCCTGAAGACACTCTTAAGTAAACTTCATACCTTCAATTTGCTGCATTGCTTAATTGGTCCTTTGTCACTATGTGTATCTCAGTGGATACAAAGGGAAAAGGGAACTTATATATATATATATATATATATGCACTGATGCATTTATTCTTTTTAAGATTTTTTCATTTATTTTAAAGAGAGAGAGAGAGCAGGAGCAGAGGGAAAGGGAGAGAGAGTCTCAAGCTGACTCTGTGCAAAGCACAGAGCCTGATGTGGGGCTCGATCTCGACCCTGAGAACATGACCTGAGCCGAAACCAAGAGTTGGACACTTAACCAATTGAGCCACCCAGGTGCCCCACACTAATCCATTTAAACACTGCATCCACATTGTAGAGATTTCATTTTTTTCCATTTTTGAGTTGAGAAAACTGAGACCTTATGAAATTAAATAACTTGCCTTAGGTCACACAACGGCCAGGAGCATTATGAATGGAATTTAATTATAGATTTATCTGATTCCCAAAAAACCATGTCCGTACTACTCTATCATACTGCCTTCCCAGGGTTCTTCAAAGAAACAGACAAGCAAATTAGATAGATTGCTATTTCAGAGGAAGGCAGAACAGGCTCATGGTCCTTAGGGTAAGACTGGGACAGAAATCTTGAGGTGTATTTGGACTTAAAAGTGTAGAATTATGGATCTTTAAGCCATTTATAGCTTTAACCAATGTTGAAAGTGTCACAGGGAAGTAGAACAGGCATCTGGACTGTTACTATTTTATCATTTTGTTTAGTACATTAAGCTACTATTCCCATTTACAGAGCATTAGCCAGTATAAGTAGCAACACATGCTTTTTAATCAATGGACTTGTATAATACACAGAAGTTGTTAAAAACATATACTGTTCATTAGAATAGTCAATTTGCTCCATGAGTGTTTCTTTTATTAGCTTGCCTATTGTTTAGTCCCTGGGAAACCTCCAAAACCCAGCGCCTAGAGACTCCCCACTCTCAAGAGAAGAAAGTCCCATGCCGCTCACAGAAGGTGGTGAGGCCCCACCCATGGCCTTTCTGCCAGGGCATCACCCACCATTCTGTTACCCCTCAGCAGCCAGACAGATCAACTCACTACTCCCCAGACTATGGCATGCTCTGCTAGATCCATGTCTTCGCATATATTCTCCTCTTTGTCTCAAATGCCCAGAAATATTTTAATACTATGTATTTGGTAAGCTCATACTTATGTTTAAGACCCACCTCAAACTGTATTCCCTCTGGGGAGACTGACCCAATCATTCTGTGCTATTGTACTCTTTCCTACATATACGTATACACAGACAAACATAACGAATGGTAAAGACACACTTGGTATCTCTTTGGCTCAGCCCATAGACCTGAGCCACTTGAGGGCAGGAACCATACTGCATTCATTGTTTTATGCCATCATGGTGCCAGGCGCCTCATAGGTGTTCGATACGTGTTTGCTACAAGAATGAGTGAATGGGTGGAAAAGGAACCGGTGGCCCACTCATCACAGTTCTTGGATTTACTCGTTTGTTCAGGGAGCATTTGGTAATAGACACTGTGCGGGGCTTGTCCACTTCCCCCTTCCCATCTCCTACTCCTGCTGGAGGCTCCTCAATGGTCAGGGTCCGTTTGTTACTTCACCCCACCCGTTCCTGCCTGAGGAAAAAGGATTTAGATACTTCACCGGGGTGAGAGTCACCCGGCAGCTTTAAGCGTCTGCAAACAACCCTTCTATCAGCCCAGAGGTTTGCACCCTAGAAATATCTGCATGCCACATCACTGCCCATATCAGGAATAGAGCTGGCATCTGGTGAATCAGAGGTCCTGGGGCTAGAAAAGCGGCAGCCCCATGTTAGAGCAAAGTCCCCAGACTTCCTGGGCTCTTTCATGCAGGTTGAGGCACATAGCTCTAGTTAATTGCTGTCAGTTGCTACACAGTATCTCTCCTATTGTGCAGATGTACCACCATGTGTTTGTCCATTCCACTGCTGATAAACCTTTGAGTTGTCTGCAGTTTTTTCTATTTATCACAAACAATTCTGCCATGAACATTCTCCTGCATCTTCTGGTTTCCAGGTACAGCAGCTTCTCTGGGCCGTAAGACTAGAATGGAATTTCCGGATCATCAGAAATAACCATCCCAATGTTATCCAAGGTTCTCTCAATTTACGTCCCTCCCCAAAATATTTAAGAATTCAGGGTACTCTGAATGACAACCCCCAAATTTAGGCTAGTGACTACTTTAGAGAAAGGATTAGAGACCATAACACTTAAAAAGGAAAAGAAAAATAAAGAAAAACCATACGTTTTGGTGTTGCAAATATCTATTTTCAGACCCACGTCCACTACTTATGAACCTAGGGAAAATTTTGGCACCTTAACTTTTTTTTTTTTTTTTAAGATTTTATTTATTTGACAGAGCGAGACACAGCAAGAGAGGGAACAAAAGTAGGGGAAGTGGGAAAGGGAGAAACAGGCTCCCTGTTTCAGAAATCCCTGACGTGGGGCCTGATCCCAGGACCCTGTGATCATGACCTGAGCCGAAGGCAGATGCTTATGACTGAGCCACCCAGGTGCTCCTTAACTCAACTTTCTGATCAGTGAACAGAATAATGGTGATGCTGGTGTCTTCGTGCGCTAGGGTGTTGGAGGGTAAAATAAGATGATGCTGGAAATTGTCCCACACCTACAAGGACCTGAACTCCCCTCACCCTTTGTTGGAGCCACAAATCTATTCTCACCCTCTATACAGGCCCAACAACAAATGATCCATATAAACTGGGTCTGATCTAGTTTTGAAAAAATTTATAAATGAAGAGTCTACAAGCTCTGTTTGTAACACAGGCCAGTAGCTTTTAACCTTTAGAGTCTGAATAGTCCTTTGTAAAGCAAAGGAGAAATGCCCTTGGTCATGGTCTCTGTGAAAGAACAGCCACCCTCTTTATCAGGAAGTGCCCTCTTGGAGTGGAGGGTTTCTTACTGTTCTTCAGCTTCCTCTTTCTCAGAATACATTAAACTGGTTCCTTAGAATTTCCATCGAATTAGAAGAAAGAGAATACAGGAACCACCCACAACCCTTATTATCATTATTTGGCCCTCGGAAGGCCCTGTGTCCTCCGATGCTTGGGATGTCCTACTGTTCTCTTCACTTTTCTCACATCTGTCCTCCCTCCCAGCCCCACCTCGGGCCATGAGGACAGCACATCACTCCTCCCTGGTTTGGATGAATCTGCCTCTTTCAACCTTCTTTGGGATATGTTATTATGTAAGACTTTCATTCGGTTTGGTATGTTGAGTTTTTTGAGACCTAAACATTAGGAATGGGGAGGACAACAAAGCCAGGGCAGTTCCATGAGATGGAACTTTCTGGGATGATGGCAATGTTGTGTGTCTGCTGGCCAACACGAAAGCCTCCAGAAGCACAAAACCATGGAACACCTGAAACGAGACTAGCGCAACCATACTTTCCTCTGTGCTAACTAAATTTCGCAAGCTCCACGTGCCTGGTGGCCGCCACAGCGGGACAGCACGCCTTTAGAACATCTAGAAGATGAGCGAGGCAGATATCAGCAAATCAAGCTTCTAAGCTGGGTACTGACACCTGTCCATACGCTTCCTATATTTTCGACTGGGGATAATAAACAACTGAACCATATGGTTCTCTCTCATGGAAATTCCTTCTGCTTTTCATTGTAAGTTAATTTTAACTACTTTGATCACTTGCTTTACTTGAAGTCTAATCTCTGGATAGGATAATCTATTCGACAAATGCCATCTCTCTTGACTATCCCTTAATAGTCCTAAAAGTACATTAATGCTTTGTATTGTCTGCTGCCACACTTACAAAAATACCATTTTAACATTTCATAGTTAAAAGTTTGGAAAATAACAGAAAGAGCACAGAAAATAAACTACTGTTCCAACTTCGGGAGTCTTTCCTTTTAGTCTTTTTCTGTGTACATATGATGATGGTGATGGTGCTGGCGGTGGCTAACATTCACACAGTGTTTACAATGCGCAAGACACTTGTTTTGCTTTTACTTATTTTACTTCATTCTTTGAAATATACACTAGTATCATTCCCATTTTAAAGATGAGGACACCAAGTCACAAAGAGGTCATGTGGCTTGCCCAAGAGGAAACAGCTAGTGGCAAAGTTGGGACTTGAACCCAGGCGATTGGCTCCAAATCGTCAACACGTATCTAAACAAAACTAGGATCATACCCTGGCTAATGCAAAGTTTTCACATGTCTTTGATTACGTTTTGAAATATATTTGGCAGCTGCACATATGTCATTTAATTACATGATAATGCCCCCAATTATTGGACATTTGGATTGTTTCTGCTATTCCCCTATTATGAGTAATACGGAGACATCTTCATACATGAATCTTTGTGCTCATCTTTCATTGTTTACTTAGGCTTAATTTCCAGGGATGAGACGACTGGCTCAAAGGGTCTGAATACATTCAACACCTTTGATACACCTTCTAAATCATCTTCCATAAATACTGTACCATTTAACCTGGTACCAGCAGTTTATCACGTTTGCTTTTTCCCTAAGAAGGATTAGGTCACTGATACAGTTTTGTCATGTCTTCTATGAAGCTCAGAATATTTTCTGGCTTAATTTTTGTTTTCCTCTTAATAGACTTTATTTTTCTGAGAGCAGTTTTAGGTTTACTGAAAAATTAAGCGCAAAGTACAGAGAGTTCCCATATACTCCTAGTGTTCCCCAGCTCCCCCTACTATTACTATCTTACATTAGTGCGGTACGTCTGTTATAAGTAATGACTTAATATTAATACCATTCATGAACTAAAGTCCACAGTATATGTTAGGGTTTACTCTGTGTAGCACGTTCTGTGGCTTTTGACAAATGTATAATGACATGCACCCATGTATTCATCACAGTATCATATAGTATGGCTTTACTGCTGTAGAAATCCCCCGTGCTTTGCCTAGTCATCCCTCCTCCTCTCTGAGGCCTTTGCAACCATGAAAATTTTCACTGTCTCCACAGATTTGCCTTTTTTTCTGGCTTAATTCTTGGTGAGTGTGTTTTTACTTTCACATGTGTATCACCTCTGCACTTAATTCTGTTGAGTCTGGCCACTTGTCCAAGTTGAAATACTATCCATGTTCTCTAGCCAACCATGATTCATCAAAACAAACAATACTGACCCCTTTTAAAGATCAACCAACATCTGATCCCTGAGTGTACCTTATGTTTAAACTGTTTTGTCTATCCCTTAGTACTTCCGAAAGGCAGAGTCCCGGCCGTGTTCCTCACCCAAATCTTCCAAAAGCCCAAAGTGATTAATCCTCTCTCCATCTTAGGGGCTATAGGATTTCTAAGGCAAGTTCCCAGAGTTCCTCATTCTTGGCTCACTAAGTTCAGCAGGACCCCTTACTCGTAAGTTAACCGAATGAGAAGCTGTTATTGGATATCAAATACCATCATATACACAAAAGAAGTTAAAATTCATACCATAGATTACAGGAAGGAACAAAGTGAAGCCCATTTGAACTATTCAGCTAATTTTATGAAAAGCCCTGAATGCTTGGGGGAAAAAAATGGGAAAGAGGAGGCTCTGTCGGGGGGCAGATGGAATTCTAACAGGAAACCCTTCCTGCTCTTGGCCACACCTTTTTGGGTAAGAGACTGATTCTTTTTCTCTGCCAGTACCCTCCCCCTTATTACCAATATCTGTTGTTTCATGTATTATACAGAGTACGTTATTAAAGTTCTTTGCTGCCTTGAAGGAAGGAAACATAAGACTTTAAAAATTTTCCAGCCTCTGTTAATGAATACATTTACAGGTTTTATGATCTTAAAAAATACCAAACTGCTTTTCATCCTCTTTGAAAGACAGGCAAGATAACCTCAGAGCGAGCATTAGCTTTGTGATCAGTAGCACCCAGAACATCACGTGAAGAACGGGGAGTAGAATCCGAAGTGCCCAGCATCTGGCCTCAGAAGACACAGCCCCATGTGGCCCAGCCCCCTGGGTCTAACAAAGGAGCCCAGGGGGACCAAAGAGAAAACCCAGTGTGGGGTCAGTGTGGTCACCACACCTACCATTCTGGGTGAGTTTTGTGGAGCAAATGAGGGTGGCGATCTGAAAGCTGTCTTTTGTGCTGTCCTTGCTTGGGGTAAAGTTGGCCAGGGTTTTGGACGCTTGGAGCTCTTTTTCTTCCATCTCTACCTTAGTTCCTGGCAGGGTCAGATAGAACTTAGCATCTTCCATTTTCCTGTTGTCACCCTGAAAAGGAAGCATGTGAGGGACACCAAATGATGGGCAAAATCTCTTAGATGCAAATAAAACTGGTTTCTATCATAAGCATGGTGCCTTTCCGGGCGTGAAACACGGTTTTATCAAATTATACTTACGCTCCTTCCAACTCTAAGACACTGTGATACTTTTCCAGGGTTTGAGCCCAGAAATAATCTCAACACTGAATAAAAATGGAATAAGCTGTGAACTCCAAACTGAGAACACCCTAGATCTCTGCTATAAATAAATCAATACTAAGGAATGAGGTTGGAGTCCATTTTCTTGAACCTGTAAATGGTCATAATAATATGTCATTGGGTTGAGGGGTTGACTGGATTCATTGGGAGGAAATAGCTTGTCACGCCTTCCAAAACTAGCTGTGAAATAAGGAAGACCCACACCAGGTAGAGGCAGCTCAAAGAAGCTACCGGTTCTGTGATATCGTTAGATAAACGAGACCTTCCTGTGTCTACTTTCCACTTGAAAATCTCAGAAGATAATTCCGTAGCAGTTAAAGAGTGAGGACCAAACTGCTAGGGAAGGAAGCGAGGCCCCCCAGCCGAGAAATGGTGCCTGGCTCTCGGTGATACAAAAACCACATCCTACCACGCCCACCACACCCCAACCAAGCCCAACAGTGCAACTGGCCCTGTTCCACACAGGACAATGCAGAAGAGAGGCAGGAGGTCAGCCCTTGACTAGTCACTGCCACCGAACGCCGTTGCAGGGGAGGGAGCTGTGATAACGATCCAACTCACTCCTTACAGAGAGGGGATGGGAGATCATGCAGCTGGAGCCCTCTGGTTTTCTAGACTTAAGGGGCAAACACTTCTAGCTCTCGACAAGTTTCTGATGTTTATCCACATAATTCTGACTGGAGCCTTGAGAACCCATTTCAGAGGGAGTAAATATTTCCTAAGCCATTTTCTGAGCCTTGTTCTGTTAGCAGCACCTTGTAAACCACCAGATCATGCCTCCCATCCTGCAGAGTGGTACCGTCCGGGTTCATCAGTTTCACGAAGGCCACGCCAAAGGCTCGTTCCGATTTATCTCTGGCTGAAAAGACAGAAATATAGGTGTGAGCAGTGCAGAAAGACAGGAGGAAGCGCTGGCTGGGATGGACAAGTTCCCATTTTGCTCCAGGGTATGACATTCAATTACACCATAATCAACACTGTTCAGCAAGCTACAATAAGCCGTGTGTAGTGTGCATGCCACGGGTCCCTCAAAGGAAATATTCCCCAAACTGAAATCTTCTAGTACCTCCACGTATGTTTTTCTTCCTACATTTGCAAATGAATGAGACCAGCAACTACCCAATCACTTCAGTCGGAAATGTGGATGTTGACACTGACTTCCTCCAACCATGTCACCTCCATGTACTGAAGACCTCTGAAACCTGTGCCTTTTCTCCCCCTCCCTTCTGTTCCTACCCTAGTTCCATTCATGTCTTCCCTGTATTTCTAGAGGATCTTTCCAAGCAGTCCTTTTCTCCACACTGCAGACAGAGTGAGATTTCCAAAAGCTTATCTAATCAGGTCAACCACGCTGCTCCAAAACACATCCATGAGACACCTCATTTCTCTTGCTTTAAGATAGACTCAGTGAAGTCTTAATTATACCACAAGGTTTATTATGACACCTCTTCCTTCCCAGAGAGTAGCCCAGGTGCCAGGAGGGTCCAGCCTCCCCAAGGAAGCAGAGCACCTCCCTCTGGATCTTTAGGTGTTGACCTCTGGCCTCTAGGGTATCCCCTAGCTAGGTGTTGATGCCTGGGACAACCTGTGGCCTGTTCTCATCACACGCACAACTCTGACGTCAGCAGTGGCTCACGTGCCCCTAGACTGGCTGAGCAGTAAACCACTATATGATTACGTTACAATTTGTTTATCCATTCTCCTGTTGGTACCTGTTAGGCTATATCCAATGTGGGGATATTATGAATAAAGCTGTTATAAACATACACTAAACCACAACCACCACCACTACCACCCATAAAACACCTTTTAAGGGCTCCTCCATAACCTGGTTCAAAATAACCTTCATCCTTCATGATGTGGCTCCAGCCTGCCTGATTCAGACTGCTGAGGTGACTGACAGGGCTCTGTCACTCCCTAGCCCTGTGGCCCTGGGCAAGGATCTCATTTCTCCGTGCTCAGTTTGTTTTTTGTATAAACGTGGATAAAAACATTCCGTACCTTATCAGGTGACTGTGGACACTACACAGTGAATAAACAGAGATTCACTTAGTGTCTCATACAAACTAAGGGCTTGATAAATGCTAGCTTAGAATTACGTAGAACCACAGGAAATTGCTGATATTTGACTATCTGATACTGACCTCCAAAAACAGCAATTTTGTCAACCTAATATTATGACTTCTCCCACTGCTCTCACTTCAGCCCTACTGCATTCACTTTGTGGTTTTCAAACACATTTCTCCACCATCACTCTTCACTGGGCTAACATCGATTCCTTCTACACCTGTATGTCTCAGGATGTCAAAATCATGCATAGATGACAGGGCTGGATGCTTTGCTACGTGCCTCCTTACAACTCTTTGCTGGTGTAGCACCGACCACACTGACTTTAGTTGCCTTTTCTCTTGTTCATCTTCCTAACCAGACCAGCAGAGACTTCAGGTCACTACCCATGTCCTATCCTGTGAAACCCTTATAGAACATCTATTAACATCATACAGAACCTTAATATTCACAGAACATGTTTTGGGGAAATTCTTTAAAAAAAATTTTTTTTATTTAAATTCAATTTAGTTAGCATATATTTATTATTAGTTTGAGGCGCAGAGTTTCGTGATTCATCAGTTGTATATAACACCCAGTGCTCATTACATCATGTGTCCTCCTTAATGCCCATCCCCCAGTTACCCCGTCCCCCCTCACCCCCCTCCAGCAACCCTCAGTTTGTTCCCTAGAGTTAAGAGTCTCCTATAGTCTGCCTCCCTCTCTGGTTTTATCTTATTTTATTTTTCCTTCCCTTCCCCTACGTTCTCTATTTTGTTTCTTAAATTCCACATATGAGTGACACTCTCTGATTTCCTTAACACTAATGAATCCTGAAGTAATGGTGCTAAGTATGTAGTTTCCAAATATTTTGTTTTCCAGACCCACAGAAGTACTGTCGAGCAAGAGTAAATATTTTTTTTTTTTAACAGAAATATGTTGTAGATCTCCTAGTACTTACATTCCTGAGATGACCTGTGTCGGAAGGTAAATCTTATATGGCAGCGAGTAACCTCTTCTATAGCAATGGATACCTGCATAATAATAAGGAACTTACAGTTGATATATCCACAGTATGTTGCACTCTTAGCTCACTTTATAGAGTTGGTTCATTTTTAGTATCTTATTACAGCACAGAGTGAGATTGAGAGTAAAGTTCCATTCAAAACAGATTGAGTTATTTTCAAAACCTAAAGAATCTCAAGAGAAATCATCTTTGCTGTTTATCATGGATTCTGAGGATGGCGATAAAATTATAAGTTTCTAGTACTTTCTCAAGTATGAAAGAGGAAAGACTTCAGAGGAAAAAGATCAGGACTTTGGGGTCTATACAGGAGCTTCCAGACTGCAAGGTGTATTGTAGGTTGATGGATATGGTAATAATTAGGGTCCATAACAGAAGGAAAAGATAATATACTGGGGACAAGAAAGCTTTTTGCTGTTTCCATATATAGAGGGGATAAGGTAAACAGAAGTACATGGCAATGAAAAGAGCAGAGAATTTGTGGCAAATAGTTAAATAAATTATAGCATGATCATATAATGGAATATTATTCGAGTACCTAGAGACCCATTTCTGAAGAACTTTTAATGCCTTGAGGTAAGTAGTTTTAAAAAGCACAACATAAACCTGTTATAAACAGCACATTCCAAAACATATGAAGTATATAAAATTGTGGAAAATGGTTACTTCTGCATTGAGATATTAGTGCAAATTTTTTTTTTTTTTTTGAGTTTTCTAGGGAGAGCTCATAAGACTTTGACAACCCAATTTGATTTTGACAATCAAGAAGTGGGCTCCAATTTAGGTTTGGATATTAAGCAGTTACAGGATCTTGGAAAGTCACCTGACCATTTTTGAGTCTTGGTTACCTAATCAGAAAGGGCATTACGACACTGTTTTAGCCACAGGGCTACTGAGCGACTCACAGGGGATGTCTTACCTAGAAAGCACTTGGGAATTTGTAATACACATATTTAAAGTGAAAAGAGGCCCAGAAAACTTGGTCAGAGGCCAAGAAGAAAAAAATGTTAGGCAACTGCTTTGCAGAGTGCGAAAATTTCCACTTGGTTTTAGATCATCTTGGCAGCCTATTACATCATTACAACCACAAGCGTCTCTAGTCAAATTTCTACACATTTATCAATGAGAATGTTATTTAAGAATTTTGAGTTAAAGATAAATACTCTCATGCAGAATTGTATCAATTCATTTCTTATTGGACACCACAGGCAACCGATCTATAACTTCAGGATAAAGAAAGAATGATTTGTGGGTAAAAAGAAGAAAGGAATCTAAACAAGGTTTAATATATGATGGAGATTACAAATGGCGCATCTCACCTTGACAGTCTCATACCAACAGGGCTGCTTGACTTGGTAATAGACTACTGATTTGTACTCTGAAATGCCTTCATATCCGGCACCAGGATGAATTGCTTTCTTTGGATGGGAAGAAAAAATTAAAAGAGGATTTTTTAAATTGTTTTTCATTTTAATTCCAGTATAGTTGACATACAGTGTTATATTAGTTTCTGATGTATAATACAGTGATTCAACAATTCTGTACATTACTCCGTGCTCATCACAAGTGTGCTCTGAATCCTCATCCCCTATTTCACCCATCACTCCACCCACCTCCCCTCTGGTAGCCATCTGTTCTCTATGGTTAAGAATCTGTTTCTTGGTTTGTCTCTCTCCTTTTTTCCCCTTTGCTCGTTTGTTTTGTTTCTTAAATTCTACATATGCGTGAAGTCATATAATATTTGTCTTTCTCTGACTGACCTACTTCACTTAGCATAATACTCTCTAGCTCCATCCATGTTGTTGCCAATGGCAAGATTTCATTCTTTTGATGGCTGAGTAATATTCCATTGTGTGTACACACACACACACACACACACACACACACACACCCCACATCTTCTTTATCCATTCATCAGTCGATGGACACTGGGCTGTTTCCATAACTTGGCTATTGTAAATAATGCTGCTATAAACAAAGCGGTGCATGTATCCCTTTGAGTTAGTGTTTTTGTATTTTGGGGGCAAATACTTAAAAGGGATGATTTCATCTAGAAAAATAAGAGAACTGCACACACCATGCATGAGCCCTCTACCCTTCACGCAGCCAGCACGTGTCTCACACTGGCACACATCCACCAATCGCATTTGGAGGCTGAAGAGTAGGGTAGGAATGAGTTTCTACTCCTTTCTTTGAGGGTCTAAGTGTGTAAGTGTGGTAGTCACTAAGGGACCAGCACCATCCTACCCTTTTTGGGTTGCAGTTTCCTGATTACTAAAACAAAACCTAAAGACCAGTGGGAGTCGATATTTAACAGCTTTCTACAGGGTGTGTCTCCTCTGGTTCTGCGGACTTGGTACAGGAAGGGGGCCCTGCAGTGCCTTCTGGGCATCCGCACTACTTCACTCCAGCCCCACAGGGACCTACCTCGCTTGAAAGTGGCCAAGTAACTTGCCAATGACATAGAACTTCTGGATCAGAAGCATACACATGAAATCACTAGTGGCTGGACATACTTCTTAGAACGGGAGAAATAATGAAAATAAGAGTCTAAACGGGTTTCTTAGTAAACTCGGTAATTGCTAATCACAAATCTAGCAGGTTTCATCCTTTTTCCTTACGAAAAAAGCAAATGCACACTACTGTGGACAGCAAGTCACCTCAGACCAAAGTCCCCTGTTGGAAAGAAGCGTGTGATGGCAGCAGGATTTCTGGGCAGCCCCACCTACCTCCAAGAGCTTGCCCTCCTCATCATACACAGACATGGTCACCTCCACGTTCTTTGGCGTCTTCTTTTTCCCTTTGTCAAACTCCCCGTGGATCAGGGTGACATAAATATCATTCCGCACGTCCCCTGCAACGGGACAACCCATCCTGTGAGTGGTACTGAAAGAAGTCATTTTGAATTTTCAGGATTACATAAGATATAACATGTAGATAAAATATGAAATGATCTGACTTGGGGAACCCGGGTGGCTCATTCGGTGAAGCATCTGCCTTCGGCTCGGGTCATGATCTCGGGGTCCTGGGATGGAGTCCCACGTTGGGCTCCCTGCTCAGCGGGAAGTCTGCTTCTCCCTCTGCCCCTCCCCCCACCACTTGTGCTCTCTCTCGCGCTCCTCTCTCTCTCTCTCAAATAAATAAATAAAATCTTAACAGCAACAAAAGAAATGCTCTGACTTTATAGGGAGCTATTCATACAGCAGAAGTTTTTATATGTATTGTCCTTTTCAGCTTCCCTCAGCCTATCTTTCCATACATACCAAAGTGTCTCTTAAATGCAGTGTTTTAAAACGAACTCTTTTCAATAGTGATCCTTTATTGTTTATTAATAACTGCTTTCTAATAATAAGTACACAATGTATTTTATTAGGTTACGGTAGCAGATTCTTTTTTAATAATGCCTTGGAGGGCGGTATTTTAACACATCTGAAAAAAACAAAAGCTAATGTTTATTGGGTGCTTCCTCTGTGCTAGGCACTGTTCAACATGTCTTACAGGTAATCATTACATTTATTTAAATCAGCTTAATTGTTTTTACCAGTATCAGAATCATTTCCACTTGTCATATTCTTGGTTGTCCAGCACAAAAGTTTAAAACTTAATTAGCAAATGAATAGCCCCCACAGTGAAGAAAAAAAGTAAATGTTAGTAAGATGCTTAAACAAAATCTAGAATGAATGAAAAGCATGCCAAATTCCTGGCCAGGAAGGCTCGGTATTATAAAAAGGACTCCAAAATCTATTCTATATTAAACTGCTTCCCAATGTAAAAAAATAAAACCTTCTAGCACTATAAGAAAACAGGGGTGCACAGTTAGAGCACTTTTCATTTTCATCACTCATCTGCTTAGAAAAATTTAAGGTCTTGACCACATTTGGTTAAGGTGAAGCAAAAGGGGCTTATTCATACAACACAGTTCGAAATCTTAATTGACATACGCTTTGTCAATAGAGAAACGGACAATTTGTGTCAAAAGCCTTATCTGACAAAGCAACTTCACTGGTAATATTTGTCCCACAGTATTAAGAATGTAAACAAAAATTTATCTATAAGGATATTCATTGTGGTGTTGTTTACAAAAGTGAAAACTTGGAAAATCCTCAATTTCCAACAATAGGTAGCAGTCTGAATATGGTACAATCAGATGAGATAATATTCATTTATTCATTTAAAAAACTGACCAAGCACCTACTCTGTACCAACCACTGTGCCAGGTGTCTGGGAGACAATGGTGAGCCATGCACCGGCCTCGCTCTCACACAGCCTACGGTCTAGTGGAGGAGAGAAGCATTAGCAGATAATCACAGGACAAAATGAATCATTACAAATGAAGGAAAAGGTCAGGCTCTGTGAAGGCATAACACTAAGTCCCAACTGTGTCTGGAAGTGTGAGTAAGAATTAACCAGTTAAAGAGAGAAGAGAGATCCAGTCAGGTAGGAATAGTAGCTACTGAAGTCCCAAGGCAGGAAGTAGTTGGATCTATGGTAACGGAGTTCAAAGGAGCGGTCTTGAGGCTACGGACACGAAGTTAGAAGCAACTAACACACAGAGGCAAAGTGAGTGGATGAGATCACACAGGAAGAGAATACAGGCATGAGAAGGAAAGAAGCCTGTTATGGGCTGAACTGTTTCCCCTAAAGTCATATGCCGAAGCCCTCACCCTTAACACCTCCAAATGCGACTGTATTTGGAGACGGGGCCCTTAAACTGGGTGACTAAGGTAAAAAGAGGTCATATGGTGGGCGCTAATCCAATATAACTGGTATCCTTACAAGAAGAGAATAGACCCAGGGGTGACCATGTAAGGACGTAGCAAGAAGACGGCCATCGCCTAGCCAAGGAGGGAGGCTCGGAAGAAACCAGCCCCGCTGACATCTCAGACTTCCACCCTCCAGCAAACTAACAGAGGACATAAGGACCAGACACTGGGGAACTCTAACATTTAAGGGCAAGGTCGAAGGTGACATGGTGGCAAAGGGGAACGGACACAAAGAGAAGAGTGCGGGTCCCTGATGATGAGGGAGGACCAGTTCCACAAGGGGGTGGTCAACAATGTTACATGCTGCCAAGGGAACCTGAGACGATCTTTAGGCTAAAAAATATCCACTGGACTTAGTGACATTACACTCTAGGGGGACTCTAGTGACACCATTCTGGACAGGACAGAGGGTGGCTGACAGATGCAGAAAGAGAGACAGTACGTTATGCGATGGCTTCTGAGATTCTGGATGTGCAGCTGGGGGCAGACAGCAGGAGCACCTGGGCTAGAGGGGAAAGTTGGGCTGAGGGAAGGGCTTAAGGTGTCTCTGGAGCCTGTTCAAACGGTGATGAGGAGCAACAAGGTAAGGAACTTTGGTCTGGACCTCTTATTTCTCAAACCTGGCTGATCACCAGAATCACCAGGGAAACCCTGGTCTTACAAACTGAATCGGAGTCTCTGGAACACTGTGGGAACCTGTATTTTAACGTTTCTGAGCTGATCCAAAGACCAGCATTTGGGAGCCATCATCTGAGATGACTTTCCAAGCCTATGACAGCTCTGGCAGTCCAGGAGCCAATCCTATCGACTGGCAAGATCAGAAAGAATCTTCTAGCCAGACTGCAGAGAGAAGTTCACTTTGTCTGAAAAAATAAACTTCTCCATTTTATTGTTTCAGATTTCATTCTTCCTGTAGTAATAACACTGCCGTTGGTTATAGGAATATTACTAATGCTTATTTTTTTAAACAAGAAGACAAACACTTTCACAGAATAAAGATGAAGATGCACTGGGCTGAGTGAGTCCAGAAGGGATAACATCAGCAGACGAAGAACCACCTTCTTTCACAAGAAAAGAAAAAGATGGTCTCCATTTTACAGATAGCTCTTCTTCCCGTTCATCCTTTTTAATGCCTGCTACGTGCAGACGATGTGTGTGGCAACACATTATTACTGCTCCTTCATCTCCGGAAGGAGGAATAAGAGGTTGTGTTACTTTAAAAGAGCCCCAATTTTTATGCAGTAGACAACAGCATAGTTTTCTAAAATTTTTCTAGCATGCCAAAGGTTATTTATTTATATATTCTATCTGCCTATCTATAAAATATGTAATATCATCTTTTAATATTTATAACACATATGCTTCATGTAATACATATATATATATCTTATATAAAGTTCCTTGCGATGATTTCCTTTTATTACTATAAAGATTAAGAAATCAAACTGGGGGGCACCTGGGTGGCTCAGATGGTTAAACGTCTGCCTTCGGCTCAGGTCATGATCCCAGGGTCCTGGGATCGAGCCCCACATCGGGCTCCTGGCTCAGCGGGGATCCTGCTTCTCCCTCTGCCTCTGCCCTTCCCCCTGCTCATGCTCTCTCTCTCTCTGTATTTCTGTGTCTCAAATGAATAAATAAAATCTTTAAACAAAAAAGAAAAAAGAAAGCAAATGGGTTAAGTCAGCAAAATCAAGAGAATACATATGCAGATCACCAATATATGGTGCCAAAAAAGACAAAATGAGTAGGAAAACTGTAGAATGTTTACATTCTTGTCACCACATGTATGGGGAGAGCCAAGCACACAGTCGGAGTTTAAGCAAATGGGGCAAAGGTTCTGGCAGACACTGTGCTGAGCAGGGACCTCGCTGGAGCTTCCTGGCCAGCAGCCCCCAATGCTGGTGATGTCATCCTGAGAAAGGGACATGCGACAAGACAAATCACTCTTGGGGCACAAAACCTGTGCTACCATTAGCGAACCTTAATGGATAATGTAGGGAAAAATTTCAGAGGGGCTCGTGCAGAGCAGAAAGGAAGAGTGACAAGGAAACTCTGAGTTACGTGTAGAAGCATCATCTCGGGCTCGTGCACTGGGTACTGCAAACCCTCTTGGAGTCTCTCACTGTCTCGATACCACAGATGCGGGTCACTAAAGGCCACAGAGGTTCTTGCACTGCCTCAACCGTCCCGTTAGAAGTAACTGCTGCATGGAAGGAAGAACTAAAGGAATGCATAACAGGTGAACCACGTAAAAGCTTTTACCTGGAAGTATTATTTCAGGAAAGCCCATTTTTCGGGCGATTGCAGTTGATCTATCCACCAGGTGTGAAAAATTCTTCTGAACCTGTGAGAGGTCACCTGGCAAAAGCTTCAAAGATACCCAAAGTCCTTTAAAGAAACAAAGGATGAACTTTCAGTTCTCTTTATGATCTATACCATAAACACACATAGAAACGCTGAAAAAAAAATGCATTGTATTAATATAGATACTTTATTATAAAAATGTAAATTCTCCCCCAGTTAACTTATAATTTTCATGACACTCCTATCAAAATCACAAGACTTCCCTGAGAATTTGACAGAGGTGTGAACAGATGTTTACTTTGGGGGGAATAAAAACATGAGTAAAGACAGCCCCTATCAGATACCAAAATACTATGGAGCTGTAATGAAGTGTTGTATTAGTGGTAGAAAAGATACATATAAATCAATGGAAACAATTAGATTAAGTACTATAATATATAGCAATTTAATATATAGTAAAGATGCATAACAAATCCTGAAAAAAGAAAACAATTTCATAAATGTGCTGGAATAATTTTCTTGCTACCTTTCTCACCTCACGTTTTCATTAAAATAAATTCCTAATATAATAAAGAAATAAAATGAACCTTTTTCCTAAGTATAGAGACAAATGAAGAAATCACACACAAAAGGAATTATCTAGGGGCATCTGGGTGGCTCAGTCAGTTAAGCGTCCAACTCTTTGATTTTGGCTCAGGTCATGATCCCAGGGTCCTGGGATCAAGTCCCATATGGGGTTCCACACTCAGCAGGGAGTCTGCTTGAGGATTCTCTCCCTCTCCCTCTGCCCCTTCCCACACTTGTGTGCATGTGCATGCTCTCTCTAAAATAAATAAATAAATTTTAAAAAAAGAATTATCTATACACAAATGGAAACTTTTGATATTTATAAAGAAGTGAAAGGCAGGCTACAAATGCTGAAATACCTATAAGAAATTACAAGAAAAACATCAAATAAATGGAACATGTATAGACAATTCACAAAGAAGTACACGAAGTTGGTAAATATTTGACAAATCAAAAACTGAAAAATACACGTTCTATATAAGACATTGTTATCTTCATAAAAACTGAGAAGGAAAACTTTAGAAAAACTCACGAATGCATAGGAAGGGTAGGTAATTCACCACCAGGTAGTCTTTTAAATTAAAAAAAAAAATTTTTTTTAAGATTTTATTTATTTGACAGAGACAGACACAGCGAGAGAGGGAATACAAGCACGGGCAGGGGTGAGGGAGAAGCAGGCTTCCCGCGGAGCAGGGAGCCCGATGAGGGGCTTGATCCCAGGACCCTGGGATCATGATGCAAGCAGAAAGCAGATGCTTAACGACTGAGCCACCCAGGTGCCCCCCAAGTAGTTTTTTTTAAAACTGCAAGAGAACTATGGAAGTCTACTTTTCACCTTTGCACAGGACTAGCAGGGAACAGGCGAGGGGAGAGAATCCTAAGCAGGCTCCATACCCAGCATGGAGCCTGACACATGGCTGGATCTCACAACCCTGAGATCATGACCTGAGCCAAAATCAAGAGTCAAACACTTAACCAACTGAGCCACCCAGGCACTCAAAAAACAGTTAAAGATTTTTAACTATCAGCTTGCCAAGCAGGCACCGTGGTAATCAGCACCCACTGGCAGAAGTCGATGGAAAGCAATCTGGTAATATGTGTTATCTCTGAGTTTGAGCTTGTTCCCATTATCTGCCCTAGGATTCCTACTTGTAGGAATTTTCTTGGGGAGGTAATCCTAAATATGGAAAAAGCTTCAGGTATAAAAGTAGTCACAGCAGTTATTTAAGTTTATAATGGTTACAAAATAGAAAACACACTTAAGTGTTTCCCTAGGGGGATGAAATTTTCTTAAATCCAAGCAATGGAATATCATGCAGACAGCCACAGAAAAATATTTGTAATGAGCATAAAAACATTTGGAAAGTACTTGCTTCATTAAGCAGCAAGAAAGCAAATATTTTTTTTTTCCACTTCTGTTTGGGAAAAAAAAAGAAATTACACATACACAGCAATTTATTTAGTATAAGGATTTTCCACTCTAATAAATCATATCCTAGGCTAGGAGTTCTAAAACAACAAATGTATTTCAGATTCTTTAATGATTCCTCACATGTCTTTCCTACCCAGAACAACTGTGAATACATGGAAAATGGAATATGCTGAAAATAATGTGTTTCCTGATTGCCTCCACTTCAGTAGAAGATGGTTACAGGGTGGTTTAAAAAAAAAAAGAAAAGAAAAAGTGACCCAATCTTCAAAATTATCCCCAAATCATCACCATCATAGTATTTGAATTTTAAAATTTTAACTAGTTTTTAAAATATTATTTGAATTTAAAATGCAGTTTCAATGAATGGAATTTCTTAGTTAAAACTGTCAACAGAACAATATATGGAAGCACTAAAAACAACTCGAAATGTTTTGCTAGCTAGCCCGTTATTTCATATTAATATCTGTTCAGGGGTGCCTGTGTGGCTCAGTTGGTTTAAGCATCTGCCTTTAGCTCAGGTCATGATCCCGCATCCATCAATCCATCGCATCCATCAATCCATCGCATCCATCAAGCCATCGCATCCATCAATCCATCGCATCCATCAATCCATCGGGCTCCCTGCTCAGTAGGGGGTCTGCTTCTCCCTCTCCCTCCCCCCACTTGAGGTCGTGCTCTCTCTCTCCCTCAAATAAATAAATCAAATCTTAAAATTAATATCTGTTCATTTGTATTACTTTGGTTTCTTTCCTCTTAATTTTACTTATGTAATAAGGGGAGAGAAAACTGAAAAAGGACTCATGGGATAAAAATTTGTTCCACAGAATTTACAAAATACAGCTGTGATCCAATTCAGGGCTGAGTGCAGCCTCTGCACTCTTCAGTGTTAAATGCCTTCAGCAGGAAGCTGAGGTGAGCAATCACCAGCAGGGTCTGCTTTGCATCAGAGAAAGATAGGGAAAAGGGCCAGAGTCCAAGTACGCAGTTCCAATGCCGCCCCCCCAAGCCCCCTCCCAGCTTAGTACGCAGGGCTGTGTACCTTGTCCTTTGTGATTCACTTCCTTCGCTGCTATCACTTTATTCAAGACTGAAGTGAGTGGCTCATTCTCCCCAATCACATGGGATGTTATCAGGGGCGACATGATTAGCTGTCTCTGCCGGATATAGGTTTCCATTGCAATTCTGGGAAAGTCAGAAATGAGAGGTAAGGAAAAAAGAGGAAACTTCCATAGCACAGCTTCAGAGAGGGTGGGGGTCCTATGGGAATAATCTGGAAATCTAAACACTAGACCCACCTGGCGAGAGGACTCTCCTTTTCCTTAATTTTTCCATGGGGTGCCTATCTTGGTCATTTCCAAGATGAATTTTGTGTCTAAGACAGGCACCCCCATGGAAAAAGGAAAAAACAAACCTCCTAAGGACAAACAAAACTGATGGCCAAATGTTAACAAAACCAGAGGCAAGACCTAATGCTCTTTCTGCGGTGGGACAGGCTGACATAATGGAAGTGAAGCCGCAGGAGGGATGGGACAGGTGATCTGGCCTCCAGTCCTGGTTCTACCTGACATAAGCTCTGGGCCTCAGTAGCCTCATCTGTATGCATCAGATGCCTTCAAAGGCCTCCATCTGGCACCAACACTCAACACACAGACGAGCAGCATGCACGCAGTAGCTTCTGGACGGCGTTCTTACATTCTCACGTGATGGCAAACTCTCTTTAGAGTGACGATGGCACAGCCACCGGCAAACAAGCTTCATTTTAATGAGATCCAAGACCCAAACACAGCCCCTCCCGACAGCACGAGCACTCTCATGAACTACGTATCAGCCTGGTGCAGGTCGGCAGTCTCCCTCTCTGCTGTGGTTTTGTTCTCTTGCCCATGACGCAGGCCAGCTTTCTCTGCAGGCTTCTGATCTCGACCCTGATAGTAGCAGGGAAATGTACTGCCATGTCTCAGTCAAACCAAATACCAAATATGGCTGGGATCTGAGTGGCTGTCTTCAAAGGACTCTCGCTGAGATGGACTAGCAGAATCCATCCAGGAGACTCTCCTTGTACGATACGCTGTAAAGCTTATTGATGAGGTAAGCTATGAAAGCATTTGCCATAAATCTTAGGAGTTAAAAGCCAGAGACTGTGATTTGCATCACGAATGCTCTACAGTGGCCGTTGGCTGCACAGTGAGTGGTAATCAAATTAGGGGGCTGGGCTCCTTGGAAACTCAAAGCACGTGTTATCATACAGTGAAGGCGATCTCAGGGCTCACTGTTCAACATGGCTGCGCGATGGGAGCTGGTTCAGAAATTAGGCAGGGGGGCACAAAATCTAAGGAAGAAACCCACGTCAGTAGTGAAACAAACATACAGAATAACTTTCACATCCATGCATGCTGCTGCTATTATGCATATACACATATAATATGCATATATACATAATGCACATATAATAGTGATAAATAACATTATACATATATATAATAGGAACATCCATGGATGTGAAAGTTCTTTATGTTTATAATATATACATTTTAATATATCTAAATATATATTCTTATTTATTCTATATATATTATTTTTTACTCATAATGCTTAAGATATAGTCATATTTAATATATTGATACATTTAACTTAACGTATTAATAAAATATTACAGTTATTATATATCTATTACACTTAATGAATTTAACATACTTGAATGGGTATGTAAACATTTATATTGGGATCAGCATTCATGAATTTGAGTCACTTCATAATTCAAATTAGCATTAAGCTACATAAAATATTTACCTCACCACATTCTGGCAGGGTCAGTATATATAGGTGGTAGGACACTAGATAAGCGCATTTAAAAATTATTAATAGAAGCCTCTGGATGAAGGAAGGAAGTACTACTTAGCAAGAGCTATTTGTACTATTATATTTAGAAATTGGTCTAAAGGTAGTGGGCTTTAAACTGAAAGAGAAAGATTTTTACACTTTAAATAAAATTAGATATGATACATATTTTCTGTACAAAAAATAGAAATACAGAGTTAAACAAAAATGGGGCAAAATCACCTTTGGTTACATCAACAGAAGTAATCACTGTTAATTATGGAGTATATTCTCTGAAGTATCTAAATTTTGAGGCTTCCAATGCACTGTAACAATTTATATTCTTATAAGTACTGTATATTTCCTCCTACCCAGCCAAACTCTGGATATTGTATATATTTTTAAAACTCAGTCAAACCAAATGCCAAACCTCCTTGTTTAATTTTCATTGCATTGATTCTCAATGAATTTTATAGGCCATTTCTTTCTGTGTATGTGTGCATGTTTGTGTGTGTATATATACACACATATATTATTTTCTGTTCATATATTTATGAATTTCTATTTATTATAGAGTAACAATATTCATCCTTTTTTCATACACATAGCAAAGATTTTACTAAATTTTATGCTGTACCTAAGTTATTTAACACTTTTGTGTGGTTTAACCTGTCAATCTTTCTTTTTCAGTCAGATCTTTGCAGTCTGAGTCAGCAAGGCCTCCCACATACCACTATTCCATAAAACCTCTATTTTCATGTAGTATTTTAAGATTTTAGTTCTTACACTTACACATTTAATCACACGGAATTTCCAGGGGCACACGATGTATGACAAGGCTCTAACTTAGGCTTCGTAAATGGGTAGCTAATTGTGTCAAACAATTCATTTCTGCGTAGCTGCTATTTCTCCACTGATTTGCGCTATGACTGTTTAAAAATCATCTATGAATTCCAGCATCTTTGGGCTGGTTTCCAGAATTCTCAGCGGTTGTACCTATCCGCTGTGGCAGCCGCAGCCTGGCTGAGACAGGCATCTTCCCTCCCTGACACGACCACCCTGTTAGGACTCCGTTCCAGCATCGTCGGCCGCCTCCCCGAGGCCTCCCCCACCCGCGCCCGGGGTAAGGCGAGCATGACTGCTAGAGCCATGATGTTCACGCATATGCTTCTTCAGAGCCCTGTGGGTTCACATCTGCCAGCTCACGACTCCCCAGGCACCCACGCGGCGCTCCAGCTCCTGAAGCTCAGTCAGGAGGCCTTAGCGGAACGTTTCAAGGAATCCTCCTGTCATCCCAGGCTGGCTTTCCCTCGGCCAGCAGCAGCCCTGGCATTACTGGTCAGCCCCTCACTCCCAAACCTCCTAAACTCCTTCTACTCAAAGCGTGGTCTCCAGCCCGGCAGCAGCAGCTGGTAGCCTGTCAGCCACCAGCCTTCAGACCCACCAGACCACGTTCTGCATTCTGACAAGATCTGCAGAAAACAGGATGCCTTGTCTTCTGTGATACCTGCTCCAGACAAGAGTGCAAATACAGTTTGGCCTTCCTGACACCTACGGGGCACCATTCTCCAGCTTCTGGTGCAGATACAGATTTGCCCCTTCTATTCCATCGGTCCTTTCTGTAGAATCAGAAAAGCTAGGCTTACGCTCCTCCATGTGATCCCAATATAGAGGACCTTGAACAAAGTCTTCTGTCAGCTTCTATCTCACAGTCTTCCAGCTTACGAGGCTTTCCTTCTGTAACTGAGCAAATGGTTCCTAGCACCTGGTTCTGTGTTAACAGATCATTCAAAGAACTAATCCAGGTCTCAAGTGACCTGGGATCAAGGCCAAAGTACTTACTGCTGAAAGGGAATAAAATGCTGCTTTTCTTCATCATCCACCTTCCCATGGATGATATCAGTAATATCCATCACTAGGAAAAAGATAAAACTTAATTAAAGAACTTAATTGCTTCAGGCTTCAGTAAGTTACTATGGAAAACTACGGTATCTGCAAACACAGGACACTAGAGAAGAGAGATACCACGTGGGGACACAAGGTCTTTGCCAGCGATGACTCCCAGTGCCCAGCCTGCAGAACAATTCATCGGGAGCTCGGGCACGGGTTTGGATTTTTCTCAGATCAATCCAGCAGACTACCTGCTTTTTAAATTTCTACACGACCAAGTGCTAAATTCTTGAGAAATCGGAAACCAGATTGGTTCTGTTTTGTTTTAGCAAGCCTGCATTCAAATACACAGAGCACACATATTTTTTTGTCAGGAGTGTCAACAGAATGGAGACCTGAGAGAGAAACTCAAGGCTCAAAGGGGTCAACTGTCCCTTGGACTTGACATGGTCGCAGCCGGCTTCCACATACACGGAGGGAAGCCAGGGCTCCGGCAGTGCAGGACAAAAGATCACACAGCGATTTGCTGCTTTGTGCACAAGAACAGCAACAAATACAGCACGGTCCTGTGTCTACTGTGTCTATTACCTTACTTATACCGATACTATTATTCGCCCTATTTTAAGAGATGAGGAAACACGGGCGCCTGGGTGGCTCAGTCGGTGAAGCGTCTGCCTTCGGCTCAGGTCATGGTCCCAGGGTCCTGGGATCGAGCCCCACATCGGGCTCCCTGCTCCACAGGAAGTCTGCTACTCCCTCTGACCCCCTTTCACACGCTTTCTCTCTCTCAAATAAATAAATAAAATCTTTAAAAAAGAGAGAGAGGGGGGCGCCTGGGTGGCTCAGTTGGTTAAGCGACTACCTTCGGCTCAGGTCATGATCCTGGAGTCCTGGGATCGAGTGCCGCATCAGGCTCCCTGCTCAGCAGGGAGTCTGCTTCTCCCTCTGACCCTCCCCCCTCTCATGTGCTCTCTCTCTCTCTCTCATTCTCTCTCTTTCAAATAAATAAATAAATAAATCTTAAAAAAAAAAAAAGAGAGAGAGAGATGAGGACACTGAGCACAGGAAAGGTTGGTAACTTGCCCCAGATCAGAAGTTTTAAGTAGTGAAGCCAAGGTACGAACCCAACAGCGATTATGGGGCCAAATCACTTAAGCCAATCATGCCCTGCTGCCCGGAGAACTTAGTAAGTGGGCCATCCTACAGCTGTTCAGACCAGGCAGGGCCCACAGCCAAGAGGCGAGCCCTGGGTTAATGAATTACAATCTGGCCATAAAACACACACTCACCATCCACTCCCCAGATAACCTGTTTGGAGATTAGAAGTACAGAGATAAGAGACATTTCTTGTAGGAAAAACTAAAGGATAAGGAAGGAAATGCCTTCTCAAAGCGACCCAAACCATAGTGGGTAAGGCTTGGGAAATCATAATGTTGGTGAAAGGGTGCTGCAAAAGCTTGCTGTCAGCCCTTAAGAGACACCTGCAAACAGTGTTCCAAAAAAATACTGAAAAATCCGTATCTGGTGCACCCCCTCTTCCAAGGGGTGGTTCATTTGTCAATGCCGTCATGTAGTTACTCTACATCTCTGCTGATCGATGCTTGACATCAAGGCTCAGTGTAAATTACTGTTCTGTCCGTACACACACACACCCACCCACCCAGAAACAGAAAAGCAAGCAAAAGCTTAATGTTCAAATCTCTGGCCCATTTTGAATGGCAGTGACCTTAAGTATGCCCTAAATTCTTAGTTCAGTGGACTGTCATATAGATGGCTAAATTGTGCTAGGCCAGGGTTCCTTCCCTTTTCTGAGATTTCATTTTATTTGTCTATCAGGAGTAATGCTGTGCCCTCCTCAGAGACTGGCAGACCTTGAGCAGCGAGTGGGAGTGCAAGGTTGGTCAAGGAATGACAACATACACAGTCTCATGCAGAGGAAGCCTCGTTACCCACACAACCCACAAGGTCAGTCTTGCTGACATTTTCTGGCCATTTGTTCCAAGAGAATTATGGCATTTCATTGATAGCTTTCAAAACTCCTTAGTGACTAAAACGTCAATGTATGACCAGAAATGTATTTCCTTAATTTAAGAAACTATAGAAGAGGGCGCCCGGGTGGCTCAGTCGCTAAGCGTCTGCCTTTGGCTCAGGTCATGATCCCAGGGTCCTAGGATGGAGCCCCGCATCGGGCTCCCTGCTCTGCGGGAAGCCTGCTTCTCCCTCTCCCACTCCCCCTGCTTGTGTTCCTGCTCTCGCTGTCTCTCTCTCTGTCAAATAAATAAATAAAATCTTTAAAAAAAAAAAAAGAAACTACAGAAGAAAATGCAGGGCCTCTCGGGAGGCTGTGGGGCTTGATTTAAGCCAAGGACCCTCTTTGAAAGAGTTTACAAACCCAGTGTTGCCTTTGAAGAGTGAATCCCCCAGACAGGCAAACCACTTTCCAGGGAGAATTTTATTGGACTGAAATCAATATGCAGCCTGCAGTCAGGGAGAATGCCAATAGTCACAACAGAGGCTTTACTATGGTCCTACTGTGCACAGGGCACTGGGCGGGGCACGGAGGGAGAAACAAAGGAGGCAGGGTCTAGGTGAGGACACAGAAATCCCGAGAAAAGATACCTGGGAGCCCCAAGCAAATGCTGTGTGTCCGATACTCACGTTGACAACCACATTCATCTTACACTGTCTCTGGGCTTCCCTCCCTCCTATCTTTGTGTGCGTGTGATGTGGGTAAAATCCGCTTTTTTTTAACCATTCTTAAATGTACACTGTAGCAGAATTAAGTACATTCACAATGTTGAGCAGCCATCAGCACCCTCCCTCTCCAGAACTTTTCCATCTTCCCAAATTGAAACTCTGTTCCTCTTAAATACTAGCTCCCCCCATTTTCCCCTCCCCCAGCCCCTGGCAAGCCCCACTCTGCCTTCTGTCTCGCATAATGAATCTGACCACTCTGGGTACCTCATATAAGTGGGGTCACACAGTGTTTATCTTTTTGTGACTGGCTTATTTCACTTTATACAACATCCTCAAGGTTCATCCACGTTGTGGAATTTCCTTCCCTTCTCAGGCTGTCCACTGTATGGACAGACCACATTTTCTTTATCCATTTCTCCATCCATGGACACTTGGGTTGCTTCCACCTTTTGGTTAGTGTGAATAAGGCTGTTCTAAACCTGGGTGTACAAGGATGTTGAGACCTTCTACTTCCGGTTCTTTTGGGTGGACACCCTGAAGTGGGATTCCTGGGTCGTAAGTTCAATGTTTAACTGCTGGAGGCCCTGCCATGCTGTCCTTTACAGTGACTACACCATTTACATTCCTCCCTGGGTCTTTCTGTACCTGCTACTCCAAACGGTCTTCGGAGCCCACACGTGTGCTTTTTGCCCTCCTTCAGCTCCATGTGGCCCACCCGGACAATCTGGCACACAAGGCTGATGCGGGGCCGGATGAGGTCTGTGCTACTGAGGTCCTAAAGGGACAGAGAGCATGCAAAAAGCAGATGATGCTGCATCACCCTGTCACCTTTGTTTCTCTTTTCACTCGACAACAGAACACCATCTCGAGCGTATTTCCTAATGCTGGAATAGCAGAATGACTCCCTCCCTCCCCCATACCCAGCCAAGAACTACCATGGCATCAGAGAAAAATGACTGTATTCAAAAAAGGAAGGAATTTGTTTGATTTCCCAGTTCCTACTTCAAATTGAGAAATCGGATCATTTTCAATCTAAAGTCTCTCAGGGTATTTAAAAATCAGGACACCTGTCACTGTTGCTTTATATTCTGCCAGGACATGGCTGAGCACCTGATGCATTTCAGTGTCAAATGAAATCAAAGCTTGCATGACGCTGACATTTATTGGGGATCTACACATGCTGGTGATATTTCATTTCATCTTCCAAATAATCCTGTGAGGCAACTATAACAGAGCTGGTTTCTGTAATTATTCATCTGTTTTATGAGAGGTATTCATTGAGAGCTTCTGGGTATCTACTGATTAATAAAAGATGTGTAGATGAGATGTCTCTGTTTTTTTTGTGGTTCGTGTTCTACACTTGTTTGTATTCTTAAGGATGGGTGAATAAACCCATGAATGAGCTCACATATCTCATTCTTTTTAAAATCAGAAATAATTTAATTGTATCTCAAATTCCTTTCATGAAACAGCTGTCTAAGGCCTCCTTACTGAATCAAGAATTACTTTCTAAATAGTCATTCCAAATCCATCCTCCATAATTTAGTTAACTCAGGTCTCCAAGATAGGAATACACAGCAATGATAGACAGCATCAACTCTGAATTTCTGTTCTAGGTTTTGTGAGACTTCTGTTAATAATAGATAGACAGACTCCAGGTGACTAGTTACATAAATTGTGGCACACTGATACCGTTTACTAAAGTACAATCATTTGTAAAAGAAGTTTCTGTAGAATGTTGAGTGATCAAGGAAGTGGTCACCACATTTTATTTAATTGAAAAGGCTAGACATGAAATTTACATCCCAAGAAGATCCTGATCGGTAGGAGGGTGGGGGAAAGGGGATAAAAATGCAGATTTTCTAAAATGCTATTGGCCAGAAGATGGACCAAAAATTCAATAATTCCTTTTTTAATGTGCTTTTTTCAAGGTACACACTGACTGATAAATGCCTTTTGGTTTTAGGGAAAAATCCACATGTCTGTGAACTGAGGAAGGGAGGTTTCAGGAAGAGTTCAAGTTCTTTCTCTTTGTTTACCAGGTGGTAAAGACATAGGTGGGTCAGCGCATGAGCAGTAATCACACCCCGCTTGTCCCAGAAACAGGATGTTAACAGAAGGAATGAATAATAAGAAGAAGAAATGAAAGAATGAATGAGAGACTGAAAAACCTGTACTGGGTCCACTACTCTGCATCACATTTTTAGGTGCTTTCCCTTAGACTCTATTTTCCTTGCTGTATGAGTGGTAAGAAATAAGGAGATAAAATATGTGTGTGGGCTTAAGGGAAGAAGGCAGAGAAGGAAGAGAGTGTCTCCTATAGGTCTGTTGGAGAGCAGGCGGCAGTGCTCTAGGGCATTTCAAGCACCCATGTCATAAAAAAGTGAGAGAACCCCAAGAAAATTCTAGCCCAAGAGAAAGAGAGTCATCATGCCCCAAGCTATAACCCAATAAATTTCCTTGCTCTTGACCCATAGAGAGCAGCACTCCTCCTTCCTCGGAAAAGAGGAGGAGTTCAGGGTAAAGTCCATTAAAATATGAGCAAACAATAAAGTTGAGATCCCCGTCTTTGCCTAAGCTGTAACCTTGGTCTAGAATGCTCTTCTCTTTATCAGCATTGCTCACTCTCTTGTCAACTTCAAGCTCTTGCTCAAACGGCCCCTTCTCACAAAGGTCTGCCCTGACCTACCTATTTAAAACAGCACCCCTTCCCCAGCCCAGAAGCTCCCACACCGCCCCCACCAAAGTACTTACAACTTCTAACATTCTATACAACATACTCGTTTATTTGATCATCCTTTCTTACTGTCTCCCCGTTTGGGATAAAAGCTCCTTGACCAGGGATGTTTTTTCTGATGAGTTCACTGCTGTATCTCAAGTGCCTAGGATCATGGTTGGCATCTAAGAGGTGCTCGATAAATATTTGCTGAATAAACGAGTGATCATTCCTGCTAGGGGGATTATGATGATTTTTATTTTCAGCTTTCCATTTCTGAGGTTTTCCCATATACTTACCATGTGCATCTGCTAATATCATAAGCACAGAAAATGATTAAACACAAGGTAGGACTTACAGTAAAAACTGCTTGAAGGTTATTAAGCTTCTCTATTTCCTTGGGCATCCCATTACTGCCCCAACGAATTAGGTAATTCTCACTGGTGAAGGAAAAAAAGAAATTATCCTTAATGAAGGGCTAACTGGCAATGAAGCTGCCCTCGGCACAGACTTCACAGGGTACAAGGCCCCAAAAAGCTCTGCTGAATTTATCAGGCAAGTGCGAATGTCACACCCAAGGGGCGGCTCCCTGGTTTCCCGGCTTTGGAGAAGCGAGCATGCCGAGCATGCCGCAGCCCAGCTCTGTGAGGCACACCCAGGGTGGACCCCAGACGAGCACGACTCGGGATGGGCACACACACAGCGGATTCTACCAGATTCCGCCTGGCATCTTTCTTCTACCTCCAATTCTTTGTATAAGAGTTTCAGCTTTGCTGAATCAGGAATATAATTTTAAAATAATCATTGCAAATCCATCCCCTGGAATCCACTCCACCACACTCAGAAAAAATTGCTATTATAGAAATAAACAATTTGTCAGTAACTACTTTTAACCATCTGCTCAAAAATCAATCTGTTTTCTTAGCTGCTCAGCTAAGTAGTAGCGTGATTGTGGGTCAATGAAGCCTATTACCATTCTCTACAGTTTAAAAAAAATTTTTTTTTTGTCAGACTTTATTTTTTAGAGCAGTTTTAGGTTGACAACAAAGCTGAGTGGAAGGGACAGAGAGTTCCCATATATACCGGGCCTCCTGGCCCCCCACACAGCCTCACCCACTATCAGCATCCCCCAGCACAATGGTACATTTGTTACAAGTGAAGAACCTACACTGTTATCTCATTACCCCCCAGAGTCCCTAGTTTACCTTAGGGTTCACTCTCGGCGCTTGCATTCTACTGATCTGGACAAATGTAGGATGACAAACATCCATCATTACGAAATCATACACAGTAGTTTCACTGCCCTAAAATCCTCTGTGCTCTGCTGACGCATTCTTCCCTCACCCTGCCCCCAATGGGTCTTTTGAACCCTTTGTCCCCGTCTCCATGTTCTGATGAGTTTTATGTGATTCTAAGACCCAGAGAGTACACAAACTGTCACTGCACTGTTCCCACAAAGAAAGGCTCAGTAGTCAAAGGATTTTATTTTCTACCGCTTAGAGATCCTACCCTCTTTTCTATCTCCTGCTCTCAAACCAAGCAAAGGGCTCCTCAGGTGGGTGGCACGTGAAGGCTGGGCATTTCCGCAGGGTCAACAGCAAATGGCCTGGGACTCCACTACCTGATGAAGGTCGACTGGTCCGGGTCATAGAGGGCCATGAACAACTCGGCGTCTTCCCCAATGTTGCAGACAAAGTTCTTGAAGTTCACATAGAGGCCGTAGGTGTGGACGGCACTGAAGACAGACTGGCCCCGCAAGTCCAGGTTCTGAAGAACTGACTGAATGCAGAGGAAAAGAGAGAAAAGCCTCTTGGTTTCAGCAAATGGGGAATAATGGCAAAGTCACAGGCCAGCAAATGGGGGACAAATATAATTGCCACTTGAGGGGAGAAGCACCAACTGAGAAGAAAGTGTACGTACGTGGCCAGATGATCAAGTGAGCAAAATACAATCACTATGATTCGGATGGTCAAGATCGTCCTGCTCATGGGGCGCCTGGGTGGCTCAGTTGGTTAAGCATCCGACTCCTGATTTCGGCTCAGGTCATGATCTCGGGGTTGTGAGATCAAGCCGCAAGTGATCAAGTAGATCACTCCCTACTCAGCAGGGAGTCTGCTTGAGATTCTGTCTCTCTCTCTCTCTCTCTCCCCCCTCCCACCCCCGTGCACATACTCTCTCTCTCGCTCTCACTTTCTCAAGTAAGTAAATAAATCCTAAAAAAAAAAAAAAAAAGATTGTCTTGTTCAGGGCCTTGAGCCCAGCAAATTCAGTTAAGTGCTGTCTAAAGATGACAACTCATGGCTTAGTAGCTTCAAGAATTTATTCTCTCTCACAACGGCTTCTGAATGAACCTCAGAGGCACAAAAACCATGATCCATTATCCCTCTTTTTTGAGAACAGTTATAACTGCAAACAAGAGATTCCACTGGAAAGGCTTCACTCTCAAGTGTGGTTAGCCATTGGATCCAGGAACACAATTAAATATTATCACAACTGTACCAAAGAAACAAAACTACAAACTAAATAAACAGAAGCCTTTACTCATTAGAACAAAAAGATTAGAAGGCTATATACAAAATATCAATACAGCTGAGTCTGTGCCATCATACAAAAGGCTTCACTCTCAAGTGTGGTTAGCCATTGGATCCAGGAACACAATTAAATATTATCACAACTGTACCAAAGAAACAAAACTACAAACTAAATAAACAGAAGCCTTTACTCATTAGAACAAAAAGATTAGAAGGCTATATACCAAAATATCAATACAGCTGAGTCTGTGCCATCATACTATCGGGGATCTTTCTTGTTCTTTCTCTGTACTTTTCTAATTTTTATTTAATGTCTAATTGTTACTTTCAAAACCTATCAAATGCTTTATTTTTAAATACTATTTTATTTAATTTGGAAATTGTATTACATATACCAAATACAGAAGGTTACACAGTACAAAGGCTCCCTCCCACCCAGTTCTCCTTCCTAGAGGCAAGGATTAATTATCAATTTCTTGCCTATCTTTTCTGAGTTAGCCTATGCATATGCAAACACAGAGGTAAGTATATCCCTTTTTGAAACACAACGACCAGTGTTTTGTACACACTGTTCTGAATCTTGTTCTTTTTCTATTAACGCATATCTTTGCAATCTTTCCATATCAGAAAGTATACCGCTGCCTCATTTTTTTGGTTATGTTTTGCTTTTCAATGAGGCAATGAATGATTTTCTAAACATTTCTACCTCTTGTTGCCAACGACCCCCTTTCTCTCATTAAATACAAAAGCAAAAATGGAATCTCAGGGACTCAAATCTGCACACTGGAGGAAGTGTACCTTTTCTTCCTGGATCTTTTCCTCAATCCTTTTTGAGGCCATTTCATGGGCCTTGAAAAGGGCAATGGTGCTGGTTTCATCTGGGTCCAAAATGTTCCCGTTGTCATCTCTCACGACCAGATCTAACCCAAGCATTCTAGAAAGAAAGGAGTGATCAGCGAGTTCTCCTCATTAAGAACAGACCCTTTCCTGATGAGTCCCCAGGAAAGAACCCAGAGAATTTCTTCTAACCCTTTCATGGTTAGAAAGTTGGGGGCTGGACCAGTCAAGTTAAGAACAGCTCCTTCACTTCTCCCTTTTTGATTTCTGCCTCCTTTCCACATAACTTATGGTAATGTTAACCAAACTCAGATGATATGCAAAGTAATTTATTCCACAGAACCTCCACAGGAAAGGCAAAACTGGCATCCCTTCTGACCAGATTCCTCTGACCAATGCCTCTTCCCCTGATCTTCTATTGTTTGGCATAAGAACAATGGTAGACCAAATATCCAGGGGCTCTGCCTGCTTTCCTTGAAAGTTCAATGTTGAGGACAGCCCTTAATTCAAGACTGTCTTCAAGGTGATCAGTGAAGTGGGTCCTGGCTGGTGGAATCTCATAACCTGTCTCATGGCATGGGCTCTGCTATCACTTAGATCAGGATTTGACTCTTGGCTTGAATACATGCTAGCAAGAGGACTCCAGGTAATTTACTTAATTTTGCAAAGCCCTGACTTCCTCATCTGTAAATATTCCCTACCCTTCAGGGTTGCTGCAAGAATTTAATGAGATAACATGTAAAGCACGTAACGCAGTATCTAGTATATAGTACACTCTCCAAACATGGCAGGTCTTATTGCAGCAACCGGCACAAGAACACGCCTGGCTGTGTTAAGTTGTAGCTCTGAGCGTTACAGAGAAGAGCCATATGGTCTATGCAGGGCACAATCCCTACCCAGGCTCTTATGCCCAATGTGCACAAAGAAGTAGAAAAAAAGATGTGCTTCATTCCAAGACGTTGGGGACTGTGGTGGAAACAGGATACTCCTATCTGAATGCCCAGCGTACATTCCAGGAACCAGCAACTTGGGAGCAGGGATGTCCAAACAGCGAGAAAGCGGAGGGATAATGGTGAAATGTGCCAAGTCTTTGGGAAAAAAGCAAAAATGCCTAATTACCCTCCCCTCCCTGTTTTATAGCATCTCCATCAAGGAGATTACATCTGGCAGGTTCCTTTCCATGGCAGCCAGACCCATAGGCCACCCAGACGCAAGAGCTATGGGTCTTGCTGACGGCTCAGACACTGAGCACTGATACACTGATGAAGGAGTTCCATTTCTTGAGCTGCTTCTAAAGGCTGGAGTGGGACAGCAGCTGTGTCTGACTGTTTGTGGGACATTAACATCCTATGCTGAAGATCAGAGTCGTCTAGGCCCATGTCATACTGTGACAAGACTCAAAAATACAGGGGTAGCACAGGTGCAAGGAGGGACCTGACTCAGCCCACCACAGCTGTTTGTGAAGAAATGCCCTAGCACATGACTAGCAATATAACCCCCTGTGGTTATAGTCCTATGAATGGACAAGTGACAAGGGAGGGAACAGTTCATTCTTAACCGTAGGAAGGGAGCATTAAACATGGAATCATAAGTTTGGGCTTCAAATTTCGACTTCCCACTTATGATCTCTCAAAATCTCCACATAGGAGATTTTGAATAATGGTTGAATCTGAATCCTGTATGCTATATTCACTCCAGCTATTTCCGAATACAGTTGTCAGAGTCTGTAACATTTAAGTGAGTAGGATAATGAGCAGTATTTTTACAGGTGTCAGAAGTATATTCAAGAGTCCTGAGGCAAAGGCGGAAGGGGGAAAAAAAAACCATATGCACAACTTGAAGGTATTTAGAAAACCAAAGGGAATGTCAAACGGATCATCAACAAAACTGAGGAACCAACCCAGTCTTTTAAAAAAGGAGCTGGTCAGGAGGGATGCATCCCAGGCCACCATTAACTGATGAATTGGCTGATTTCTCACTTTCCGAAGGGCAGTGATGTCTAGAACCTATGTATCTGCCTGAGCTAATCAGAACATTAACAAAGGTGATTAACTCTTTAGAGGTTACTGGAGACGTAATCAAGAGGCTAAAAATATGTTTTACTTTTCTTGTAAATTTGGTTTCCATACACTACACATTATGGTCCCAGTTAGGGAACATGGAGAGAAAGACATTAGAGAATGAGTCTGATGCTGATTTAAAATCCACTGTCGGAATAAAAACCGAGATCGATGCAGGCCTCAGAAAATGTGCCTTCCAATGCGCTGTCCCTTCCAGTCTTGTTTGACAGCGAAGTCCCATCTTCCCTGATCATCTGTCATCTCCTTGACACAGTAATCCCGCGCAAGGTCTCGCTTATGTAAGGGACTGCCAAATTTTTCCAACAAAGTTAAATGTTTCCCAATGCAAAAAGACAGCAGTATCATTCTTTGACAACTCTAAGGTCAAAAGCTGATGGCGAGCCACATCCTTAGCATGAACGTGCCCATCTCTTTCCAAGTTCTCACTGAAATCATCCCTGGTTTACCTGTTCCCATGATCAATTTTGGCTGTGACCTTTTTCTTGAGCTCTGCCAGTTCGTCCTTGGGGAGGGTTCCAGACAGGATCTGGGACCGCCACTCAATCAGGCTGTACGTCATCTGCTGCAGCTGGTGGAAGAGTATGGCCTTGTTGTTCTAGGATGGGAAAATGAGGTGGAGGAAAGAACAGAAAATAAAGGTGTGATGGAGGAAGGCGGCATCTTTTGACTTGACCCTTACTTTCTAAGGTGTTACTTAAGCAATTAATTTTGCCATATAGTAAGCGGTGCACTTCAAAGGGATTTTTCTTTTTTAAATAGGGATGGCTTTGCTCTAGGCCACTCCCATTCCATCTTCTACTCCAACTTTAGAATCAGAGAAGCCATTGTAGGATGGATGGTTGTACCTGATTCATCAGTATATCAAACTGTCCATGTTCAACCCATGGCCCTACTCTGTTTTAAACCCTCCAGAGATTTCCTCTGTCCTCTAGACACAGGAAATCACACTGTAAACCCCTTCCTATCTTGGGTCCTGCCCACATTCCCAGCTGCATTTTACACCAATCTCTACTTTGAAAATCTACACTCCTTCCATGCAAAAGCTATGTCCATTTCTCCTGAGTGCTCCAGACCTTCTCAATATGGTACTTCCTCTCCCTAGAACCACTTCTCTCCTCTTTTCCCAAACTTACCCCCATTTCACACCTCCTCACATACTACAACCTCCGCCAATTGCTAATTCTTACTTCTTTGGCCTCAACTTAGAAGTCTTTTGCTCAAAACCCTAACTGTGGGCTGCTATCCCTCCCACTGCTCCTGGAATTTACTCCCATCCCGGCACTCAGAACCCAGACCATCCTTCCTAGACGTAAGGTCCTACAGGACAGGATGAGGAGCTTGCTCATATTTGTATCCCTAGGAGCTGGTATGGAGTTAGATGTTCTATAAAATGTACTACATGTGTGAATTATGGTTGAAGAAAGAACTATAATTTCAGAGATAAAGGATAATAGAAAATAAAATGGAGAATATTGTTTTAAGGTCCTCATAAAGCTGTTAGACCATCCTGGAAGTCATCGGACCTACAATAACTAAACCATTATTCTGGGCTTCACTGAGAACTTCTATACCTGAACCAAACTAACTTATGACCAACTAATTATACAGACTTCTATCATTTTTAAGAGTCAAATATCTGATGTCCAAGCCATTATGACCTCGGTTTTATCTAAATGATTAATGTACAGATATATATTATATCTATATATAAATATAAATAATGATCTATTTTAAGTAATAGATCTTATCACTAACATATACAACATTGTTTACATAAATAACATATATCTAATCATTTTATACACACAAGATAATTTTAAATTGTGAAAAGTGCCAGAAGGAAAATAAATGGGGGCAATATGATCGGGTGTACATGGGGGAAGGAAAACACTTGAGATAAAGTCATCAAGAAAAACCGGTTTGTGTATCACTTTTGAAACATGCTTTTTTAAAAATAAAAACCTACACAATTCCACTCACCCCTTAAATACTACGAGATCACTTCTTTTTTAGTTACAGGTGAAAAGTCATGATATATTTATATAACTATATACTTTAAAATTATAGGAAATATTATCTGCTATAAAAATAATGCAAACCCCCCCCACACACACACACATACACACCCAAAGAAATTGTGGATGGCTGTAAAGCATGTTCTTTTGTGATCTTCTTCTACAATCCCTGGGGCAGATTCCTGCGCAAATTATCAAGTACAATCAAGATACTGAAAATACCCAAGATACTCCTGAACAAAGAGTAAACGTGGAGCCAAGATCCCTCGGCCCAGAAGTGGGGACAGGGGGAGAGAGCAAAGATTAGCCGAGTGTGATAAAAGCTCTAAAAGAAGGTCAATGTTCTGTGAGAACACAAAGGAGAGAGTCGAAGAACTCCCTTGTATTCTCCATTAACACTATTGGATCTGAAAAATACAGACCACAAAACCTGCTTAAAATTTTGTAACTACCTACATTTTATGTGCTTAGCATTTTCTGAATTGCCTCTTTCTCATCAGCCAGTCTTTCAAAAAGCATAAAAATGGGACTTCAAAAAGTTCCATTTTTTTGTTGTTGTTTTTGTTAATAAGCAAAGGTAAAAAACCCTGTTTGGTTTTTTTGTTGTTTTTTTCATGTAATTCTGTACAAAATGTTGCCATTCATTTTCTTTCGACCTGAAAAAGGGAGTGAGAAATTAAGCCCATAAAATTTTGCCTTTCAAAGCTGCTAGGCAGAAAGGAGATCTTTTTTTCTTTCTTGCAACCAATCTGTCTACTCTTACTTAGATTTTTTTAAAGTGTTTTCTAACTTTAATGAAGATATTAGTCTTTATATTATAGTAAAAGAAAGGGGGGAGCTCAGACTCCTCTGAGAGACAGGGCTTTGTCTGTGGCACACGTTCACAAGTTCTTGGTCTCAATTATATTAGACACTATCCAAGGGAATTTAATTATTGCCTGTTCATATCAGCCCTGTTTGCCAAGATCCCCCCAAAAGAAGGATGAAGACAGCCATTCTCTGATTCACTGTGCCAAGTGAATTCTGAATAGACAAGCTGGAACACACCAAAGGAAGCAATTTTGGCAATTACTTTAAGGAAATGGATTTCATTGCCACATTTCTAAAATTGTTCTAAGTGGGATGTTCTGTGCAATAGCTGGATCCAGATACTTTACGGGTTTCCGGGGAAGCACATGAGGACAGGTGAGGAGAAAATCAAGCACCCCCCACCCACGAGACCCTGAGCCAAGGACCTGAGTCTCCATCTGTCATGCCCCCCTTTCCTGTCTTCTTTCCTGAATCCTACACTGCCCAAGCCTCAGAGTACCTTCTCTGTTACCATTAATCCCAACCTTTTTTGCACTAGCAGCCACTGTCACATAATTTAAGAGGGCAGGGAATTTATTTAATAATCTCTTTGATTGTCTCTGCCAAAGTCAGCACAATCCTGGGACATAGATGCGACTCAAAAACAAATTTTGACAGTTCAAATGTAAAATGCTACTCTGGTTTCAATTTCAGTTAGAGCGGTATGAACGAGAGAAATCTAAATATTCTCCCACCAGAGAGTAAAGGCATCCCTGCACTTGCTTAGAATTTCTCCCTCTTTTCCACTTGGAGAGCTCAAAGGTCTCACTTTTTACATTTCCATTCTGAATGGTGCGTGCTCTCTCTAAGAATTTCTAGAGATAAAAACAAAGTCACAAGGGAAAAAAAAAGACAGCTTTACCTTCAGCAATGGCAAAGAGGGATACAGAAGCCCTCCAATGAGTACTGTAGAAATTCTAGAGACTGTTGGGACAATGGCACCACCTCCCTGGGTGTCAGAAACCCAGATTCTATTCCTCACTTTCCCAAAGAATGCAGAAGACGGTCAAAAGACTTTTCTCTGGTCCTCCCCATCTCCTCTGTTCACCGACCTTTCCTCTTGCATGCAGGAGGCAAAAGGGCTGGACACCAACTACAGGGACTTGGTCTCTATCTCTCATTCTCTCATTAACTTGCTAAATGACTTTGGGCAAATCATTCCCTCTGAGATTCGCCCATCTGTAAAACAAAGGGACTGGGTCTGAGACCTTAAACTTAATTACTCCCACAAGCAACTTCCTGATTCACTGTATCTGATTCTGACCTTGTCCCTCCCGATGTGCTCACAGGCTCCAGAGGCTCCAGATCAAATTTCACCTGTGCAGAGCTCTCTGCAGGGAGTCTCCTGTTCTTCTCTTAACTCCTGGGGTCCGAAGTGGCGTCCTGGTTCCCGTGTGTCCTCACGCTGCACCGCCCCCGCACTCTGGGGGAAAGGGAGTCTGCATGGCCCCTTGACACCCCTCCTCTCCATCCGAGTGCCTCTTCTCTTCGCCACAAAGAGGCTTTGCCTGACTAGCAAAGGCTTCATTTTTGAAGAAAAGATGCCAGTAAGACAATTTTTGCCTCAGGAAGTAGCACAAGAAATCCCGAGAGGCAGGCAACCAAGACAGGGTAAAACAAAACTGGAAAGATACCCAAAGCGTGCCCCCCCTGCCCCATCCTGGTTGCGCACCCGTCTCATTCTGTCTCTCACGAGAGAGCCAGGCCCAAGCCTTGCCCACTCACAGATGGAATGCCCTGACAACAAGACCAAGTTTGCTATGGGAATTTTCTATCCCTGGTAATAAGCAGTCAGACGCTGGTTTCCAACCATGAGACCAGCTTAATTACACTTCAGAGCATATGCTCCAGCAGCCAGTAATAACCACCAGTTTCAAAAAAGATTAGACTTGAGTAGCTTTAATCTGCGTGGATATGCAAGGATGAGAAGAAAGGCAATCAATCCACTGTGTCTGGCAAATTCTCTACCCGCACCTCAGTTACGGGCACTTTCTCCCCTCCAGATTTTTTATACAACTACAGACTAGCTCAAGGTTTCATTGTACTGGCGAATTTTAAATGAGAGGACATCAGGGAAGCGTGGGTGGCTCAGTCGGTTGAGCGTCCAACCCTTGGCTTTAGCTCAGGTCATGATCACAGGGTCATGGGATTGAGCCCTACATGGGGCTCCCTGCTCAACGCGGAGTCTGCTTGGGATTCTGTTTCTCCCTACACCCCTCCCCTACTCACATGCATGTGCTCTCTAATAAACACATCTTTTTTTTTTTAAGATTTTATTTATTTATTTGACAGAGAGAGACAAAGTGAGAGAAGGAACACAAGCAGGGGGAGTGGAAGAGGGAGAAGCAGGCTTCCCGTTGAGCAGGGAGCCTGATGTGGGGCTCGATCCCAGGACCCCAGCATTGTGACCTGAGCTGAAGGCAGACGATTAACAACTGAGCGCCCCATAAATACATCATTTTTAAAAAATAAATAAATGAGAGGAGATCAGTCCATTCTATGAACTACATTTTAGCAATTATGTTCACTTGATTCAGCAATACATATTAACCACCTTCCACACCAGGCTTATCTCGTATCTCTTTTCTGTAAGGAAAAAGGATTAGATTTAGTCTCCCAAAATTATATGAACAACACAGCCTGGCTGGCCAAAACTCACTGAACCATTTCTCCAATTGGAAGGTGGGGAAGAGCATTGAGTTAAATCTCAGGGTGAGAAGTTATAGAGTAT